GAGGTTGAGCAGAATCGACTCTACATCCACTGGAGGCCTACAAGCCAGATGCCTGCTGACGGCATGACGAAGATTCTTCCTCGTCAGAAGCACATTAAATTTATACAGCAACTACAGCTTATAGACATTCGCTTAAAGGTTTGTAAGATGGAGAACAATAGCTAAGGGGTTCATCCTTCCGTCGCAAAGTGACTACAGGATGAGGGGGTGTGTAACGGTTGAGAGGAGAAGCGGATCACGTGTTGTTGGCGGTGGTCTGGTGTTACTTCCTCATGTTGTTGAGCACCTCTTACCTTGGCTGCGCTACAAAGACGTCATCAAAACAAACCCCGCAGCGAGCCTTGGAGAACATAGACACAACGACAAGAACAACACAGAAAACAATACACTCATTATATACATTTGCTCTTCATACCGCAACAGATAGGGTAGGATACCTAAGCATACCCTACCCACCTAGTTTAGGTTGGGTAATACGTGATAGGGGTAAGGTAGAGTATAGGTAATATGTAATTAGGGTAAGGTAAGGTAGGGTAACACGTGTATAAGGCAGATGTAATAACACGCTATAATAATTAGTTAAAAACTGTGCAATAGAGTAAACTCTAAGTAAGGTACCTAGGTAATTAGCTACCCTACCTATACCTATAGTCTGAGCGACCTTACCCTACCTATACCTAGGGCTTAGTAACCCTACCTTACCTATACCTATGCTCTGTGCAACCCTACCTACCTATACCTTGGTCCATGCGACCTATACCTAACCTGTACTGTAACATTTGAGAGAAGAAGCAGATCACGTGTTGTTGGCGGTGATCTGGTGCTACTTCCTCATGTTGTTGAGCACGTCTTACCTCAGCTGCATCACAAACACGTCATCAAAACAGACCCCGCAGCGAGCCTTGGAGAGCAAAGATACGAGCAGAACAACAACACGGAGAGCAACACAATACACTCGTTATATACATTTGCCCTCGATACCGCAATATATACCCTACCCTAGATAAGGGGTACCCATCCGCCAGTCTAGTAGAGAGTTGGCTATATCCTCCCCATCAGTGAGCTGGGGTAGATATCCTCGCTTGTCCAGCTTTAATATATACTGAACAATCACCTCCTCTGTCGTACTTATGGGCTTTATTAAATTGACCTTGCAATTGCGTTGTGAGAGCGTTCTAGCACGTTGTTGTCTTAGTGTTTTTTCTAATACCTTGTAGATTGTTGCAGCACGCAGAATAGTAAGAGTCACGTCTCATTTAAGAGCATAGATAGTAAGCTGTATATCTGATTCCTTTGAGGCGCTCTGAGTCTTGTTGCGTTGAGACATCGCGGGTTGTGTGAAGTTTGGTATGGTCTTGGCAAAATCCGGTCACTCGGCCATGAGGTACGTTAATTGCTTTTCTGTGTGGCTCTACAACCTCATTTTTGTGGTAGTGGAGAGGATGATTTTCGTGCACAGGCCCGGGATGTGCATGGGGCGGCGAGACACATTACAGAGTGCCCAATACTGCTCTCCTTCAAGTTTTATCGGCAGATGGCAGTAGCTATCATCAATAAGCATCTTCCGAGCCTTTTCCACGCCTTTCGACCCTTTATGCACCGTTCGACAAGTTGCTGTCCTCGTCGCTCAATGTCACGTCTGCTGGTGAATTCTCCATTGCGGCAAGTAGTTATTTCGAGGGAGTCGAGCGTTGTTTGTTGAGAAAAGCCGGGAGCCGTTGTCAGGATGAGCGTTACTGGGGTATACTGGATGTGGAGAGAACGGGCACGAGCATCCCGGTGATGCCTCGCTTGAAGGTCCTTCTCTTTGAAGGAAGTGATCTGAAGCGCCGTTATGCGTCTTGGTCAAGGGGCAGGTATTCTGGTCACTACGTCGAAATCCGTTAGTTTTGTGTGCACCGCACGAAAGTGGACCAGAGTCTGGGCTGTGTAGCTCTGATTGTAGGAGATCACGCAACTGCCGAGTCTGTTTGTAGATGGTGAAGCGAGGTATGATCCCAATTCTGCGGCCTATCAATTTCAAGCGCGAAACGATAGCTTCCAGCTCGCGGGGAGGAGCTGCGGCAGCATCTTCAAAGGACCTCGTTACTACTGGGTGTGGTAGCAGTGACAAGTTAGCCATCTTTCGCAATGTCTGTTTTTTCCTCGGACTCCTGGAGTGGCGCGAAAGAGAAGAGTGACTCGTCTGACTTGACGCAAAATTAGAAGGTGATAGTGGTCTGATTACGATGTTGGAGGTCGCTCGCGGTGACGTGCAGATTGCTCTTCTGTAACAGCTTGGCCAATGCAAAAACGATGGCGATCTCATTCGATACCCAGCAGTCATAGCCCTGGGGCTTGTGCACAGACCGCCCAGGTGCAGTTGTTGATACCTAGGTAGTAACGCTTTGAAGACCGAACTTGGAAGATATTGCAAGGGCGAATCACGAGTTTCTTCAACTCTCTGCTAAAAATTGCATCATACTTGAAGAAATAGGTATGCGAAGCATTTTACGACATCTTATTACATCAGTCGTTGGCGCAAAGCCTTTGTAGCCTTGTGGTGGATGTGCCGCTCTATCCAAAAAAAACCGTGGTACTTGAACTGTGCAGTGCAATTAGCCCTCCACTTGCTGTCACAATGTTCTTAGTCACTCGCAGCCTTTAAACGAAGCAACGCTAATTTGATAGCGACTCCGCAGATCACACGTCTCGACCTGACCTGGATGCATGCATGAATTGAACACAGTCAATCTAAAATGATAGGAGATATCTACGACGATACCATATGGGTAGTCATAATTGGTATGAGCTATTTCCATAGAGAGGTGCAAAGGGAGTTTTGCACAAACATCTAGGTAAACACGCAGAGTCAAAGATCTTCCAGCCAATCTGAGGGGGGCAACATTTTGTGCAGTGAATCACATGAGCCAGGAGCTGACCTTACGGACCTGAGATAATGGGCATTGGTTTACTACCTCGACAGAACTTAATTTTAGGGACGCCTACCCGTTCATGATACCATCGAGATGAGAACGAGGGTTCTTGAATTACCGATGCTTCGACCGGCACTCAAACGCTTGAACGCTGGCTAGAAATACTTCCCTTATCGCTTCGAATCGGTGATGCAACCTTGGCTGAGGTACGGCATCGCCTGGCACAGAACAAAATCAATCCTACAAGGCCGATGACACCCAATGTGACGAATGCACCTATAACGCCGGCAACCACGTTCGATATGCCAGAGCCAGTACGCTCAGCCTGCGACCCAGCTTTGCGCGCACTGTAGGATTGACAGAAAAGCGCATCGCTTTGACATGTGCCACACCATTGCTCCGGGGACATGATGGCAAACCCCTTCATCTTCGACACGAAGTCAGTGTATAAGAGTGACTCGTCCTGTCCGCCGAAGAGTGGGAAAGCTGTCGGTGCTTCTCCTTCGGTGGATCCGTTGCGGAAGAGGAAGCGTACACGCAGATCTTCCACATTTGAAGGGAAGACAGTGGCATTCTGCGACGTGAAAACCTCGAAGGCCATCGTCGAGGCATAATCCGGAAGTCCGTAGAAGTTGTCAGAGACAGCAGTCAAATTGCTTAGTCCGAAGAAGGCCAGGAATGTATCGTAGCTGCCGGCCAACAGTGAGAACTTGAGCTTGCCTTGCGATGAAACAATCTGGTCGAGCTGCTCTAGAATACCACCAGCAAATGTCTGGCCACCAATGGAACGCATAGAGTCGTCGGCATCGTAAGCCATGTGGAACTCCCATTCATCAGCCAGCGTTTGAAGCTGTTTCATATCTTCGCTCGCGACTGTGCCATTGTGGGTTGCATTATGGATACACGCTACATTGAGCAAATCGAAGATGTCATACGCAGCAGCGAAACTGAGATTGGCTTGCTGATAATCGTAGACGGAGTTGAGCTGATCCCAAAATGACTGATAAAACGGCTTTGTCTCTTCGATACGTTGCTTAAAGGCTGCACTGTCCTCATATTGCTTCATGGATTGTGTGACCGCTGGGCATTCTTCGTCGCCCTTCAACAATATCGTGTCAGGTGAGTCATCGCTCTCTCCGTGAATGACCAGATATTGATACCCGCCTAAGGGCTTGATGACATGCTCATTGCTGTTCAGAGTCTGAGTAGCGAGCTCCTGGTCGGTGATCTCCAAAGGCGGGTACAAGCCTTGCAGGAAAGCTGTAGCTGTGTTGAGCAAGACTGCTTGGTCTGGTGCAGACGCGAAGATCTGCGAGTTGACAACCTTGTCTTCAGATATGCCGAGGATTCGCTTCGGTGAAGATGAGTTCAGGTAGATATTGCGGTAGTCTTGTCCGATATCATAGTTCTGCTGAAGCCCTAGATTGGTCATGTTATAGCCCTTATAGTGCTTGGATGTTCCTGTGTAGCTTAGCATGCGAATAACAACCATGGGTCGAATACTCACGGTCACCGTGACGCGAGAAAACAGTGACGCCGAGCACTGTCTCGGCTTGAGCTGGAGCCAGCACGCCCAGCATGGCGATCAACGACTTGGAAATCATATTTTGTAGAGCTCCCACTGATCGTGTGTTAAATGTGCCAGCGGCGGGGAAACCCAATGAGCTTTATGCTTGACAAACAAGCAACCACGCTATATGCATCGTTGTACTGCACACTTCCGCGGATGTTGCTGAACGCCCGATCGCTGCATCCAAGCTCGCGATGCTCCTCGTCCTCTCGTTTTACGATTGGATGGGATAAGTTCTTTGTAGTAATGCCCCACCTTCCAAGGCCTTGGCGAAGCGGAAAAGCGAAGAGTGGGAGGACAGCCAAGTGCTCTTATCGTTTGAGGCCAGTAACAAAGGTGCGAAAAAAACTGCTTGAATTACGAGGTACTATACGTGGTGGTCGACTGTTGGTGATGACATGCATGTCGAAATGAACAGAACATGAGTAAAACCTACGTCAGACAGCTGGACCGGAGACAGATGGCCGGCCGTTACGAGGCCACCGAATTCGTCCTCTCACAGCGATTTTTTCACCGTCCTCTTAACCTCCTCTTCCGCCGTGAACCCCACCCTCGCACAGAAAGCAAGCCTCACTAGTGTCGCTACACCCGTGACCACCAGGCTCCCCCAATCCTCCGCCCGCCACGTCTCCGGCAGCACCCTGTGTTGAGCGTTCAACGCGCCAAACACCGCCGGGAAATACGCAAAATCCGTGATCAACAGTCCGATCTCGACAATATGCCAGATCTTAGGATCTGACGTGTATCTCAGGAGGAATGCGGAGATGAAGCCAAAGTTCAACATGTTGCCGCCGCGCTGCTTGAGGATCATGATATGCCCGATATCCGGCGTGTCGTCAAGGATGTGTGACGAGAGAACTGTGCGCGGGGCTAAGAAGTCGAGATACGCGCCCCAGAGACAGATGATCGGGTCGACCCATGTGAAGAATATGCGGTAGAATGAAGGGATCGCACGTGTCGAGGATTTAGGGTGTGACATGTTGCTCGAGCTGTACTGAAACCAAAAAGCGTCTGAAGTTTCACAGTGTTGCACAGTAGGGCCAATAATGGAAAGACGGTTGTCAGTAACTATATCGATGTGTGTTGAGAAAAAGGTAAGATGACGTTCGACGCGGGCGCCAAGGTGATGATGCCGCACCGGCCACCTTTTCGCGATCATCGCCGGGCCGATCTTCAACACCTACAACAACCGCAATGGAGAAATTTCGCTGTCATTCTGGAGCGGGGAGCATCATTGCTGCCTTGATGTGATTCATCCCTACGAGCTTGCATTGCTGAGCACGCGTGGAGGAAACGTGACGGGAAGAACACGATCTTGTGCAACTTTTAATCTATCAATTTGTAGATTCACATTGCCTAGTCAAGCTGTACCATATATGAAGAGTGTCACGATTTGAGTCTCTCTTGCCTCATAGGCAACCGCGCCTCACCTTCGGTGACATGCGACTACCCATCCTGCACTAGCGCTGTTTACAGCCACTCGTGTATACCTACTGTTCGTAGCTGCACACAATACAACCTCCTTTCAATCCTTCCATTCTTTCTGCATATGCGCACTGTTCACTCCACTGCAACAAAGAGTAATCATGTGTCCTGTCGTTTTGTTTCTCTGCAGCGTCCCCGAGCTCAGAAATCACAAACCTTACATGCCGAAAATCGCTCCGACAAAGATCGCTCCGAACACGCCAGCAGCATCCACGGCATAAAGCCTAGGGGCGTCATTGGTGGTGACCTCAGCAGGTGCAGACTTTATGGGTATTAGCAGCTGCCTCACAAGTAGTAAGAGCTGTACTTACTGCAGTAAGGCTGACGCTAGCATTGGTGCTGGACAAGGGCACACCTAACGCAAAGCTCAGCGTTCCGTTTACAATCACAGTGGAGTAGAAGGGCGCAGGATTAAAGACAGTAGTAAGCGACGTAGGAGTGGTTGCAGAAGAAGAGACAGGAGCCTTATTTGATGTCGCCTCGGTGGTGGCTACGACTTGGCTGCTTGCTGAAGCAGCAGATGAGGGAGCAGGTGCCGACGACGTCGCAGATAGGTGTGCAGCTGCTGATATCTCAGCAGCAGCAGAAGTCTGCGCAGAGGCAGCGGAGGATGTAGCACCGGTGCTGCCAGCTTCAGGAACATCATCCTGCTTCCCAGCCAGCGGCTCAGTATCGAGGCCGCACTTCCCACCGGCGCTTCTCAAAGTGCTGCCATAGTAGCGCCAGATATTGTAGTTGTCCGATCCAGAGCACTTGAGGCAGTTGTTGTAGTCGGTAACAAAAACAGTGCTGTTGCAAGGATCTGGCATGTCAGACATGGTCGCTGTTGTCTGCAGTGACGAACATACCAGCACCTCGAGAGAGGGTGATAGCAGAACCGCTGACGCGATTATTAGAGGAAGCATTGACTTTACTGGAGTTAGACGCACCAGTTATCGTGGCAGTTGTATCCAGGAGTACCAGGCTCCTGACGCTTCAAAAGAGCGGCGAAGTATGCGTCTTCACGCGTAACCAGGCCGGTGGCGCTAGCGGCAGCAAGGAGAGCGGTGACAATAAACTGAGTAGCGACCATTTTGGACGAACAAGCAAGTTTCCGAGCGAGTGTCTCAAATAACAAGATGTTTGCGAGGAGCATAAATCCAGGAACGGGCAACACAGGTGTTTGTAGCTCTCTCACGCGCCGCACTCGTACCTCCCTCGTCCCGAATTCCGAATCATCTTTTCCCGCGTTGGCTGGCCATGCTTCCAGATTTTGCAGGTTCACATGCACTCCCTGCGTCCAAGGCTTTGCAACGATGGCCTGATGCTAATCGGCCGAACATCGGAGATCAAGCCCTTATCAGATCGTCTACCGGTAGATGAGCTGATACGATGCACGCCGAGTGAATGCCTAAGCCTGAAGCAGCGAGGTCGGCATCGCCTATTCGCTGGACGGGCGCGCTACGACTCGTTAGCAGAATCTGATAACTCCAATCTTCAGACGCCAGACCCGAAGCTCCAGGGTCTGCTGCCGTCTGTATTCCCATTGAATATCAGACCGGTTCTAGTGTTGGCCTTTGTAAGACTTCGCCAACGGAAGTGGGGTGACAACGGCTGGCAGTGTGTGATTCGAAGCGCAGAGGGGGAAACGATACTTGAGCATCTTGGCGGCGCAACGCACGACGGGAATTGGTTGGAACACGAGGTTGCCATGCCGTTATCTAATCCTTGATCAACTACACATGACCGGTACGCAGAGAGCGAGTGACAGCAATGGACGTTCACATATGAAGCGCCTCACGCGCCTCGGGCTGTGCAATTCACTCAAATCGAAGAGGTCTCAAGAATCAGACATTATGCGTACAACACTCCTGTCAGTTATAGCGGCCTTTGCGATGTTGGGCAATTCGCAGACACACGGTGAAGGTGAAGAGGGTGCTAGGATGGGACCCGTAGCCTTCCTTTGGCCACCTGACCGAGTGTGGGATGCGCAGTACGACAATACAGCACCGTGTGGAAGTTCAGCAGGGCCATCGAACCGAACAGTCTACCCACTGTCGCAGGGCGCCGTTGCGTTGACTATTGCTGACGAGGCATGGCACGTTGCCTTCCGTCTGGCTGTGTCAGATAGTATGTTCACCCATGCCTGCGATATAGCATCACTGACAGACCATACAGACCCAACGACCCAAGCCGACTTCGACGACCAAGTCGTGGACAACATCACCGACGTCGATCCAGGTCACCAGTGCTACTCAATCGACCGTCTCGAGGACATTACGGCCGGCACCAACGCCACAATCCAGCTCGAGTACTGGGCCGAGTTCGAGGGCGAAAATAACGGAAACAACCAATCGTTTTTCGCATGTGCTGATATTGTAAGTTCTCCCGACCAAATCGTGCTCTTGCTCGCGACTGATGATGACACCAGACTTTTGTCGAAACAGTCAATTTATCCATTCAAGTCCCCTGTTTCAACGTGACATCCGACGACTTCAACGCACCCACTCCCAGCTCCTCCAGCAGCACACCAACCAGCACCAACCAATCAACATCGTCGACGCCAGAACAGTCCTCCGGCGGCAGCGGCGGTCTCTCTACCAGTGCAAAGGCAGGTATCGCCGTCGGCGCCATCATCGGTGGTCTAGCAATTCTGGGTGCTGGTGCGTTCTTCCTGTGGCGCAGGGGCAAGAACGTGGGGCTCAAAAATAAGGACGCGTATGAGCTGCGGGCGAAGAACTTGGGAAATCCGACGCCGCAGGGGTCGACGTCTGCGTGAGGGCGGCATAATTGAAGGGCACTGTGGGCTGGGAGGGTGTGACGGTGATTAGTACGTACTGATCGGACGTCAGTTACTACTTACGCTTATGAGATGATGACATGGTTGAATCACACTGTACTGTTACCTGTTTCTTTTTGCTGAGATCTGTGGTTGGGTCGTAATATTCCTCGACCGTGTTTTGTTGGTCTTGGTGGCCAAAAGAGCATATCTGACGGTGTGAAGTGAGGTTCAGGGGTGAGCCCCACTCGATACGCATGCGCTTCATGTTTTCTTTCATCGCGGTCTCGTCGTCCTACTTATTATACACCCAGGTCAGGTTATCAGTGCCTTCGTCGAACCCTTCATCCTTGTCCCCGTCCTGTCGGGTTCCTTTCAGCTTGCTCCGGTAGCTCAACGCCATCGCTGGAGGCGGCAGGCGAGAAGAGCCTTCGGCAGCCCGATGGTACTGACGCAAGGCAAAGATGCCGTAGATTTGTGTCTGTGTCCTACCCATAAGACTGGCTAGATCTGCCGCCTCCTGAATGTCAATATTAGTGGAAGCTTCATTGATGACAGCCAGATCGGCTTCACTCTTCTGAGTCTGTTCAGTACAGGACTTTCGCAGCTTTTCCTTCTGTTCCCGTTGTGCCTCCTCGTCAATTCTAGGACCTGAAGCATCCGCGGCTGATCTGCTATTTCTGATCAAAGGCAATGTTATCAGTGGTTTGGCGGTAAGTTTGCCCTATGCTTCAGTAGCCGCCGTGTTTCGGCTAACGCTCGGCTTCTTCTCAGCTTTTTTGGTGGTTTGATATCTCGGGTTGCCCATCCGTCCTCGGAGACTGGGGCAAGTAACTCCGCATTTTCAGCCGTAACGACATTGTACACAGTCCAGAAGTCCTTGTACTGAGGTTCCGGAAGGTAGGCTCGAAGGCTATCCTTCTGCGCTCTATTCCAACTCCTGACTTCGTGAGACAGTACAGCTGCGACGATGATCTGCTTCAACATACCGTCCTCGTCTGCACAAACGCGAGCATCAGACCCAGGTGGAGCGAAGCAGGCATCCACGCAATCTCGAAGTATCTAGCGTACTCCCATGGCGATAGAACTACGCATCAGGCCATAGATTATGTCCCATATCTTATCTTTTGCAGCCGTCGTCGGAGCTTCGTACTGGAGTCGTTCGTCTAGAGCGAACATGTGCAAGTGAAACACATGGCGCAGCGCATCAACCAGAGCCGCGATTTCTGGGGTAGGTTTACTGTATTCTGGGACTAAGAAGACGATGATAAAACTGCAGGTGCCAGAATTCGGGTACAAGAGCCCGTTAGCGGGTGGGTTTTCGTATTCTTTAGTGTAGAGGAAGGTGACGAACCGGTCGACAAGAATTGGGTGACACTTCTTGGGCAGCGCAATTGGGAGAGTCTGCAGCTGCTGAGCCATCTTTGTTCAGGTTTAGCATTTTGGATGCCGGGTATTGACATTGACTCACATTGTCCCTGAGAACTTGCTCTTCTAAGTACTTAGGGCCACCAACGAGCATACGCGAATGGACACGAAATTCGATGCCGGCTTCAGTAAGTAGGGAGAGGTCGCCTTCACATAAATGCTTCGGCAGTCGCAAAGCTTGAATGCATGACAAATGCGGCTTGTTGGGCAATCTGTGGAAAGCCTTCAACAGCAAAGCGCGCGCATGTCTGTATTCGTGCCGGACTGGAGACTTCGCCGGGAGCCGCGTAGATATAGAGCGCAGTGTAAGTGCTGACAGTCTTTGTGCCGTCACATGGATGTCGATGGCGCAGTGCTAGGGCAGGTTGGGTCGAGATTGTTGGGATGGCGGGACTAAGCTGAGCTTCAGGTGACAGGAAAACTGGACGCGCTCGAACAAACGACTGCAACGTCACACCTTGCCTTCGACTCATTTGCGCCAGCCACCACTTCCAAGGGCCCGCGGCTAAGATGATCGGATATGCACTACTCATACAATCATTACTCGTACGCCTAGAAAGTAGGCCTTGTCCTCTCGCCTTTCCAAAACCCCATGACCTCACCCGTCTCACCGACCCAATCCTTAACACCCCCAAAAACCTGCTTAGCCATACCCTGATTGGTCCCACTTCTCGCTCTCCTCTTGCCAGTAGCAATGCCAGCAACGCCACTACCATTACCACTAGCAAACCCGCTAGGCGCCACGCCAGAAGATATATAGCTGCTCCCTTCGCCTGTCGCATACTCGGAGCCCATTGAGGGCAGCACGTTCTCGCCAGCGCTCAGAGAGACGAACAATGCGAACGGCACGAGCCACACGCAGAGACCGAAGTAAGATGCGATTTCGGTGAAAGTGGGGACGTCTGGGCGGTCGTAGGGGTAATTCGAATAGTTATTTGCGGAGGGTGAAGGGGCGCTGAAGTGGCGGAACCAAAGGTAGTGGTTTGCGATTACCAGGCCTGTGTTCGTTAGTATGCTGATGTTGCAACTGGATGATTTGGTGCAGCGTGAGGTCTCCGTTAAGTGACGTACAGCAGGATAGTAGGAATAACGGGTCTGTCAGCTTCACGATCGGGAAGCGTCGCAGATTTTGCGCATAGACGACATGGCTGACGATGCTGAGCGCGCTGAGGCTGACTGGGAAACCGTCGACAAGCAATAGGAGGGTTTGGATGGCAATCACGCCGTATATCAGGCGGTTGAGCAGTTTCTTTGCGAAAACTGTGTGCTCTTCGACCAACTCAGAGAGGTAGTATAGTCCAGATGCTGGTGTAAGCTATCAGTGGAGCTCTTGATGTGTATGATGTACTTTACGACTTACCTATCGCCAATGTCAAGAATCCGAAGCCCAAGATGACCCCAATGTACCCGAGGGCTGGTAATATCCACATGTCGGCTGTGAGGTGTGAAATTCGAACGTTCGACAGCTGCCAGGTACCTGGACAGCGATGAGGTCAAGGTGGCATTAGGCTCGGGAGAAGTGGGGATCTGCTCGTGGTGATTGGTGGTTGACGCGGGGTTTAGCCCACCTTTTTTTCGAATGTCCGAAAGTCAGCACCAGGACCAGAACAGCACCATCCGACTATAGAACTTTCTCACGATTCCTTCACGGTCACTCTGACTAGCTCGTATAAGCTCGGATCGCCTGCAGCATCCTTGACAACCTCCACGGCCCGTCTATCCTTACACAGACGCAAACATGTCGCGCCCGGAAGACATATTGTGCGTACCTCTCCCAACACCGGCCAAATCCTCACTAACTCTTCCAGACCCCCGGACCTGCACTACAATGACGTCGAATCACGCAAATACACCACCTCCTCGCGAATCCAGCGCATCCAAGCCGACATGACCCACCGCGCGCTCGACCTAATCGGGCTTACACAACCCTCGATGATCCTCGACGTCGGCTGCGGCTCCTGTCTTTCAGGCGAAATTCTCTCACAGACTGCCGAAGAAGGCACACCCGCAGGCCCGCACGTATGGGTGGGGTTCGACATCAGCGCCTCGATGCTGGGCGTTGCACTGGAGAAGGAAGTTGAGGGCGACCTGCTGCTGGCGGATGCGGGGCAGGGCGTGCCGTTTCGCCCGGGAACTTTCGATGCGGCGATCAGCATCAGTGCGATTCAGTGGCTGTGTCAAGCGGAGACGAGTGAGGATTCGCCGACTGCGAGGTTGTTCAGGTTCTTCAATCAGCTATATGCGAGTCTAAAGAGAGGAGGGAGGGCATGTTTGCAGTTCTACCCCAAGAACGATGAGCAGAAGAAGATGGTGGCGCAGGCGGCGATTAAAGCTGGATTTGGCGCTGGTCTGCTTGAGGATGACCCCGGGACGAAGAGCGCGAAGACGTACCTTGTGCTCACAGTTGGTGGAGGCAACCTAGACGGCGACATTACTGGTGTGGTGCGCGGCATGGAGGGTGTAGACGTTATGGAGACACGGCGCAAGGGTGGTCTCGAGAAAAGAGGCGTGGACAAGAAAGGCAGCAAGGGCTGGATCCTAAAGAAGAAAGAGCAACAGAAGGCACAGGGCAAGGTTGTCAAGGCATCGTCCAAGTATACCGGCCGCAAGAGGAGGATTCAGTTTTAGAAGAAAAGTGTTTACGATACCATGCATAGCCAGGAGTTTGGGTTGCGGCATATCCAGGAGGGTATAAGAATGTCAATTCAATCATGCAGTATGCTATATACCAACTAGAAGTACAGCTCTATCCACACTCTGCTGAACTAGTTGTACAAGTGTAGAGCATCCAATCATCAAGCAAAACGTCATGGACAAGTGTCACCAAGATCTATGCCTTCTCCATCTGGCCAAGGATGGCGCGCGTGAACTCGTTTGTGGTCGAATTGCCGCCCATGTCGCGGGTGCGAACTTGGCTGATGTCTGTTAGCATATCATCATCCTGAAATTACATTTACATACCCATCGGCGATGACCTTGTAGACGGACTGCGAAATTCGGTTGGCGTGGTCGTCAAGACCAATGTGGCGGAGCATCATGGCGGCGGACAGGATCAGAGCAGTGGGGTTGGCCTGGTCCTTGCCCTTGATGTCGAGACCGACGTGACGGCATCCAGGCTCGAAAAGGGCGACATTGCGACCCATGTTGCATCCGGGAACGATACCAGGGCCACCGACAAGACCAGCACCAATGTTGGAGAGAATACCTCCGTACAGATTGGGCATGACCATAACGTCAAATTGCTGAGGGCGCGAGACGCACTGCATGGAGGCGTTGTCGACGATCATGTCGTTGGTCTCCAGGGTAGGGTAGTCCTCTCCGACCCTCTTGACGGTGTTGCGGAAGAGACCGTCAGCCAACTTCATAATGTTGGCCTTGTGGATGCAGGTGACCTTCTTGCGGTTGTTGGCGAGGGCGAAGGCGAAGGCGAACTTGGCGATGCGCTCAGACTTCTCGCGGGTGATGATCTTGAGTGACTCGACCACGCCGCTGACCGACTGGTGCTCGAGACCTGAGTACTCGCCCTCGGTGTTCTCACGGATGATGCAGAAGTCGATGTTCTTGTGGCGGGTCTCATAGCCGGGGATGTTCTTGAGGAGGACGATCGAGGCGTAGATGTCGAGCTCCTGGCGAAGAGCGACGTTGAACGAGCGGTGGCCGGAGCGCTCGACGGGTGTGTGCAGAATACCCTTGAGACCGAGCTTGTTGCGCTTCAGCGAGGCGATGGACTCGCGGAGGAGCTCCTCGGAGTGGACATTGCCGGAGTCGACACCAGAGACGTCGACCTGCTCCCACTCAATGGGAACGTTGTCCGCCTTGAAGATCTCCTTGACCGACTCGGAGACCTCAGCACCGATACCATCACCGGGGATCAAGGTGACGGTGTACTTGCCGCCAAACTTGGTGGGCTTGAAGATGTCCTGGCCGACGGTAGCGAAGGCTGCGAAGTGTTAGAGTCGTGATCGAGTATTCGGGGTACACGTGACGGCGGTCCTGTGCCGTCATGGCGGCGACGTACATCGAGCAGCCATTGAAGGGCCAGCTGCGCGCTGGGCGCCCCGCCGAAGCGTCTGCCTGTCGCGTTAGCATTGCATGCTTCTCCCTGCCTCAATGGCTTCCTGAAGCGCAAATCCGTACCTGCGCGGTGCGTTGGGAGGTCCTGGACAGCATGTTGTGCGGCGTTCAACGGGTCGAGCTGGTGAGGGATATGAGGTCGTAGAAACAAGCTGCAGCTGCCGGCCAACTGCGAAAAAAGGCCCGTGTCCTGCTCGGCGCACGCAGTCTTGCCGTATCCGTCCGCCGCTTGGTCTGATCAGATTTATTTCCGACATATTCTCGTGCCTTTCACTCACCTCACCTTTAAAGGCCTCTAAGATTTGTCCTCGATGTTGAGATGCCACGTGGTTCTGCCGTTGCTTCCTTCCCTACGCTGGGCGAATTTGACGTCCAGCTTCAATCCTGGTTTCACACTGCGACGGGTAATTGACATGTGACAGGGCGCCTGGGCGTACAACATCATGCTCGAGCATGCTCGAGCTGGAACGGGAGAACCGTGTACAGCCACTACCGTGTCCGAAGCCTGCAATCTTCTTTGATGAAGTGACAGCGACGCCTGGGTCAGCCAGGCAATTGTAGGGCAAGTTTGAGACGAACGCGTGTCTGCAACTTGATAGTCTGCCCTTGGCACTTGAACTTGATCGTCGTATGCAGCTGACGTAAATTGGATATCATTTTGAGTATTGGCGGTGCTGGCGGTGAGGAAGTCGCGCTCAAAAGGCAGGCACCACTGGCGTTCACCTCCTCACGATGATGCTTCAGGCTCAGCCACATTCCATCATCGCCTCACGTTCTATGTCACTACGAATTTCCTCTCTTCATCAAAAGCAGCGTGCTGTTCTATGTAGTGGACTCACCTCTTTGGCCAGATGAGACTCCCTGCCACGTTGCTCCCACCGCGCGATTCTTCTCTCACCTGTGTCTGCCCGGGTGTGAACTAGGCGCTATCCTGCTACCAGGGTACCTATACATCATACATCTAGCACTGTCCCTCGTCTACACCTCCTCTACCACCTCACTTCACCACCCGGCTACTCCTTCGTCTCAACCTCACAACGCCACGCCAGCAATATACCATACTCGCAAGCTACGCGAGCTTCGGCGGTTACTTTTAGCACCACAACTATTGCTTTGGTGTCCCAAGAACTTCGCGCAGTCGTCTCCAAGCTGAGATTGCGTCAGAGTGACTCGAACTCCACGCACGCAACAAAGCCTGCTTGATTTCGCACTTCAAGCCGCCAACATGAAGGTCATCGAGAAAGGCACTGACCGCACGGCCTTTGCGCATATCACCGTCGAAGGGCGAGTGAATCCGCTCGAAGAATACGGTCAGTATATCGACGTTCGCGATAAGGCCATTTGCTGCTATGTCGCCGTCGAAGAGGGCCAGAAGCTTCGGATTAAGGGCAGTTTCTCAGGATTGGTACGTCGCGTCTTTGTTGGTGGTTATTAAGCTAACTTGCGATTGCGCAGACCCTCATCGTTGCCTACGACTGCCTTGTAGACGGAGTCTGCCGCAAGGCAAATTCATACGCTGGCAAGTCCGTGCAAGTGCAGAAGAGTAAGAAGCTCGATATTGAGAGTTTTCTGTATCAGATGCCAGACGGTGTCATCGACACAGAGATATTAGTTGTTCCTTACACCGGAAAGACGGATCTCAACAAAGAGGCGCCCGAGACTGTGGGTACTATCGAGCTGCGAGTCTACATCACTCGACAATTTGATGTGGAGCATGAGATCGACGATGGATGCACGTACGACAAGATCAAGGAAGCCGTGGGCTCCGACATCCAGATTGCCAACTACAAGGATGTCCCACCGCAGTATCACATAGCTTTCAAGAAGAACTGCTGCATTCTCGAAGGACGCAAGGGCAGTGCCGAAAAGAAGAAAGTTCACGCGAAGCGTCCTGGCAAAGAGCCTTGGGCGATTTTCCGCTTCCACTATCGCACCAAAAGTATGTTCTCACTTAGGCCTGTACATTCTGAAGAGTTCATCTAATACACAACAGAGTCGATCGAGGCCAACAATATGGATATGACTTTCGATGCAGCTGACACAGCTCCCGCGAAGCAAAAAGCCCACACACTTGAGCTCGACTCTGTGCCTCCGCTACTCATCGGCTCCAAGCCAGCGGGCAAGAACGATGGCGAGAACTCAGTACGCACGTCATCTCCAGCGTCTTCTGAGGCGCCTTCAACGCCCACCAAGGGCGCGAAGAAGTCCCAATTTGCCCAAGTAAGAGAGCGTCTCTCCTCCGCGCATTGCCCCTCCGTGCGTTGCCCGATTGAGTCTATCAACGTCATACCGACAGTTCGCGTCAAGTAAAACAGTACTGGGGCCTGCTGCTGACTTTATTATCTAGCCCAAGGTAATCGTTAAGAAGAAGCAGATCAAACTCGAAACAACTACCACGAGCCCAATCTCCGAAATGGCGCCCACCACCAACACTGAGCCCGCTGAGGCACCAGACATGCCCAATGAAATCCTGGATGATGTTCATTCCACACCACGTAAGACCAAGAACGATGCCGCAGGTGACGAGATCGTCAACGACGAGAAGGCTAACAACGACGTTCCTACCTTTCAGAAGGATGGTGGCGATGAGCCGGCCACTGGCACTCCCAAGAAAGCGGCAAAGAAGGCAGCGAAGAAGGCTACCGAGACCGTCGACGCAGAGCTCGAGAAGTCCAGCAAGGAGGTCCTCAAGAAGACCGTCAAGAAGGCCGATGAGAAGAAGGATTGTGATTTGGCAGACCTGACTGCCCCATCCCAAGCCGTGGAGATATCCAACACACCCACAGTGCCGCACCCTGCCGATATTCCCAGCGTCTTCGACATACCCACAGCGCCAACTACCACGACTCTTCAAGCTAGCGTCGTCCCCAATATCAAGGACTTTGTCAAATCTGGCACCAAAGGCTTCACTTCGCCCTTCAAGAAAGCAGTCACTAAGCCTGCTGCCATCGACACGACTACACCCACGGTCCTCCAGAGGCCTGCCATTCCACCTACGCCTACATCTCCTCTCAAGCGCGCCCCGGAGGATACATTGACTCCACCGCCCGACATCAAGCGCATCAAGAGTGAAACCGTCCCACACCTCACACCAACGCGCCTTCCACGTGCATCAGCCGCCTCGCCGTGCCCACGTTCCCCGTCAATGGAAGCGCAGGTCGCAGAGCAGCGCAAACGCCTCGAGGCTGCGCGTAAGAAGCGTGACGAGATGGCCAAGCAGAAGGCTGCTGTGGAGAAGAGGCTTGCACCCTACAAGCAGCGAATGGCCGAAGAGCTGGAGCGCTTGAAGCAGGAGACGGCAGATGAGGAGGCGGAGATGGCTGCAGATGAGGAGGAATACATGGCCAGCAAGGCTATGTTGGCTGAGTTCGAGCGCGGCGAGGGTGGGATCTATGTGGCGACTTAGGGCGACGTAAGGAGGTTTTAGGCGGCTGGCGTTTGGAAGTTCGGCGAAGGGTGGATGCTGGAGGCAGTCAAGACTGTCTCAACATTTGGCGAATTCGGCAGCTTCCGTGGTCCTCAAGAAATGCTGCAGAGACCTCAAAAAGTAACAATGATGTTCATGGCTGGGTCAGGATCAATTATCTGTACTCTTCAGACAACTTTTCACGTAGATCTTGGGGCAGCAACGGCGCAGCGAGACGCAACGGTGGTTTATCCACGATCACGAGTGGACGATATAATAGAGTAAAACATACTGAAAAGCTCGTGCCTGGTCCCATCGAACAATCGCTGATCACACAAGTTATCTGCGGGTCTGAGTATCAATTGATGTGTACTGAACAGGGTATCGGAAACCCACGCAAACCTAAACGCCACGCCGATATCAATTTAGAAGCAAGACTTGCCATCACTATGAACAATGAACAGAAGAATCTACTGACGGCCAGTTGCGCCGTAGGTGCCATCGCTATTGACCCTCATGTTGGCCTTGATGCGCTCCAGCAGCTCAGGCGTGGTGGCAAGCGGCGAGGGATGGAGGTCGCGCTGAGCAGATTATCAGTACGAGATCAATCAGCAATTCCACTGCGCGTTTCGCATGTGCATGCAAGTTGCAAGGTAGTCGGTGAGATGTCGTGACTTACGTGGTTGAGCCAGGCGATACACTGGTCGCGCGTCCACGTCTCGGGGTCTATTCATCGTGTCAGTCAACGCTTCACCAGGGGGGTCCAACACTCCTTCTCAGAAAGACGCTCTGCGGAGACAGAGGTCACGGGCTTACGTACCACCAGTTGGGTCTGCGCTAGGAAACAGATCCTGGCCCCAGATACTCCAGGCAGCAACACCCGTGATGAGCGCGGCGAAGGCGAAGAAGGGCGCCTGGGAGCGTCAGTCCTTGGGTCTCCACGCGACCAGTATACACACAACGTATATCAGGTTCCAGGACCAGAAGTCACCTACACGTTGGTTCGTTGCGCGATCGAGGGGCGTCGGCATGATGGGCTTATCAAGGTTGAACAGCGAGTGCTCGCTATTATTGACAAAAGCGAGCGATGAGAAGCAGCGCAGTCGATAAAGCAGGTAGTTATAAGGAAATATATATACACTCGCAAGCAGCACCCTCCGTCGCACGTCCAGGCCGCAGCTCCAGCCCCGCCACGCGCCCCCCACCCGCACCAAGCCCATCCCGAGCTAGCCCGGAACCGCCCCATAGCAGCCCGAGCGTTTCTAAGCGAGACCACAACGATTTGGGCGGGCGTGAAGCGCTCCTGCGAACTTCCAGCGAAGCTCGACAAATCCACGTTTTCGACCCCAATACCGCCAACATGCCTGCCGAAGTCTCCGACATCAAGCAGTTCATCGAGATCTGCCGCCGCAAGGACGCCCAGTGTACGTGCCCCACCCGTCCGAGGACAGCGAAGGGGAGGAGTGCGGTCGGGAATCAAGCCTCAGGAATCAGGGCCTTGACACTTGAGTTCTGACGGCCTGATTCCTGACGCGAGATCGAGCGCGCCTGCCATGGATGTTGTGAGGATCGGGCTAACGTAAGGGCACAGCCGCGCGCATCAAGAAGAACAAGAAGGTCAACAACATCAAGTTCAAGGTCCGCTGCTCGAGGAACGTGTACACGCTCGTCCTCAAGGACACCGACAAGGCCGAGAAGCTCAAGCAGTCGCTTCCCCCGGGTACGTCGCCTCGCCTGCACTCACAACCCGCTCTGCGCCGAATCAGCGCCCGCGATCGCGAACCAATGCTAATCGTGCAACAGGTCTCACCATCTCCGACGTCGGCAAGAAGAACCCCAAGGGCAGGCACGCGGCCGCATAAATCCTCACACGCGCAGGATTGGTACCATGAAACGGCACGACGGGCGGTGTTGAAAGATGACGGCGTAGGGCATGGCATTGGCCGAGGGCGTCTCGGAATGGGAACTCTGGACATGCACTGGCGTACGATACTTGAACAGGGCCCCGCGCACGCGTACGGGTGACCACTGAATGAGAAACGTCCAACCCAAGACCAGCATTGTCGTGAAGACCCATGTTTTCTTGACGTTGATGGATGGACCAGAACCCGCTTGACCTGTGCGTGTGATGTGCGTGTGATGTGCGTGTGATGTGCGTGTGATGTGCGTGTGATGTGCGTATGATGTGCGTATGATGTACGAGCGCTGTGGTGCTGTGCGTGTGCTGTGCTACAAAACACTCGGTGCGACACAGAACTCGACGGCGAAGGCGAAGATCATGTTGATGTGGGCACTTTGTTGACGTTGCTTTTGAAACAGGCGGGTGAAGTTGGAGGCGGTATCTGCTGGTCTTCTGCAGGCGGTGGGTGGTAGGAGTTGTAGAGAGGGAGAAAGGGACAGAAGACGAAGAAGAGGAAGCGCAGCTGCTGGATGAACAGAGGCATGTTCTGAGCCATGATGATGTGGAAGAGGGGTGTTTGGGACTTGGACGTGTGTATACGCGGATATGGATGGATGTTGGCTCTGCTTATACTTCCCCACATGACTATAGCTGGGCAGTGGTTCAGAGGCTGTGCGCACTCTACGCGTTCAAGCATCGTCAGCCGGTGATGCAGAACGAGGCTGTGAGGCTGTGAGGCTCCGCATGCACACGCCGCGCGGAACCCCTGCCGCTGACTCGATTAGGAAGGGAGCTATGTGACACCTGGCGTCGAGGAGGTTGAATGATCAGAGAAGACAAGTAAACGATAGCAGGACGGTCGACATGACCTGAAGACTGGTACCTGAGCAGTGGATCCTGACGCTACCAGCCCTACGTGTCATCAACGGTGGCCAGCGGTGCATCTGTCCATCGGTCGCCAATGTACACGACGCGCGACCCATTCAACGTCCGCAGCAAAGCCTCTCGCGCAGCCCCGTCGGCCGTCTCGCTCCTCCACACCGCCGCTACCCGCACTACGCAGGCCGTCGAGGCCACCAAGCAGGCTCTCCAGGATCTCCAGGACACCGACATGTCCTTTGCCGTCCCGCGCAACGTCGAGTCTGCTTCACGTCGCTTCGAGGAGAATGTGTGGAGCAAGGTCACCGGGACTGAGAAGGGCTTGCCAATGTACAAGGACAAGCCGACGGGCTACGGCTACGGCGGGGGCCGGGGAAAGCAGGCCTGGGTGAGGAGCAAGAAGGGCGCCGTCACGGCCGCGCTGGTGCTGCTGGGCCTGCTGTACTGGCTGTTCGTGCCGGGCGCAAACCAGACGCCGGCTGCGCGGCTGGGCGCCGGCAGCGGCTGGTTTGGTGGGAGCGCGGCCACCAAGACCGACACAGTCTGGGAGCAGCGCCGGCAGCAGGTCAAGGACGCCTTCTTGCTGAGCTGGCACGCCTACGAGGAGCACGGCTGGGGCTACGACGAGTACCACCCCGTCGCGAAGACCGGCCGCTACATGGCCGAGCCCAACGGCATGGGCTGGATCATCGTCGACGCGCTGGACACGCTGATGCTGATGAACCTGACCACGGAGTTGAAGCACGCCCGCGAGTGGGTCTCGACCACCCTGGACTACGATAAAGATCAGGACGTCAACACCTTTGAGACGACCATCCGCATGCTCGGCGGCCTGCTGTCTGCGCACTACCTGCAAGAGGCGCTGCCGGGCCTCAAGCCCGAGAACGGCCACGACGACGATCTGTTCCTCGAGAAGGCCACCGATCTCGCCGGCCGTCTCCTGGGCGCCTACGAATCGCCTTCTGGCGTCCCGTGGGCCAGTGTCCGTCTCAAGGACAGCAAGGGCGAGGCTTCCCACGCCGACGGCGGCGCCTCGTCCACCGCAGAGGCCACCTCGCTCCAGCTCGAGATGAAGTACCTTGCCTACCTGACCGGCGAGGCCGACTACTGGGAGAAAGCCGAAAAGGTCATGCACGTCGTCGACGACAACGGCTCCTTGGACGGCCTGGTGCCCATCTTCATCTACGCCGACCGCGGCACCTTCCGCGGCAATGAGATCCGTCTCGGCTCGCGTGGCGACAGCTACTACGAGTACCTCATCAAGCAGTACCTGCAGACGCAAAAGCAGGAGCCCGTCTACCGGTACATGTGGGACGAGACCCTGCGCGGCGTGAAAAAGCACCTGCTCGCCTACACAAAGGAGTCCCACCTGACGGTCCTCGCCGAGCGCCCCAGCGGTCTGGACGGCCACCTGCACCCCAAGATGGATCACCTCGTGTGCTTCATGCCGGGCACCATCGCGCTGGCCCAGACTGGCGGCCTCCCGCTCTCCGCCGCCTCAAAGTTGCCCTCCTGGGGCAAAGAGCAGGAGGAAAACATGCTGCTCGCCAAAGAACTAATGAAGACGTGCATGGCCATGTACCGCGTGACCGCCACCGGTCTCTCGCCAGAAATCACCCACTTCGAGCTCGCCGACGTGCCGGAAATGTACGACACCAAGATCCTCGCGTCGACGACGGAGCTGGAACGGGACACCGTCGACGGCGAGGGCTGGAAAAAGGACCTCGTCATCAAGCCCGCCGACGCGCACAACCTGCAGCGCCCCGAGACGGTCGAGAGCCTGTTCTACATGTGGCGCATCACGGGCGACGAGATGTACAGGGAGTGGGGGTGGGAAATATTCACCGCATTCCTGAACCACACGCGCATCGACGGCGGCGGCGGGTTTACCTCTGTCAACGACGTGACCAAAGTCCCGCCGCCGAGCAGAGACAACATGGAGAGTTTCTGGCTGGTGCGTCTTTTTTCTCTTTCATCGCGATCCTCCTCCCTTTTCGCACTTGGCGAATCGCTTGCTGACTTGCTGCCCAGGCCGAGACACTCAAGTACTTCTACCTCCTCTTCGGCCCCGACGACGTCCTGCCGCTCGACCAGATCGTGCTCAACACCGAGGCCCATCCGTTCCCGCGCTTCGACGCGGCGAAGAAGCGCTTCAAGACCGGGTGGGCGCGCATCCCTCGCGACGATATGGGGGAGCTCGTTGTCAAGAAGGAGGGCAAGAAGGAAGGGGGCGCCAGTGCCGTGAGTTCGGGGACGGGGATTCCGCACGTTGAGTAGCATGGTATGGTTTTAGTGTCGTAGATTGTTCTGTACATTGATGTTGTGTTGTATGCAAAACGCGGCTGTACAAACTTCAATACGAACATAGCTGTACATAGATCACGACGGTGGCATTCCATATTTCACATACACCACAAACTGCCCCGCTAAACCCAACTCAACCAAACTAAAAGCTACTACCTCACCTCCCCATCTCGCTCCGACGTCTCTCGAGCACGCACCATTACCATTACCATTGCCGTGCCAGTGTTAGTCTCAGCCCCAGACACTCGCATCACCGCATCACACACGCCATCGGCGACAAGACATCGCCTGCGGCCGCGCCCCCGCCCGAGTCCGAGACCTTTGAGACAGCGGCTACTCGCACCATCCACTATCCACCGTCCACCACGCCTCTACATCACCACCCCCTTGCCAGCTAAACAGCGCGCTTTGTCTTGCTTGCGTCAGAACTCTACGAAACGAGGGACCTCTCAATGACATCGCTGGGCCCCACTTGAATGATTGCTTGTTGACAACTGTGGGTGGGTAGGTGCGAGCTCGTGGTGGGTGCTGATAGAAGATTGGTCGAGGGAGAGCGACAGTCACTAATACGTGGGCGTTGGGTGTGAACAATGCGGTATTCTTGGTCTCTACGTAAACAGTCTGCATACACTAGCGTACAACATGCGCCGCCGGCAAAAAAATTCAGAGAAGCGAAGAAAGGCATTAGGTGTCCACCAACGCCGATGCAACAAAGAATAAGATCGTAGCAGTCGTGAAATCGTGAACCTTGAAAATATGCCTGCTGTGTCAATGCAGCGTCCCCTTCAGGAATCTGGGAGCAACAGTCTGGCCACCAGTCTGTCAAAGAAAAACTCCATGTCCTCCTCTTCGAACCTCTTCTCGCTAGCTTTACCTCCAAGATAGCTCTCGACGCCATCTTTGGCAAGAGCCTCGCGCACGCTTTTGATAAAGTGGTCGGTGGATGTGCTCTGTCCGGTGTTGGTGTGCGGGTCTCCTTTCCAATTCGGTTGGAGTCGAGTGTGACATGCGGAGAAGCACTCTTTATACAACGATAGTATTGTGTCAACAGCGCTTTCGCCAGCACCGAAGCTACCAACTGGAGTTGATGGACTATCGTCATCGTACGCGTGGTGGTACGGGAGCTTTGCCGCATGGTAGTGGATAGACTCGACAGTCATCAGTACCACGATGAGTGTTGCGAGAGCGATGGGCCAGTGGTCGCCATTGCGGCTAAGAAGGATGCGTTCGAGGGTAGAGAGCACTTCCTTCATCAGCTTTCCAGCCAGCAGAGGCATGATGGCGCCGAATTGTGCGCGGATGAGGCAGGGTGACGGTTGGTAGTGTTCGGGTACGTTCATGGTGCATCGTACAAGTTGTCTCAAGGAATCGTTCTCGGATTGTTTGGGTAAAGTGATGTCACCACCCACGTGGACGAGCACGAGCAATTTGAGAGCTTGCAGCAGAAGGTGTGCTGGCTCGGAGCCCTTCGTCAAAGACCGGAAGAATACATAAGTCCTGTGAAGAATCCGAAAGGGTGAGCAGTAGGGTGGGAAGGCTTTGAACTCTGACATTACCAGATGTTCGAGGTGCACGTTGATGCTCTGTTCCAGACTCGAAAGCATGGATGACGTGAGAAGAGCGGGAAGAACGGGCTGAGGGAGAGTTGCAGGGGGAGATGACGAAGGCGGCCAAGAGTACACCAAGTGCTCGTGTACACACGACTGCTGATTGTTGAGAAGGACCGGATGGACTTCCAGAGACATCGGCAGACCAAAGCCGAAGTGCAAAGGGATCTTATACGTGATGTCGGTCGATATCGTGAGCTTGTCTGTGCGCATGCAGTCCTGGAGTGTCCGGTTTGTGGGATGCCAGCCATGCTTGCTGGACAGAAAGGCCTCGGAAAGATGCGCTAGTGCATGGTTGCGGCACGGATTGTTGACTAGATCGCCTTTGTAGTGCTTGAGGCAGGATTTGCAAGGCGTGCCAGGGTCGCACTTCTCTTTACGTTTCTTGCAATTAGAGCAAGAGCCAATGATACGCATGAGAGCTGCATCACTTCGTTGCTTTGGATCAAGGCTCTTCTTGCGGCCTTTGGCAACTCGCGTATGGGGGCCCTCAGGAGTGGTGGATGCTGCCATTCGGCCGGACTGGCTGTCCATCTGCATAGTTACAAAGCCGAAAGATTGTGCAGATGTCGGCGATGGAGATGTCCGGTTTTTGCGGTACTCAGCGCGTGAGCTGCTCCTCGAAAGAGTGCTGCTGCGTGGTCGACGTTGAACAGGGGAGGTAGATAGCATGGGCGGTGCGAATCGAGAGCGTGCGGCTCCGGCGCTGCGGGTTCCACTTGGTTGCGGGATGGTGATGGCTCTAGTTCGGTTATCGAGTGAGTGTCGCAAGGGATCGTAGGAGTCGAAGGAGCCGTTCAAGCTCATAGTTTGGGCCCTTATTATTGGAATAGGTGCTGTCAGAATCGAGCTACTATTCTCATCCCCTTCCGCGATCGATTCGTCGACAAATGACGGCTCAGCCCATGTGCCTGTGTTGGAAGTGAGAATCTGAGACGCGACCATATCTCGTCCACTGAATGCCTGGTTCGAGATCGCTAGGTGCGGAGTAAAGACTTGACCTGCTGTCATGGCCAGAGAGCTGGTAGAATCGATGATTCGCTCGCGGGTGGTATCTATGAGTGGCGACTCGTTGGTCTCCCTCAGAGGTGATAGAAATTTGTCACAAGCTCCGAAAGATCCAAAGTACCGGCCATCGTCTCGGCCCACCAGTGGAGATGTAGCAGTGGAGGAGATCGTTGGTGAAGTGCCGTAGAACTGGCCATATGATGAAGATTCTCCAATGATCGACGGCGGTGCCGAGACATTGTAATCGTAAGATGAAGGCCCATCATAGTTGGAAGGAGGTGCCGATGTGGCATAGGGTGATTCGGTGCCAGACACGTCAGTCCCAAGGTAAACGAGATGGGTGCTGCATCGGTTGGCTGTTGCGCTGCTGTAGCAGTCCTCGTCCCAGAGGACGAAGTCCTGCCATTCCTCAAGAGGCGTGCTTGCGTAGTTGTATGACATGGTCATTGCAGTGTACAAGCTGCTCTGAAGGGTCGATCGGGTTGCGGGGAACTCTGGTGAGTTGTTGAACAGGTCTACCCTCGCGAAGAGGGATCATAGAAGGACACAATTATACTGTGAAGTAGATCAGAGTCCGGACAGAGAGGAAGTGGTTGTCAGGCAGCGATGGCAAGAATCTGTGCGACCGGCTGTGTTGTTATAGACATCGTCCGCGTCGCCATCTGCATGCTGCAAGTCGTGCGGCTGACAAGGACCTGTCTGCCTTACTATTATGGCTGCAGGACCTGCGAACGAGTAGGCTCGCGCAGCGTTATCACGTTGCTGGCCGTCATTCGTCAATTAGTATATTCCCCGTGTAAGAAAACTTCGCTTGGAAACCTTTTGTGACGAAGCTAGGATGGGCAAGGGCGTCGAGACGGTCACGCAGCGAGTTGATGCGGCCGGTCAGCCAGAACGGACAAGCTAGTGCTCACTTAGCATGCGGGTACAGTTCCCCGCTCCCTGGCGCTGTCGAATCAAAGACTGAGGCTTGCAGGTGCCGTTGAGGGATTACAGTGCAATGCATGAGGTAGGCTTCTGGAAGACTGCGCCTTGCGGAATGGAAGCTGTGGCGCTGCGCGCATAAAGCACCCGCATGTGACATGCCCCTGCAGCTGTGTCGTATGGATACATATTGCCATTGCCGTCAATTCGTGATGACGAAACTTGAGATGAGATGTTTGCTGGTGAGGCTCTGTGAATTGATGGTGTTGTGGCAGGCGTCAGAAAGGGGCAATCATGTCCAGATGCCTTCCAGGACTCTTCCTAAGCCTTCGATTTCCGACAGCCGTGTAGACGCCATGACTCTACCTCAAGACCGGCTTTCACGCCCTCCAGAGGATGCGTTCGTCCTCCAGATTGCACGTGTGATAGTGCTGCCCCATACGAAAGGATGGAAGGATGCTGCCTCGGCCACTTACACGACCCGCTCACGCAATCGCGCATGCGGCTCCTGTGATCTCAACTCAGATTCGCGTCGAGTGCCCTTGCCCTTCCCCACGAACACGATTCCAGTATCTGGCTATACGGCTCATGGTGATTGCACGTGCAGAGACGTAAGTGGGTGATGTCGTTAAGGTAGATATTCCCGGCGCCCTGCGTCAAGGCTGAGCACTTCACGCTAACCCATCGTGACAACCTTCGCGGAGACGCCTTGAAGAGCGCCTTGCAGCAGCGGAACAACGATGCCGCAACCGAAAAATACCTTGTCGTACCGACGTCAGGTTGTCGCTAAGCCCTGCAACATGCACCGTCCTACCTGCTGGAGCTAGCGAGCCTCACTCTATGCGGCTCCGTGATCATCACGAGGAGCATTGCGCGAATTTCTGTCACGATGGGCCATGAAAGAACCCAACCATCGGGGAGACCTTGAGGCATTGAACTATCAATTCCGAGTAGACCCAGAGACTCCATCGACTCGAGTCCAGCGAAGTCGAAGAAAACTATGACGTCAGACGCTTATAGCATCGTAGTCCCAACCCGGGTTCCCAAAAGTATCCTGAAGAGGGAAAACAGACTTGTTCGTAAGCTGGCAACTGCGCATTCTCTCTGCCGATGAGAACAACAGCTCTTCTGACTGTAATCTAACACGGTACAAAGGGGCGCTGTAGTCACGAGCAGAGCAGTCGAAATTTCTGGCAAGATTAATTCTGATGGTCACTGTAGCGGTACTGTAGCACACGTTGACTACAACTCAGCTTGAACAACTTTAAAGCAGAGGCTAGGTTTCCATTATGTCTACTTGGCCCACCATGTCGCTCCTCACAAGGTGAATTGCTACAAATGATACAGGACAGGCCACGGAGACTCAACTCCACAAACCACTCCACACGGTCCACGATCCCCGATCCTCGGGTCAAGATATGTGCAAGAGACTTATTCCGAAGAGTCTGATCACGACCTCCTCGACGCTACGCTATCGGAGCAGCGGTGAATCACGTTGCACTTCCAAGATGATATCACATAGGTCTATATTTACGAGCTCTTCAGACCATCCGAAATGCCTACGAAGCGTTATAATATGGAAGAGTAAACTTTCTACATGAAGCAAGCCGATCAAGTCTTCTCATCATGACCAGACAGCACGACCGGTCTGGTCACGACTCACGCCAAATCCGGTACTGCACGGCAAAACCTTATTCAGCTGATCAGCTTATTCAGAGAAGGTTCATACTGTGGGTTCAGCATTAAACACAAGGTCGAAACCCGAAATGCGGACCTTGACGCAAAGGCTGTAAGCTGACTAGAGTAGTTTTCGTGAAAATGCAACGTCCACGACTACAAACGTGGACACCGATCCCAGTTCAATGACCAAAAGTAGCGAAACAGTATCCACATGTTGCGAAGTTAGGCTGATGCCACTTCGCCTCCGTCACGTCATATGCTGATCTCGAGCCAGACCCCGCGGGGTCCTGGACATGCAGCGACGGTGACGACTGCAGGCCCGGTCTGCCAGCGTACATCACACTGCTCCGCGTAAAAGGACATCACGAGCTCAACTTCCTCACCGCGCTGCACTGGACCTCGTTCTCGCGCGCCAGCGAACCCATCAATGAAGCGGTGCTATGCTCACCCCACGGCATGCAGACGCACACGCCCGCCCTGCAAACGCTGCTGCAGCGCCTGCGCTCTCCGCACCGCACTCTAGCGCTGCTACACGGGCTGAAGGAGTCCTGGACGTGGGGATGGCAGACGACGTTCGGTGCGAGAAGTGGGCTGGAGCTGTTCAGGGCGGGCCAAGCGCGCTACTGGATCGGTACGCATGACGACCGGCTGCGGTATGAGGGCTTGGTCTGGTAGCTTGTGAGGGATATTTCTAGGACGGTGGAGTGGGCGCTGGGGCAGGAGGCGGGGGCGAAGGGGGCAGTGGTTGGAGGCAGCGGGGGAGAGGACGTCAGGGTGCGGGAGGTGGGGAATGGGGAATGTTTTGTGCTGGAGTGAGGGAGTCCGAGGTGGTGCTCGGGAGTAGGTAGATGGAAAGGGGCGGTGAAGAAGCTTCGTGGCTGTGCGGCAGGGCAGTGTGTGCAGGTCGTTCGCGAGGACTGATGTGCTCAGGATCTTGTCTTCAAAAATAAGTGTGGAATCATCAACATTCGCTATCGTGAAAGACGGGCCCAGCCCAGGAGCATTAGGGCACGAAGACGGGCCATAGAAAACCAGCTTCCAAACGCAACAGACATCTCAAGCCATCCGTAGATGAGTATTCGCGGCCGTGACAGGAAACGCTTAGACAGATGAGTATGCTGACGTGAATATGCAATAACGGAGAGGAGAGTAGCCAACGCCCAGATCTCCACACATGCACCAAGGAATGCAGTGTGCACCAAGCCCCCCAGACCAGCATTGACGAGCGTCGGGTATCTACCAAGGAAAAGGAGAAAAACGGCGTGGGAAACGGCTACACAGGTCCCACCACAACGAGTCCGCCGGGATCGTGCGACTCCTGACTAGGCGACGGCTCGGAGCAGCTGCAGTCGCGCATCTGCTGGATAAAGGCGCAGTCCAGATCTAGTCAGGACGACTCGCTGGCGAAGAAGAGGACAATCTCGCCCCTGTCGTTGCGCTTCATGCGCATGTCCTTCCACAGCTCCTTCTCGGCGTCGGCCTTGTGCAGGGCGCCGTGGCGCTCGCGGTGGTACCGCTTCAGGGCCTTGTGCACGCTGACACCGCGGTCCGAGTCGGGACCCTTGTTGACGAAGGACATGAACAGCTCGGCGCGCGTGCTGACAGGGAGGGCGAGCTCGCCGGCTTCGGGGCGCAGCATGAGCTGGTTGTTGCCGTCGGGCGCGGGCGAGCTCGAGTTGGAGCGGCTGTACTCGATAGCCTTGGGCTTGCGGTCTCGCGGCGCCGGCGAGGCTGACGAGTCGTACTGGCGACGACGGGTGATCTGAGCGGATCCGTCCTTTTTCTTCTTCGGCCTGATCTTGACGAGTGCGGTGCTGGCCTTGCGCTCCTTCTCACGGCCTCGCTCCTTCTCCTTCTTGTCCTTCTTTTCTTTCTTGTCGCCCTTTGCCCTCTCCACCTTGATCTCTGCCTTCTTCTCCTTGTGCTGCTGAGCCTCCCACTCCCTCTGCGCGCGCATCAGCGCTTTCGAAGTTCCTTGCTTGGCGCGCTTCATGGGGCTCAGCGGGGAGTTTGCAAAGTCGCCAGAGTCGTCAGGCGAAGGCGGGAATTCAGGCCGGGCAAGCAGCCTAGTGAGGCCGCCGGTCAGGCCAGAGTGAAGCACGGGCGGCGCATCTTCCATGAGCGTGTCCTTTGCGGCGGACAGATCAAGCTCGGCGGGTGACCGTTTCCGTTTGCGCTCGCTCTTCTTGGAGGTGGTCTCGAGGTCCTTGTCCTTCTTCGACTTCTTCGACTTGGGCGCGGGCGTCGTGTACGAGTCAAACCGCTCGTTGGACGGACGGACGGGCTCGTCGCCGTATGCATAGCCGGTCTGCACGAAGGAGGCATCATCTGGCAGCTGGAAGGACATGACGTCGGCAATGGCGGGCAGGGGCGTCTCGTTTTGGTTGTAGGCGGGCGGGGCGCTGTCTTCGATCATGCGGCTCTCTGTGCGCTGCGCACTCGGCGTCTCGCAGTTGTCGAGGAAGTCGAACACATTGACGGCCGGCAGAGCAGCCTGCTCGTGGTATCCGAGCGAGTGGGCGGCGGGCGGCGGGGTGGGCGCGCGGGGCGGCGCATCGACGAGGGCCACGGCGTTGTCTTCGGCCGCATCCTGGACGTAGGCGTTGTGTGGCGTGAGCGCTTGCGAGTTGTTGTTGTTGTTGTTGTTGTTGCTGTTGTTGTTGTTCCGCTGCTGCTGTCCCTTCGGCTTCTTCTCCTTGTACAGCTTGCCTTGGTACTTCTGGTCTTCCGTTATGCACGCCTGCAGGGCATCGGTTAGTTATCGTTCGGGTGGGACAAACGCACGCCGAACGCAAATTTTCCGCGCGCAAACGATGCACACACAGCGCATGGAATATTGCGCTCAGAGCTGAAAGACTTTGCAGAGGCGTACCGTGTGGGTTCTGTAGCTGGTGCCCGGGAAGTGCACCATGCAGTCGAGGCAGGTGTAGGATGCGCCATAGCACTGGTTCCTGTGCGGGTCCAGCTTCTTCTTGGTGAGCACATCACCGCAGTTCTGGCCGGTCGCGATTAGCCTGAGCGCATCTCCAAGCGGGCGAGGGGCGTGTTGCGGAATGCGCGCTGGCGTCGAGGGGCACGCATGGGTAAACACTCACTTCGCATGAGAACGAGACCATGTTGAGGCAGATCAGACGGTGGACGGCAGACAGTGACAGGAGCGGTGAACAGAACAGCTGGCAAGACAGAAATAGAGGCGCAGAGGTCGGTGAGCGTGCGCGCCAGCATATACTCCCCTCTGTGCCCAGGTTTCAGATGGTGATTCGCAGCATCAACACCCAGGAAAACATGTTAGCGCATTCATGCGCCAGCCGGCCGCTAGCGAGACCCGGAGGCTGCGCTACAAGACCGCCCCCTGCATGCAAACGCTGCCAGGAATATCACGCGCCGGACCTGTCAGACGCCAGAGCTGTGCTGCATCCTGCCCGCAGACGCAAGCCACCGACGGGGACGTCACAGAACGGGTGGAGCTGTGGGTGCCAGCCTGACGATCGCCCGCCAGAGCGTGTTTTGCGGGCGTACCACCACACGCCCACTGTCCAGTCTTCGTGAGGGGTGGAGGGGTGGAGGGGTGCATCGCATGTAGAGATGCACTATTCGTGTTATCCATGCCTTCTCTCGTATCACATATTATGATTGCCTTTATTGAATACACGTTCGTTTTGCGCTTGCACGCGTGGCTGACAGACAGGCCTGTTGCTGGCGCTATTACCATGGCGAGCGCGTGAGCTCCCATTTGCCCAAGTCTACATGTACAATCTCTCGAATCCGCTACGTTGGTCTGCCCTCCTCCTGGTTTGCACCTCCCTGCCTGAGCATGGCGCCGTCGGGCCTATTCAGGACCACTGAGACATGTGTACATCTGCGAAGCCCGGCTGACCTGGCGAATTACGAGCAGCCGGGAGGACGGGTCAACCCTCGCTGCCCGGGTTCGTGCGGTGTCACCTGCTTCGTGTGCAGTGAGACATGTCGATCAAACTTCAAGGGCGAACAAGGGCCTCTTCACTGTTGTCGAATTGACTTGAGCACAGCAACACATAGGAGACGCACTTTCTGCGCAACGCCTAGAATGCCTTCAGAGCGTGTGTCTGAGAACTCGCAGCGTGGAGCTGTCGTCGCCACAGCGGGGCAGTGCCTTTGGCAAGCTGATAGCGCATACTTCCATGATTCTGCAGGTGATGTTTGCTTGTTCCGTAGTGCGATATGCCAACATCACGCAGCCTTCGGCTCTTTCTCGTCGTCCGCGCAGCCACAGTCGTAGTGCTTCGCTATCTCCTCGCAGTCAAATTCGGGCTTCTTCAACCGCTTGTTGACGACATTGTGTACAAAGCAGCCCCACTGCGCTGCAGCCTTCTGTGACGACACCTGCGGCGGGTACTTCTTGAGCACCTGACCGAAGTGCTCAGCGCACTCTCCGCAAGGGTAGAGTCGCTGGAAAAGGTGCACGTACTGCCGCAATGCTTCCTTTTCCTCGTCGGTGGGCTTCTCGGGGAAACGCGCGAAGTTGGTGTGCAGGAGTTTCCAGGCCGCGCGGCCTAGCTCTGCTCTATCACGCCGTGTCAGCTCTGCGCTCTCAGCACTGCGTCTGATGATCCTGAACGTACTTGGCTGTCGCATTCCCTAGCTTGGGCGCAATCGCGTGTCCTGTCAAGAGAGCCTGGCTGTCTCCGCTAAAGCGGCTCTGCTGCTGTCCGTTGTGTAGTATCGACGATGCGCTCGGCAATTGTGCTTTGTAGGGTCCGAGGAAGAGAAAGGACAGAGCGGCGAAGACAAGTAGGGCGAGAAAGGCAAAGCGTTTCGAGCGTATCATGGTGTCTATAAGGTCGTTTTGTAGTGGTTTGTGGTTTGTGGTTACAGAGGCATGCAGGAGGAATCGCTATTCAGGTCCGAAAGTATTGTGCGCGCATGTACCGTGGTTCAAGTGAAGTTACGAACCCTGGTGCGCGTCGACGTCTCTCAGGCCACGACGCCAAGATGTCTCCGACAGCCCATACGCGAACTTCATGTGGTGAGACGTCGTATTTGCAGGATGATGTAAACAGCGATCTATTTGGAAATTTTAGTACCGTCAGCATGCGTCAAGAGCACAAGATGCGATAGCAGCTGAGGCCTTTTGGTAGACTGCTGCGGCTGACTCAGGGCAGTGCCGGAAATGGCATCACCGATATCGCAGCTGTGGAGAGCTCACAGAACATCGAAAGCATCGACTTCCGAGATGACTTCCGAGGGTGCCGCGAACTGTCCAGTCACAACTACATATACCACACAACTCAACAACCGCCACACATATCGCATCCAACATGTCGGACTTTCCTCCCAAGCCCGTTGATACCATTGGTATGTGCAATGGCCGCAATTGCCACTGTGTTGGAGCTAACAAAATTCCAAGACTGGAGCAACATCGGCTTCAAGATCCGTGAAGGTAAGCTTTGTTTGCTTTTTGAAAGCGTCGATTCTAAATTGGGAAAATTGGGAAGTCGTGTCATGGCTGGTCAAAATGAGGAAGAGCTGGGAACATGCCTTGTACACAAGCCCGAGTGACACCTAACATCTCAAAGTTGCCGGACATGTCGAGTCACACTACTCTGTCGAGACCGGGAAATGGACAGAGCCAACTTTCGTCGAGGATCCCTTCCTGAGGATTCACGGCATGGCTCCGGTCCTGAACTACGGCATGCAGTGCTACGAAGGCATGAAAGCTTTCCGTTCGCCAGACGACACCATCAACATCTTCAGGCCAAACATGAACGCCGAGCGCATGCAGCACTCAGCCTCGTACATATCGATTCCTGAAGTACCCGTTGACCACTACCTCAAGTGCTGCAGCTTGGCGGTAGGCATGAACGCAGCCTATGTCCCGCCCCATGAGACTGGTGCAGCCATGTACATCCGTCCTCTTCTGTTCGGCAGCTCGGCACAGTTGGGCCTTAACCCACCCCAGGAGTACACGTTCGTAGTCTACTGCGTGCCCACTGGAGTCTACCACGGAAGCAACCCTGTCGACGCTCTGATCCTTGAGGACTTTGATCGTGCCGCACCAGTGGGAACCGGCTCGGCAAAGATTGGCGGCAACTACGCCCCTGTCCTGGTACACAGCGAGAAGGCATACAAGGCAGGCTACGGCATCACACTGCACTTGGACAGCAAGACCCGTAGCGTAGTCGATGAGTTCTCCACGTCAGCCTTTATTGGTGTGAAGAAGGATGGTGACAAGGTCAAGCTGGTTGCCTCTGGCAGCAAGAACGTCATCAAGAGCGTCACTGGAGACAGTATCCTCAAGATCGCGGAGTCTTTCGGCTGGGAGACGGAATCAAGAGAGGTATGTTGAAGTTGATGTTGGGGCCAATGGTAGTCTAACGCAGAGCAGATCCCCTACGAGGAGATCAAGGAGTTCGACGAAGTCCTTGCCGCAGGAACAGCAGCAGCTGTGGTCCCCATCAAGTCAATCACTCTGGTATCGAAGAACGACAAGATCACCTTTGCTGCAGCAGAGAAGGAGCCTGGCCCAGCTTGCGTCAAGCTGCTCACCACTCTGCGTGGTCTCCAGCAAGGCAAGATCGAGGACAAGCAGGGTTGGCTGTACAAGGTCGAGAGGCCCGCGCAGTTTGGCAAGACAGAGGTCAACGGCGAAGCCAAGGCTGTTGGACAGCTGCCTTGATCGGCTCTGATGACGAAGTAAATGAGGAATGACGACGATCTCCGACATCAACTCCAAAAGCACAGAACGATAGAATGCACAGACCATGAACATCAAGCTCTTCTGAAGTGACCATTGTTTGGAGCTCGACGCAAATCACGATTCAACACCAGCCATCTGTCGTGCACTGTCTGATCAGGAAACGTGCAAGTTCCGCGGTGTCGTACGTCATGTGTGGCCCCGCGTGCTTGCCCCACGTTCCGGCAATCCAGAAGTTCGGCAGGCAGACCTTACCTGCAGATGTGCAACGAGCTCTGAAAGTACACCGTCATACGTCCTGTGACCCTCCGAGCAGCACACAGCGACCGTCAAGTCGCACTATCTTTACCTAGGTCTCACAGACTCGGCGTCGCAGCGCGCCTGACAGCAACATGCCCGGTGGACTCAGCCGGCTAATGGACAAGGGCAGACACCACTTCCGCCAAACGCTTAGCCCGACTGACGATGCGTATCTTTCTTGTGAGCCAAGTGGTCAGAAACAACGGGTTCAGAGCTAATCTTGAACAGACCATGATATAAGGTGTGAGTACGCGACAACCGCCAGCAGCACTAGCGGCTGTACAGACTTGGCTGATGCGCCATAGTGATGCGAACGGATGTCGAGAGCATTAAGGATGACTGGCTCACAGACAACGTGCGTGTGCCTAGATGTCTGCTCGAATCCTCCGCTAATCCCGAGTACAGGCGATCGCATTCTGGCAAGAGTCCGTACCCACGTACCCCAAGTCTGAGCCGGCCTGATTGTGCCTAGATACCTCGAGCGCGAAGACCTGACGGCGTTCCCCAAGGCCTCGATCGTCCTCCTGCGCCCCTCGATGAGCTTCATGCTCATGCAAACACCCGAGCCACTCTCCCTCAAAGAAGCTCTCCCGGACTTCAGCACCACCACACACGTCTTCCTCCCCATAAACGATTGCGCCGATGTCACAGCGGCAGAGGGCGGATCACATTGGTCACTTCTCCTCGTTTCCGTAATCGACGGTGTAGCGTTCCACTACGACTCGATGTCCGCTAGCAACGACCGGGAAGCGCGGAGCACGACGATGAAGATGGAACAGCTGCTCGGGAAGAAGATTCGGTTCATACCGATGCACGACTCGCCGCAGCAGGAGAACGGCAGCGACTGCGGCGTCTTCGTCTGCGTGCTGATGAAGCATCTCCTGCTCAAGCGGCTGCTGAGGGCAGATGCGAGCAGGAAGATCAGCATGAGCATGAAGGACGCACACATCAATGCGCGCGACGGGCGGAAGCAGATGCTGAAGGTTATCGAGGACAGGAAGAAGGAGGGCGAGAGACGGCGCTCGTGAGTGCTCTGCAGATGATCGATAGCAAGACGTCAGCTAACAACCTCACAGACGCAGCCGTTCACCCTACCGACCGCACTCGGCGCAGTCGAAGAGCCCGCCTCGCATCGGCGCCGAGCAGGAAGAGGAGAAGAAGCATTAGAGCGTGCAGGAGCACATGCTTAGACCCTTTTACTGCAGCTTCTCCTCGCTGTAACCTGTCCAATCACCGCCCATGGGCCGTTCGAGAGGCAGGCTCGAGAGCACGAGTATGACATGATTATCACGAAACGACAAACTGCAAGTTACGGACACTACATTTTATACATGATTGCATGCACGACATTTAGACAGACGAGGCATCACGCGGAGTAGCAGGGTGCACGTTATATTTAATCATTCGAGTGAACGTGCGCTCACCACCAGTGATAGTTGCACTACTTGCTCGACACGATGCCTGACTCTGTGAAGCTTGACCTAGCTTGCGCGATAGCTCTGCTGGACTTGCACCGCAGTCCGAGCTCGGATCGGCAAAGGCGTGCTCTCACAGCGCCGATGATCATTCGCCCTCACCCACGCCGTTCCTGCATCTCTCGGTGGCTGTGTCATCCCCTGCCCCGCATTGCCCTCAAAACTACCCCTCCATCATGTCTCGCGCCCTCTCCTCTCTCACTCGCCTCACACCGCTCCTGCGCACCACCGCACCACTCGCCCACTTTTCACGCTTCAGCACTACAGCACGCAACATGGGTGTCCGCAAGACCGTTCTCGTCGAGGGCAGCGGCCCGTCGCCGCAGCAGGGTGACACCGTCACGATGCTGTACACGGGCTGGCTCAAGGAGGACGGCAAGAAGGACGGCAAGGGCAAGCAGTTTGACACGACTGAGAAGCCTGGCCGCGGACCGTTCAAGACGCCCATTGGCGTCGGGCGCGTCATCAAGGGTGCGTTTACTCTGCTGACTATGCGGTTGACCGGCTGCGACTATGCGGTCGACCGGCATTGCGGCGTATCTTGCGGTTGACCGGCTGCGACTATGCGGTTGAGCGGCATTGCGACGCATCATGGCTGACCTGATGACACCAGGCTGGGACGAGGGCGTCGTCCAGATGAAGCTCGGCGAGAAGGCGAGGCTGGATATCAGCTCCGACTTTGCGTACGGCAGCCAGTAAGTCGGCACCCTCCTGCAACATTACTAGTCTAACGCGACGCAGGGACGTCGGCGGCGGTCTGATCCCGGCCAACTCGGAGCTCATCTTCGAGGTCGAGCTGAAGAAGATCAACTAAGCAAAAGAGGATTCGTGGATGAGGACGAGAGACGCGCTGAGCGGGGATGGCGAGCTGTTCACGCTGGAGGGTACTCGTCTCACAATGAATCTCATAAACGAGCAGTTATGTGCACTCGCTGTGATGAATTGTTCCTTGTTACACTCCCCCATGGCCATTGACGTGGTGTCGACGCTGATGGAGCTGCAGACGCAGGCTCCAAGCGCCACAGGCACGCTGTCAGAGACTGCGGTGCAGAGGTCGTCGACAGCAAACGTGGTTCAGACAGTCGACAGCAAACGTGGTTCAGACAGTCGACAGCAAACGTGGTTCAGACAGTCGACAGCAAACGTGGTTCAGACAGTCGTCAGCAAACGTGGTTCAGACAGTCGACAGCAAACATGGTTCAGATAGTCGACTGCATTACATAATCAGTCACTTGTGTCATGGATCTATGCTATTCTAGATGCAATTCGTCTTTTGTACAGGTATGCTACATCCCCGCCCAGCCCATCAGTACTGGAACTTGGTCCGCTCAGGGTCGGCAAAGGTGCCGTTCTGGCGGGCCTGGGCCCAGTCAATCTTGCTCCACCAGGCGCGCAGATAGGCGTCCTTGCCGTTGACGCCGTAGTCGCGCAGCCAGGCGTGCTCCCAGGTGCTGACGCACAGCAGCGGCACAATGTCGACGCCGCCCAGCGGCTTCTTCGGCGGCTGCACGTTGGGCTGCTTCGCGGCGGACCCAAAGGCGCCGACGTTGTTCAGCTCCGTGTGCGACTCGGCGCTGTGCGTCGACAGGTCGTGGCTCTGGCGGCGGTAGTGGGCCCCGCTCAGCGGCGTGCCGGCCAGGTACGTGGGCAGGATGCGCAGCCCGCCCGACTGGGTGGTGTCCTTGAGCTGGACGAGCCACACGAAGCCCGGGCCGAACATGGCCGAGGCGGTGGCGATAAAGGTCTCGCGCAGGGTGTCGACCGAGGCAAAGTCGCGCTGCAGCTGGTGCAGCAGGTCGGTCGGCGGGGTCGAGACGAGGTCCGGGTTCGTGTTGATGCCGCGGAAGAAGAAGTGGTTGTTGAAGGCCATGCTGGCCAGGTTGAAGGCGTAGGCGCGCATAGGGTCGCGCGCGAACTCGATGACGAGCGACTTCATGTCCTGGCCCTCAAAGGGCGTGCCCTGCGTGACGCCGTTGAGCTCGTCGACCAGCTGCTGCTGCTTCTGCGAGAAGGCCGTGGCGAAGCCGTCCCGCGACAACAGCCCGGGGATGCCGTCCGCGACGAGCTGCTGGTGCCGCTCCAGCGACGGCACCGTGTAGAGGCTGCGCGCGGCGCTGGGCGCGATGCGCGTCCGTGTCTGCGAGTTGCTGTCAGCGCGCCGCTCTCGAGACCCGCGCCGGGGGGGTCGCATACGCTCGCAGCCGAGGCCGCAGCCCGGAAAGGAGAGGCCGCAGGCCGCCTGGCGAAGCACCGCAGAATCGTCATGGTCGCGAGGTGATGAGGCGGAAGACGAGCCCAGTAGTCCCGACACCTCGACGTTGGCTGTGCTAACATTTTGCCCGGGGTCGTCTGGCGCCAAGGAACCCGGGCCCCGCAGCGCCCAATCACCGCGCGTTTTCGCCAGCCAGCGCAGCGTTGCCCAAACCGCAGCCGCCTTTGCGTGTTTCACCCGCGCGACTGCTCGCTGCCGTGAGCCATACAAAAAAACCTGCGCTAGTCGAGTCTTGCTGCTGGCAGACGACGTTACTAGAAGCTCTCGTCCACTCGACGCCTCCCCGCTCTATTCCGGGCACGCTGCGCTGCAGAATGGCTGGCCACGAGCGAGCCCAGTGTGCAGTGGGGCCCGCCTCTTGCGGCTCTCGTGCGTTTCTCCATGGGCGAACATGGTCAGGATGTAGATGTGCTCAACCGCTTCCTCTGTTCTAGTCTGCCTGTTTCCTTCGTTCGAGTCTGCCTGTTTCTCCGCTCTGGTCCGCGTGTTTTCTCCACTCTGGTCTGCGTGTTTTCTTCGCTCTAGTCTGCGTGTTTCCTCCGCTCTAGTCTGCGTGTTTCCTCCGCTCTAGTCTGCTTGTTTCCTCCGTTCTAGTCTGCTTGTTTCCTCGTTCTAGTCTGCGTGGCTCCTCGTTCAGTCTGCGTAGTTCCTCGTTCAGTCTGCGTGGCTCCTCGTTCAGTCTGCGTGGTTCCTCGTTCCCTTCGTCTGCGTGTCTTGGGTTTCTTCTGTCCTGCTGTTCATCTTCAGTTCGCGGTCTGGTACCCACCTCTTCTTCAGCCTTCCTTTCGTACCAGCTGGACTGCTTCACATCTTCGCCATGGCCAGAATATCGACGCTCCCCGCTTTCCTCCTCTTCGCAACAGTAGTCACATCGACGCAGGCGGCCAGCCTCCTTCTCCGACAGGCGCAGACATGTGGAGGCGTGCAGGGCCTGCAGCAGTGCGGCGGCAGCTTGCCCTCTGATTTCTGCTGTCCAAAGGACTCGACTTGCATGAACCTGAACAGCGCAGACGTTCAGTCGGTCATCTGCTGTCCGGCAGGCCAGGACTGCGCCTTCATCCAGCCCATCACCTGCGACGTCACCCAGCTCAATGCAACCCTCTACCCGGACAACCAGATGCACCTGTCCAGCACGACCGGCGTTGAACTTCCAACATGCGGCGCCAAGTGCTGTCCGCTGGGCTACACATGCAGCAGCGGCATGTGCAAGAAAGACGAGACGGCACCGACACCCACATCGTCGGCCACCCCGTCACCGTCCGCTTCGTCACCGTCCGCCTCGTCGCCGTCCGCTACCAAGCCTGCCTCGGAAGCCGGCTCCTCCCAGACAAGCGGCTGTCCCACGCCTGTGTCCGTCGAGCAGGGCTTCGACGGCAAGTCCTTTGCAGCTGGTCTCTTCCCCGGCCTCGTCATCGGCGCGCTCGGCGCCATTGCACTCATGTGGCTGATCAACAAGCGCCGCTCGACGCAAGCCGAGAAGAAGTACTCTGGCGACTTTGGCCATGTCGCGCGTCAAATCAGCGACCCCATCTACGACCCCGAGCACGCAGCACGCGTCGACTTCATCCGCCGGCCGTCGCACTCGACCCACCGCTCGCCCAACTCGTACCGCTCCAACACGGCCATGGTCTCCAACGGCATGCCCTCCAAGCCCACTATCGGCACCGGCCTCACCCCCCGCATCAGGAGCATGTGGGACCGCACGCCCAAGCTGAACTTTGGCTTCCCCACCTCCGCCCCGGGGCTGCCCTCGAACCCGAATCCCAAAGTCGCGCGGCCGCCCCCCGCCGTGCGCGCAGGCAGCAGCGACCGCGACCCGTACAAGACGCCGACCGTGACGCCGGCGCGCGCCGCCTCGCAGCGCCGCACAAGTCGCTCCTCGCGCTCGCGCCGGCGCGACCCGGAGATGAGCGAGCGCGGGCGGGCGCAGCGCGACAACCCGCGCCCGGCGCCGGAGCGCGAGCACAGCACCGAGACCATCGACGTGCTCATGCCGGCGCCGCATCTGAGCTTCCTCGCGCCGCCCAAGGCGCCGGGCATGCGCGAGAACCGCGATACGTGCGACAGCGGCACGACGACGTTTACAAAGCTCATGGAGCGCGCGGGGTTTGACGATGATATCGAGCGGGGGGTGAAGAATCTCAGTTCGCCGGCGAAGCGCTTCTAGCGAGTGGATGCGAGGATGACATTTATGAAGTGGATGGGTAATGATTTCCTAGTCGTTGTCGTTTTCTTGTTGTCGTTGTTGTTGTTGTCGTTGTTGTTGTCGTTGTCGTTGTCGTTGTCGTTGTCGTTGTCGTTGTTGTTGTCGTTGTTGTTGTCGTTGTCGTTGTCGTTGTCGTTGTTGTCGTTGTTGGGGTAATGAGCAGTAGACCTGCTCGCCGCTTGCCACGGCTGGAGGACGTTAGATACCAGGCATGGACGCCCCCTTTTTATTCTCCCTTCTCTTTTCGATTCTACGCCTGGTTCGGATTGTGCAGCTTTGACAGCATTAAACTACCCGTAACGTCTCGTTCGACTCGCGGTGCGACGTGATGTGATGTGTCGGCTCTTGCCCGTGGCTTCAGCACTTGCCGTTTCTGGTGAGCACGCGGTCTGCATGCTTGTGGCGTGTATTCGACTCCAGCCTTGCGCATGGTCGAAGAAAGTTGCAGCGTGGAGCAGCTGCACGCGGGACAGTGCTGCCAACACCCACGAGGTGAAGTCGTCCTACCCTAACCGTCGTCCTACCCTAACCATGCGACCCAGCACGGTCTGCTGCGCGTCTTACACCACGTTGCCACAGGTTGCTGTTCTTGGTGATCACGTGTAGATCTCCACGCGCGCGCACCGTCCCGAGCAAGAAGAGGGCGTTCTCGGGCCGCTGGTCTGGGAGCGGAGCTGCACCCAGCCTGGACCTGCGTCCTTTGTCAACGCCTGAGAATCCTTTATTCCAGGTAGTCCCTATGAGAAGCTGAATCTCCTGTGCATGGCCCTGTCCCCTTGCACATCTCTTTCGCAGTCCACTATTGAAGAGTCCTCTACGCCGCTCAGGGACTTGTTGTGGAGCATAGCTGGCCGTCGAGCTGCGCGCACCGTCGACTCGGAACGTCTCCTTCGCAGTGGGCCACATGAGAGGCCTGAAACACGACTGCCATGCGAACCTCTAGCCGCCCTGCGGCCGCTTTCGAGACCGTCCGTCACAGCTTGGCGGGCGGCTGTATCGTAGTCGACCAATGGGAAGCCAGAGACGCGCGAAAGCAGCAGAGCCCAATATCTTGCAGTGCAGTCATGGAGACGGCCTACGCAAGGTCGCCTCGGACGGCAGCGGGAATCAGGCGCGTTGCCGGTCTTCCAGCACCCTACATATATCCTCACCGGCCCCTGCACATGTGAAGGGACCTGCTGCGCTCCTGTCGTCAGACGTCATCTGTCACTACCCCACCACGCGCCTACCTACTCTCTATCTGGGCGGCAGCTAGCACGTCCGTCTGCGAGTGAACCAAGATTCGAGTACCTTTCATTGTGCCAGCAGCCCCTCCCACGACCTTGGAGCAGCATCTTGCAGCAGTATGGAGGGCCGTAAGCAGGGAAGGCCGGAGGAGGAGCTCTTCCTGCGATATGATACAGGCCCGGCCACGCCCACAGTCGGGCCCCTGAGAATACAGAAGCAGTCGCCGACGTCGAAGAGCCCGCCGCCGCGAACAGACTCGGCTGGCAACGCGAGCAAGCCGCCAGCTTTCTCGCGCCCACCGCCCATGCCCTCGTTTCCCGCGCCGCCTTCGAGTCCGCCCACCGTCCCGCCTCCCACCGCGCCTCTCCCGTATCCCGTAGACAACGAGCCGCCTGTGCTCAGCCAGGGCAGATACACGCCGCTCAGTGAGCGCGAGCGACCCGCAAGGAACGCGACCCCGCCACAGCCAGACGGCCGCAGACGAAGCTCAAACGCAGCGCCAATCCCCTTGTCGCCGGAATCGCGCGCTCGATTCGACGCAAACGACCCAAACAGACCGAGCGTGGGCGGATATGGCGGGTCGATCCAGCCCTCGCGGCTGGCCGAGCGACGAGGCACAGCGCCCAAGCCGCTCCCAGACTCGCCCGGTCCAGAAACACCCGACAAGGACGGGCTGTTTGCAAAAGCCCCGCAGAGGAAGGGCAGCACAGAGCCGAACCCGTTCCCCGAGTACCACCAGCAGTACTGGCCTCCGCCGAATGCGAACACTAGCGCGGGCGCATCCTCGAGCCAGCCGGTGCCGCAGGCACTCAGCATCCCCAACCCCGGAGGCATCAACCGTCTGAGCTCGACAGCATCGACATCCACCGTGAAAGCACAGCGCGGCTCGCCCCCACCCCCCGAGACGCCCATCATTCCACCGCCTGGCGGCGGCATTGAAGCGCGATTTGCAGCTGCTGGAATAGCGGGGACGTCGACTTTGACGAGCCTGCAGGCGCAGAGCGCTCAAAATGCGGCAGCTGCGCAAAGAAACCAAGTCTATGCGAACCAGCAGCCTCGACCGGTCATCAGCTCGCCTGTCCCTAGCCAGCAGCAGCACCAGCAGCAGCACCAGCAGCATCAGCAGCACCAGCAGCAGCAGCCCATTCAGAGGCCTTGGACTCCAACAGAACAGCCAGGGCAGACACCCTATGGCCAGCCACAAGTGTATCAGGGAATGGGTGAGGCACAACCCGGCGCTACCAGCACGCCTCCCCAAGGCCCTCTTCCACAAGCACCAAGTGGTGTGGGCAACGTGTCTTCGCCGCCTCCCAGCAGCATGAGACCAGAGCATCCTCTGACGCAGGATATGGGTCGTATGACCGTAAACGATGAGCCACCGCCATCGTACTCGAGCATCCAGCAGGCAAACGCCCAACAAGCACAGCGACACGCGAACGAGAAGGGACAACAACCACAGCCCGCTCCCCAGGGCGTCTCGTTGACAGATCCAATGCAGGGCCACCCTGCCTTTGCAAACGATCCGCGGCCTCAACAGGCAGGTCCGTCACAGCCCGCAGAGGTCGTCTCGCCAACCCCAACAGCACAACAGGCTCTGCCCCAGATCCAGACATCCCAACCAGCCCACACCCCGAGTCCTGCTCCAGGGGCCGGTCCAGCGTCCCCTCCACCTCTTCCCGAGGGGTGGATTGCACACCTGGATTCGTCTTCTGGCCAGTACTACTACATTCATCTCCCTACACAATCCACGCAGTGGGAATTCCCCAAAGGCCCTACCCCACTGAATCTCAACGAGCCGTTGTCTCCGACAGGCACCTTTGTCAACCCTCTAGCATCACCATCCTTTGGCAAACAGCCTCTGGCATCGCCTGGATTTCCAACGCAGACGGTCGGCTACTCTAGCGACTTCGGCATGGCGCCACTCGCGACACCAACTGCAGCAGGCTTCACCGGACCACCCCCGACGGCGGGCGTCGACACATACAAGGTACAGCCCACAAATGGCGTGTACTTTGGGCCTTATCTCAGATACACAAACATGGATCTTGAGCGAGGATTGTGGCTTGGATCGATTCTGCTCGTCTCAAACACCCCACATCCTCCGACGATCCACATCCACCAGAGTCAAGACCTGTCGCCGAACCCTCGACAGCTCAAGGCAAACCCCATTTACACTCATCAAACATGGATCTTCTACCGATACGACATCGACTTGAAAATGGACGAAGAGCATGCAGCTAGATGGACTTATGCCATTACCTCGCATCTCGGCTGCACTCGCTACGAGTTCCTGGTCGCCGGCCGCCACGAGACGAGCTGGAGATTTATCGCTCATTCCGGCAACGATTTCGCGCTGAACGTGAGCGCCAACGAGCGCACCAAGCTCGGCGGCATAGGCCTCATGTGGAAAGATATCCTGCAAAAGAACACAGAGTGCGGAGGTTTCCATGTCCAACTGGGTCTTGGCGGCCAGATCTACGCGGACAGGTTGTGGAAAGAAATTCCTCTGTTGAAGCAGTGGACTGCCACCAGCGGGAAAGAAGCACGCAAAAACGCCCCTTGGACAGCAAAGCATGAAGAGGAAGTTTGCCATGCCTACTTCCATTACTACACGAGCCACTTTGACCAGCCGAACCTAAGAGAAGCGTTCGCTCAAATCCCCCACGTCCTTTCGCTCGACGATCATGACATGTGAGTAAACCCTGTCCCCGATCAATGGCATTACTAACGTTCTGTAGCTTTGATGGCTTTGGCTCATACCCAGAGTATATGCAATTCTCGAATATGTTCAAGAACATCGGGCGCCTTGGTATTGAAATGTACCTGCTGTTCCAGCACCACACTACGCTGGAGATCCTTCGCAATGTCAGCAGCGACATTGATCTCTTCACCGTTACTGGCACCGGCTGGCATTTCATCAAGTACCTCGGCCCATGCGTCACAGTCGTGGGACCCGACTGCCGTTCTGAGCGCAACCCGCATCAGGTCATGGCCGGACCGACATACCAAGGCATATTCCCCAAGGTTGCAACACTGCCGCCGAGCGTGCAGCACTGCATCTGGATGGTGCCGGTGCCAATTGTCTATCCCCGCCTGGAGTCTGTCGAGCATCTTGCTCACTCCATGGCGACCGGCAAGAAGGCAGTTACTGGCACTTTCAATATGCTTGGCAAGGTTACTGCCGGTGTTGCTGGCGTTGTTGGAGCAAAGAGTGTAGTTGGCGACGGCTTCAACTCAATCAAGAAGGCTGTTGGCAAGTCTGGCCTGATGAGCGGCGTTCTGAGTCCATTTGGAGAGATTGATCTGCTTGACGAGCTGAGAGATATGTGGACTCATGAATCAAAGGTAAGCTTTTTGATCGTACAGCGTAGGGTTCTGCTGACAGCCTCAGGATCTTGAGCGCACATACTTGATTCGCACACTTCAAGGCATCGCTCATAACAAGTCATTGCGTATGACATTTTTCTCGGGAGCTGTCGACTGTTGCGGTGCTGGACTTGTGCATGACCCAGCGAGGCCGCAGGACCACAAGACCATGTACCAAATCATCTCATCCTCTGTGGTCAACGGACCTCCCGGCAACTACGTGCTCCGACTGTTGCATAACAACCGTGCGCTATACGTACCGCAGAACGGTCATCGCAGCAATCACCAGCCTTCAGATACCAAGGAAGACATGATGGAGATCTTCACGCAGGACGTAAATGGCCAGCCCCGCGAATACCGGCGCCTCATGGGCCGCAGAAACTACGTCGCCTGTGTCATTTACGATCCCGAGATTGTCAACGGTACATTCGGGCAAGCAATGCCTGGAAACGGCGGCGGGAGATTGAGCCTGGCGGTGGACTTTATGGTGCAGAACGATGGTGGCTACAGTGCGCCGATGAAGTATGGACCAGTCATTGTGCCGAGCTTGGAGTACGGAAGGTGAGCGGCCTGACGGCATGCACCTTATGCACGAGTGTTTTGTTGTTGCGTTTCAGCGGTTGCATGGCAAGGAATTAATTGATGTTCGTGTATCTATTGCCTTGAGCTTCTCGCGTTTCGCAGGCTCTCGGACAGTGATATCTGCGAATGTGTCCAACTTGAAAGCTGGAATTGATACTTCGACACAAATATAACAGTTGTACATATGCTCGATACCATGCCGCAGGCGCGCCGATCCGATACCGGGAACGGTGTTCTGTGTTGTGCAATGACGACTCGCTCCTAGCGCGAGTCGGCTTCACACGCTTTCTCGCGGACGATCGCATTCACGACCGCAACACCACAATGGCAGCACCTATGGTCTCGAAAACAGCGATACCACGATTCTTGCTACCGCAAAGGTCCTGGGTGATTACGAATGCTTTCAGACCCACGACACGATGCGTAGTTGAAGCGAGGCGGCATCGCTGTTCAGCAGCTCCTGAGCGATGCGCCCCGAACCCGGTGACCACCGCGTTACAACGACAACGCGCACTGCAATCTCAGAGACAGTCCGAAAGCTTCGCTGCCGGCTACGCGTCTGCCCTCGAGTTTCGTCGCAACTTCAGCGCCACCGCACCGCAACGCAAGGATCACCACTTCGACACGCTCAAGTTTATCCAGCGTTTGAAAGAGGAAGGCTTTACAGATGAGCAAGCAGAAGGCATGATGAGGGTGCTGGGAGACGTCATAGAAGAAAGGTGCGTCGCGCATGCAGCACCTGCAAGGGACCAGGCTGACACCTCACAGCATACAAAACCTCACGCGCACCATGGTCCTGCGGGAGGATCAGGAGAAGGCCACATACACGCAGAAAGTCGACTTTGCGAAACTGCGATCCGAGCTCATGACGGCCGACTCGACCGAGTCCTCGCTGACTCGCGCGTCGCACGAGCGGCTGACCAACGAGCTGGCCAAGCTGAATTCACGCCTGCGAGACGAGATACAGCGAACTCAGGCGTCCGTGCGGCTGGACTTGAATCTCGAGAAGGGTCGCATCAGGGAGGAGGCAAATGTCCAAGAGCTCAAGTTGAAGGAGACCGAGACAAGGATCGAGCAGGAGACGGCGCAATTGCGAGAGCGACTGGAGGCAGTCAAGTTCTCTACGCTGCAGTGGCTGATGTACGTGACAGCAGTCTGCTATGTGGCTCTAGTTGGCATTGCTAATCCGTTCGCAGGGGTGTTTGCACGGGTACTGCTGCGCTCATGCTCGGTGTTTGGCGTTTGTTGATGTGAAGCAATCGCGCTTGAAACACCCACGAGACGTGCGCATGGACGGGCTAACTACTGGAAACATGTGTAGGGCTGTGTACACACAAAGGATCGGGCTACTTTCGGCAGAACAACGGGCCACGGAGACCGAGGACGTCTCCAGCACATCCCTGCTTCTCACGCTACAGCAGCTACGCACCCATAGTTCATGTACCAGGTATGCGCTGCACGAAGGATGCGTGCTGCAGCGGACGGGGAGCCGTGGGCGGGCCCGATACGATGTGCAGACGCTGGACAGCGCAACGTGTCGGTACACCAGCCATACCGTTGCTCTGGTATCAGGAAGACGCGGCATTGCAACGCTGGCGGCGAACTGCCCCTCATATGATGCAATTGCAGGCAGCCAGCCTGCTTCGTCCAGTGTCTCAACATTCCCATGCAACGACTTCCATGTTGTGATCGAAAGGAATGCATCTAAGGGGTTCTGGCATAGGTATTAATGCAGCCTTCATCGCATGTGGCACGACTCATGGGCGGTGGTTCAGGCTTGACGTCTGCGAATGGCCCGGGTTTCTAGCCTGTTCCACGACAGCGCGTGATTGGCCCCCAGCATGGCATGGTTCACCAGCCAGGCTCGCTGGCAGCCGCCCATTGCAGCGTGACCTGGTGCGACACCCGTCCGAGTGTTGTTGACGTTGAAGGCGGCAGCAGAGGATTTGGATGCAGCAGACGCTGAGCAGCGCATTTGCACATGACAAGAGATCACATTTAGGTGTGCCGACTGTTTGTGTACACAGAGAGCCACGCCAGCTAGCCCTCTGGACCCCTCATTGCCAAGAGGACATAGAAACCTGGAGCAACAGAGGAAGTGTGTAGAGACCAAGAAGCGTGTGCAAGGCAAGCAGCCTCGCGGCAAGCAGGCAGGGCATGTGATCGAAACGGCGTCTGGAGAAGGCGCAGTGGGGTGGTGGTTGTCCATGGGCAGTCGCTCCTTGGCGCCGTCTTCACCTGTCTAGACAGCCGCTCGCTTCCTCCCAATCTCCCCAAAACAACTCGACAAACTCTTCCGTGAACCTCTACAGCACACCGCCTTGTATCCTTCCAAACACATCTCCACCCAGCCCAGACTCTCTCTCTCAGTACCCCCGTACACCGCACCACCGACACAATGGCGAACGAGGTACGTGACCCTTTATCTGCGCCCTCCCCGCCGTTGCTCCCCGGCGGGATGCCCCTCTGGCGCTCAACCCCGGCCACAATGATTGTCAATAGAGGCTAATGTGACGGCCCCCAACAGCGCGAGAGGTACGCAGCGTCGCCCGCCGAGTCCGCACGACCGCGTTATTGACGTCGCAACAGCAAGACTTTCCTCGCCAGGCTTTGCGAACAGGCTGAGCGCTACGATGGTAAGTGCTGGCATGTCCAACGTGTCAGCCGCGCATGCTAACGGAGCGCCTCGCAGAGATGGTCACGTACATGAAGGTCAGTCGACAGCCGCACACGCACACGCCTCTGCACTCACGTACTGACTCTCCTGCAGGAAGTTGCCAAGGTATGCCCACACCGTTTCGCCAGCCGTGCCAGCATGCAGCCGCGGCGACGCTGCAGCGCCAGATGATGTGACCTAACCCACTGCAGATTGGCGGTGAGCTCACTGTTGACGAGCGCAACCTCCTGTCCGTCGCCTACAAGAACGTCGTCGGCACACGACGTGCCTCGTGGCGCATCATCTCCTCGATCGAGCAGAAGGAGGAGTCCAAGGGCTCTGAGAAGCACGTTGGCACCATCCGCGACTACCGCCAGAAGATTGAGACGGAGCTCGAGCAGGTCTGCCAGGATGTCCTGAATGTCCTCGACGAGTCTCTTATTCCCAAGGCCGAGTCTGGCGAGTCCAAGGTCTTCTACCACAAGATGTGCGTTGCAACGGGCCTGTTGAAATCACTGCAGCGCTGACACCATGCAGGAAGGGTGACTACCACCGTTACCTCGCCGAGTTCGCGTCGGGCGAGAAGCGCAAGGTCGCTGCAACCGCCGCACACGAGGCTTACAAGGTATGACGCAATCAAGATATGCGCGAATGCAGATCAGATGACTGACGAGATGAATAGACGGCCACGGACGTTGCTCAGACTGAGCTCACTCCCACTCACCCCATCCGTCTGGGTCTGGCGCTCAACTTCTCGGTCTTCTACTACGAGATCCTGAACTCGCCCGACCGTGCTTGCCACCTTGCCAAGCAGGCTTTCGACGATGCCATTGCTGAGCTCGACTCCTTGTCCGAGGAGTCCTACCGCGACAGCACCCTCATCATGCAGCTTCTCCGTGACAACCTCACCCTCTGGACATCGTCGGATGGCAATGAGGCTGAGGCTGCTGACTCTTCCGCCCCCAAGGAGGAGAAGGCCGCTGACGCCGAGGCCGCCGCTCCTGCCGAGCAGAAGAGCGAGGAGGCACCAGCTGCCGCCCCTGCTGCCGCCTAAGCAGTTCCTACCTCTGTCGACCGGTTCATCGCCAGTCACCGTCTCCTAGTTCCGGATAGACGAAGGAGGCTGCTACGGCAGCGAGCGTCCTACGGAGTTGTATGTGTCCTGTGATTTTGAAAATTGGCTTTAGCAGCGAGCGGGTCGGATGGTCAAATTCCCCATGACTGATGTGTTTCCCTTTACTCTCCTGTATCACCCGCACTGTCCTCATCGAGCATGCAGTCTACTGGGGCCGCGTTTATTGCGCGACCGCCTAGATATTTGGTATCCTTTGTGCAGAGGGCACTAATACTGCGTGTGGAGATGGAGGGTTTGGCGTGGTGCCTCAATGCAATCCCCCTATTCCCCTGTTCTTTGACTTTGCCCATATGAACGACCCCTTTTTGCAGCTTGACTCGCGCTTGCTCAGACTACTGTCTTTAATGCCCCGTACTATGTCTGCGGGTTCACCTGAAGAAACGGGATATAGATTCGAGAGATGCTGACAGTCACACCGAGACCATGCGGTGGCTGTTCCATGGGCCTGGGTCCACCCCACTAAAAAGTCTGGCGGTGAATCGACAACCCCACTGTGTTCATCCCCCACATCCACGATTGCTGAAGCCTGAATACATGTCTTCACCAGCCGTGCAGTCATTTTGAGGGGTTTGCGTATACAGCGGCCATGCCCTGAGCCACGCGAATTCACGGTCAACGTACCACGAACGGCCAGCGCCTGCCTAGAGCCCACGGCCAAACGCACCGCACTTGGACTCGACGCATACACACAGCCCGGCGTCGCAATGGCGTACACACACAACTACTACCACATCCTCGGCCTCGACGCGCCTGGCCCCGCGTCTCCGGCCGCCCGCCCCAAGAGCGCCGAGCTGCGCCGCGCGTACAGGACTGCGCTGCTCAGGGCGCATCCGGACAAAGCCAGCACGACTGCGACCGCGACTGCAGCCAAGGCGGAGCGAGGGCAGAGAGGAGAAGTAGCAGGAAAGGGAGGCGCCGCATACACGGTCGACCATGTCAGAGAGGCGTTCCGCGTCCTCGACGATCCGGCGAGCAGGGCGCGGTACGATGCCTGGGTCGTCACGACTCCGCACTTCCTATCCTCGTCTGCGGGGAGTCACTTGGGTACCGCTGCAGCTGCATCGGGCGTGCAGACGCTCAGCGCGGACTTTGTGCTTGGCCTGGATGTGCTGGATCTCAGTGACTTCCGCGAACTGGACTCCGGCCCCGAACAGGAGGTGGAGTGGTGCCGCGCGTGTCGGTGTGGTGAGCAAGTGGGGTTTCGTATCCGAGAAGAGGATCTTGTGGATGCGGAGCAAAGGGGCGAGGGGGAGGTGCTTGTTGGGTGTCAGGGGTGTAGTTTGTGGGTCAGAGTTGGGTTTGGAGTTGACGAGGGCTGAGGTCGGGAGAAGGGGGGGAGATGTGTGAAAGCATGTGTGCGCGGTGCGGATGATGGTGTTGTGTTGCCTTCAGCCTGGTGCTCTGATGCAGCTTGCGCACGGCATCTGCTGGGGTCGCGGGAGGCGAGGAACAGGATATACGAGCTCGTCGCGTCGAGCAGGCGACTATTTGCACTGGAATGGTTTTTGCTATCTTGCGTACAAGTGCTCACGGCCTGGAGGTAGCCGCGGTGTCTGTCATCGCCCACAACACACCCCAGCTCGACGCCGAATACAGATCACCATCCACGGCTTTGCAGGTCCCCAGTCCAATATACACTTCGTCGCCGTCCTCATCCAGCTCGTCGCGGTCCTTGACGCGCTCCCCCGTCTCTGCGAAGTGGTCATGTTGATCGCCTCGGCCCAGGCCTCGGGAAGCTCCAGATGAGCGACGTTACCGCAGATTGCCAGCTCGGCGCGCAGGAGCTTCAGGTGCTGTGCTAGAGTGACTCGCTCAGCCGGGATATGTTCCAGGTCCACTGCAAGTCGTCCGCTGCTCCTGTGACCGTCAGCCTTGCGCGGGCAGAACGACATGTTGACTTAGACTCTCTCTCAGCGCCCCCATGTCAGGCGTTGTGCGGTGAATCTCGGTGAAGTCGAGAACACCGCACTCGAACGGACGGTGGGCTCTTCTTGAGGTAGGGCTGCGTCATGCGGACTGCAACCGCTGGATCCATATCGAAGATGTCCAGACTCGGGGGCTTCGTATGCCAATGTGCCGCCAGGGCGAGCGGGGGGGATGCGGTGAGCGACGCCATGCTGGCTGGTGACGAAGGTAGCTTCTAGGTGGAAAGAGAGGAGAGAGTGATGTAGGTGGGACTTGGAGAAAGAAACGAACGGATGGTGTCGGTGAGACTGCACCTGGAGTGACAATTCCCTTCGCTTCTATGGTTTACTTGCGCACTGCACCTTGGATGTTTGCCCCCTGCTTGTTCTGCGGATCAGTGGGCTTGTATGACATATTGGAGGATACGGATGCACGCGGGATAGCCCAAATGGATTACTTACAGTGACTATGGGTTATATATGTACAACGGCTGCAACAATAAGCGAAGAGCAAGCAGAAGGTCCCGCGCGCATGCCACTCGTCCGAAACCATAATGTGACCAAATGCACACCACATTGGGAGATACGAACCACATGGTGAACAAAGACCGCAGAGCACAGAGAAAGATACGTATGGAAATGCATTTGGCTCGCCCCATAAAGACCTTTTCTACCCACCACCAACGCCGCGCCCAAATAGCCTCTAATTCCAAAATTGATATCATACAGGGGTATATACATTTGGGATGCGCATGCCCATGTGCATTCGACCGGAACTTGGTTTCCATTGACATACACGCCCATGTGCGTTCTTGTCCTTGGCCGCAACTTCGGTGTTCTCGAACATTCGACGACATTGTCATTCACGCAGTATTCAAGCCGTCCTTCACAAGCCGCTCCTTGACAGCAGTCACAAGGTCCTCGAACTTCTCCACAAAAGGGACATTGTAGCGTTCGCAGACCAGGTGAATGTTGCCTGCACGCCAGAACCTAGAGTCGCAGCACACGATGACCTTGCCGGAACTCGCCCACAGACCGAGCTCCATCATGGTCACGGGACTGACCGTGTTCGCGTCGAAGAAGAAGCAGATGAGATCGACCTTCTCCAGCGCGGAAAGCTCCCACACAACCTGCTGCTTGAACAACGCGTCCTTGGCAGACTTGGTGACATTCGGGTCCCAGTTTCCTCTCCGCGGATTGCAGATCGTGATGGGCAGATCTCGCAGCGTCGCAGCCATCTGCTTCTGCCACTGCACGGCTTTGCCCATCTCGATGCTGCCCGCCAAGAAGAGAGACTTGCCGCCTGTGTACTCTGGGTTCTCAGGCGGCAGGCTATGCTCGAACTTGGCGTGTTGCTCTGGAAGCGGGTCCGGGAATGGAGGCAGCTGACCCATGCTGTCCACGACTTGTGCATCTATATCGACTGCGCCGGCCTTGCGCGCGACCTTGGAAGGCTGCTCTTCTTCATCCTCAAACTTCCTCTTGCACATCAAACATTCCCTATGCTCTTTGGGCTCTTCCCCCGTTTTCGTAGCCATAGTTGATGCCCGATTGTTGCGTGCTAATGTTGTTTTGTCGCGTGACGCTTCCTGTCGCGCGGGCCTGATGAATGTACAACTAGATCGCCCAAAGTGCCCGACGATTCTGTGAGTGCTTGAAAGTGCAGAAGCTTCAGCGGCGTTCAAGACTGGCGATGTCGTCGATCGTCTGAGGCTGAGGCTGGTGTATGACGGTTGAACGGGACAACCGAGATGGGGGGTACCTGTCGGCCTTATAGACGCTAGCATCATCAAAGGTTGGAAATTGACAAACACAGAGTGTGATGGTTTTGTATTAGAACGCAAACGGGTGTGTTTGGCGGTGGAATGTGAAACTAAGCTGCGAGCGTGTTGTCCTTTGTGCCAGCCTTGATCTATTTATCACGCTTGTTTGAGACTGAGATCCAGGGCACGTGGCGGGGTTCCACTGTTCGTGCCTTCGCCCACTTTGAGGCTGATGGCGCCCTACATAGTTATGCCCTCTGCCTCACCTCACTGAGGCCTTCTACACCGTCTTTCATCGAGCCTTGACCATTGTTGTGAAAGCGCACCCGTATCATCAATCTGTAACTCAGGCAGGGCAATGTCTGGACGGGATGCCAGGCGTCAAGGCTGATCTCGGGTGTAAACTAACAAGCCCACATCTCATCTCACGCCGCCCTACATCGGCGAAAGCGACAGATGATGATGGCGGCTGATGAGCCAACATGCTCATGACTATATTCTGCAAGCTGTCGTTGAAGACAGCTGACAAAGAGGCGCAAGGCTCGAGCACGAGCACCTGCTCATATCAGCGCATTACACCGATGCTTCTTCGGCATTTGATTGCAATCGTTTTCGGGCACACGGTCCGTAGGTACGAGACGAGTTGCGATCTTCGATATCGCCGGAAGAAACTCCGTCTGACAAGCGGACCGCAGCAGCACATCGATCTTACTCGCGCAACATCATCTTCGGGCAATCTCAACCACGCGGATGTGGTGGCTGTACTTCGTAGCCTGTCCCGAGCCCAGTGTACAGACTAAGCTATCACCCGCGAAGTCGCAGCTTGCTCGGACGACCTCAGGTCGTGCCCCCACGAGGCTCACCACAAGGCTCACCACAAGGCTCACCACAAGGCTCACCACAACACGCGGTAGGTGAGGTTCCATCTCTCGACCATCCTAAAAGAAGCAAATGATTTAGAATGCGGTCAGCCTTAAAGGACATCAAGTACGAGCACGGGCTATCGGTCGTAGCCAGATTTTCCTGTGACACAAAAGCTGAAGAAGCCTCCGGGTTTTCAAATGCTCTGAAAAGATCAAGACGATGCTTCTTGAAATGCTTCTTATCAAGGTGATTCCCATTATTGTAGTACAAGTATTCTCACAACGTATCCAATTAGCCAGACTCTACTCATCAAAACCAAGAGGCAAACGTTCGATCCGTGTCCCCTTCATAGCCAGGGTGCGTTGCCCCCAGATTACTCATGAGAGGATTCGGATGAGATCCACCCTTAAGATGCAAAGTCGGCGTCCCGTACCCCTTGACCCGCAGCTCAAGCAGGTACGGTGGCTCTGTCGCGTGTATTACCTTACAGCCAGTATCTTCCCTCTTCCCAGTATTACTTCTGGCCTTAGGCAGTGCGAGGAACACAAAGCAAATGTCACGCTCGTCTGTGACGCTCCCACACGTGCATTCGATCCCGTAAAATCGTACCTGGATAGCTTGAGTTTGCCGCTCAGGCTTCGACTCCCTTCGCTGCGCATCAGAGGCGGACCTGAGATTTAGGAACGATCGAGACGTGGACAGCGAGGTACCAGGGCGAGCGTCGTCTGAGTGTGGATCGCGAGGCAGGCCCAGGTGAATCATAGACCGCGCGTGACGTAGGGTCGGCATGGGATTGATTTTTTTTGGCAGCATCGAGAGTCTTTGCCTAAAAGACTTGCGTCGTCTTGGTGCCTCGCTCTTCTGTGCTTGCCAGGACAAACCACAATACCGACACACGATACCCATGTGTAGGATTTGATCACCGTCCCCAGCGATCGGCATCAACGCCGAACCTCCGACATCATAAATCGGCGCGAAACGCTTGATCCTGCCTTGGAAAGTACAATTACTGCAGGAGCGATGCGGGCACAAGCAATTCAAAGCGTTGATCAGTTGTTGTCCTTGTTCGAATCGATGGACACCATGACCTCGACGGCATTCACAGCATTGCCATCTCCCCAGAAGCCTGGAGTCGTCACGGACTGTGCTGTTTGTGACGTGAACCACAGGACTGTGGGGAGGACTTGGGTCGCGTTCATTGGTTGTTGGCGGTGTGGATTGATATGTGGCAGCGACTGACGAGTAGCTCGATCGACGACTGCCCCGAGTGCTGCCGACTCCCAGGATATCGATCGTACCATGGCGCCTAGAGACAAACTCGGTACCAAAAGAGCCTCTTCGCCTTCCTGTAGCGCTGGACAAAGATTCTGAGCGCCTTCGACTCAGCGATAGTTCTGAAGCAGGCGTCGATGTGTAGTGCTCAGACGAGCTCAGTGGCGTAGTCGGTGTGTCAGGATCGATACTACGTTCCCACACATTCCCATACATGGCGACAGTTGTAGACGAGGCTGCGTGTGCGTAGTCAGACTTCGGCGGGCCAGACTAAGCGAGTTGATACAGACCGATAAAAATAGCAATTCCAAAAGGCAGAGCGAGTAGTGGGCGAGACCTCGTGTATGATTTGTTTTGGAACGTTGGGTATTGAGTGTGCTGCTGATAGGTGAAAGAATGCTTGGGCGTTTGTATTGATAAATAACAATGCGCGTTTGCTGTGCTACCACGTGCGGAAGTGAAAGGACGCGAAACACGCCCACTCTTCATTGTTCATGGATCGCGCCTCCTCAACCCCAATATAGATGGTAACTGCGGTCTACAACACCACACTTGCTACTCGATCGTCGCTGCTTTACATTCCGGACCTTCGCGAGCATTGAGCGTGGACGGACTCACATATCTCATTACGAATGTACGTCAGCATTACCGCCAATACTTGATGCACATGTTGCCCTGAATTTTTCTGCTGTGCATACTGATACTACCCCATGTCCTCAAAGAGACATCAACTCAATCAGGACATACCCGGGTGTCCTCCCATATGTTACAACTAGCTCCCTCTCCAAACTCTCACATGAACACTCACCATCCTCACACTCTCGGACCACGTCACACGTCCACATCCCAAACCCATCCCAATTCCGTCCTCATCTGCCCTCCTATGCATCTCCCCCATGCACATGACACCGGCACTCACAGACCACAACCGCCTTATGCTCTCTGCACTTCAACCCCACCACCTTGAGCACAGTATCGACAACCTTGGCCGGTGTGGCAGAGATGTCGCACTGACAATTATAACACGAGCCGTTGGTGATGTCTCTGCTTTCTTGGGACGTGGCTGCGGGAGCTGTGACGGGAGCGGCGGCTACTGGATACATCGCTGTGTGTCAGGGTGGAACGTTTGGTGTGGATCGTGGAGGGGGGAGGGGAGAGGATGGGGTATAAACTGCGGATGATGACGGGATCCGCTTTCACTGGAGGGATCTGGAAGGGTGTGGTGTGGAGGATACGTTGGATTCGTGTCGAATACTGACAATCTACTTGGATGGGACTTCACTCAGGCATCGCCAGAATCGCCTCTTCTTTCCATTCCAATAGACGTCTATCATCAGTTGTGCAATTATATGCACGGCCTTAGGCACTGGGACTATTTGGGCACGAGACCGTAGTGCACTCGTCATCCGCATCACGCTTCTGCGCATCAGCCGGGGGAATGTAGTTTGTCATCTTCACTTCGGAGTCGTTCTGGCGCTTGCTGAATATGTAGCGCTTGCTGTTCTTGTTGACACAGACCGTGGCCGCTACACAAACACTTGTTCCGCAGCAGTTGTTGGCATTGAGGCAAGCGTAGCCGCTCTGGCAGTCGGAGTTCGTGTTGCAGGATGGTGAGCCGCAGCTGTCGGGCTGATGGCAAAGCGGGTTGTTGGCTGTATCAGTTCCGCAGAGGCAGTTCCCGTTGTTGCTGTTGGAGCACTGTTGATAGGTATAGCATGAGCCGGGGTTGGGACAGCTGAATGCGTTCTTGACGCAGGTATAGCTGTAGTCACTGACTGTGTAGCTGTAGGAGTAACTAGTCTGGTATATGGCACCGTCGTAAGTGACCTGGTTGCTGACGGCGTAAGAGCTGTCCCACTGCTGAGTATACATAGCGCAGTACTGTCCCTGTGCCTGGTTGTTCTTGTTAATGATGTAGGTGTTGAAGAAGCGGCAAGGCGTCGCTGGGTTGGCCTCGGTCTGAGCAGAACCTGGGAAGTATTGTCAGCTCAGTTGATCACCGTCTGTGGATGTGATCAGATTTACAAGCAGCGGCACAGCGAGCAGTGTCAAAAGGCTTGCCATCGTTCCAATACTGGTTGCCAATGTAGGTTGTTGCGTCATTGCAATCATTTGGTGCAACAATCACCTTGCCATCCAGATAGTTGCCTGGACCGTAACCGGGAACGATATCCGAAGACTTGTTGACGTAGCCATTCGAGCCGGCAATGACTACTTGATACCTGTAAAGGTTCTGTCAGAATTTGTGCTGATAAATCAAATGCACATTAGAAGAAGACACTTACTCGTTGCGGTACTGACCGCTGTTGACGGCATTGGCAATAGTAACAGGTCCACCCCAGAAAACGCATTTGATAAAAGTGGTGGTTGGGGGCTGATCACAGGCACCACCCTTTGGCGACGGATCCTTCGACGGCGAACGCTCAAAGGCTGTGGTTTATGTCAGAGCTGATCCACGCTGGTGAAGAAAGAGGACTTACCGATATTGAAAGCACTGCAGCCATAGATCTCGTTGCACTTGCTTGCGCAGAGGTCCGTGTCATAAGTGTCGAGCAGAGTAAAGCCCATGTAGCCCAGAGCGTTGTTTCCGGCCTGGAGGTTCTTGAAGGCCAGGTTATAGCCAGTGGGTGTTGGTGCCGCGTTGGCCGAAGAGGCGAACGGACCATAAGCCAGGAAAGCGCTGGCAGTATCGGGGCTTGGAACAGGTCCTTTTCCAGTCCACTGCGGATCGCAGACGGCACGCTTCACTTTGGAGCCGTCGCTAGTCGAGCCATCCGCAGGACCAGTCTGGGTATCGAAGGCCTGAGCGCTCTGGGTTGCCGCTGCGGCAGCACTGGCGGAGGTAGCATCGTAAGATACCTTTTGATCGTGAGCGTTAGTAGCAATAGTGGGCTGAGGCGGCGGACCAGCTGCCTCAATAGCAGCAATATCCAGCTGAGGACCAGCAGCTACTGCCAAAGCGGCGGCTGAGAGGAGAAGGGTGACGAGCTTGGGACCAAACATGATGTGTGATGAAGAGTGCTGAATGGTAAAGGGTTGCGGGTGCTTGAAGTGTTGGATGATGCAAGAAGGGGTGAACACGAGGCTTACTTATACCTGTAGCTGGACCGAAGAGGAGAGTAAATTTCGTGCAGCTGAGAAGGAATCGAAAGGCGCACGCCGTGGCGTTGGCAATAGTGTTGATTCTGGACGGAACCGGTGAGTACTCCCAGAGCCATCAAGCTCAGAGTAGACATCCTCAGCTCGAGGGGATGCTCAGCAGATCTGCCGCTAAGCCTGGCGTCCTTTTTAATAGAGGTATATGTAAGACAATAACCTGGGTAGTTAGGCTGTTGGCCATTGATAGACCTGTTGCTTGCTTTGAAAGTGACTTCTTGCATTAAATTCAGGCGGGTAATCTCTCAAGTGCAACTGGATGACACTGGCAGTCTCTGCCAGAGGCATCGATATACAACTATCACATAGTCATCGATTGAAGCACTGAACTTTTCCAGCGGAGAAGCTGATGGAGAGAGATGCGAATTTCAGAAGCAGACGTGTGCTGGTCCAGTGCTGAGTTGCTAGTAGCCATAGTCCAATGCGCTACACGTGGCGGTCAGGAGCGATACACGTGAGGGTAGACAGAAAGTTAGTTGGGGATCGTCTCGTCGGTTATTACTATGGCTCAACCAAGCGCGAGCATCATCCAGTTCTGCTGATGCAGCCCATATGTGCGATCTGGGTCTAGATTGATTCCCCAGTATTGTGTGAGCGTCTTCTGTGGCGAATCCAGCGCTAGTCCTGCAGATATCCCATAGTATAATGTTGACCGTAGTGTAAGTCTAGCAGCTATGGGACCGATGGAGGCATCTGGTGAGCCGATCTATTCGTTGAGGCATCGCGAGGAGCAGCTTCGGATTCTGAGAGCTGAGAATTAGCCTGTGTCGTACCCTGGGACGAACAGGATGAGGCTGACTTGTGTATGATCAGCTGCTCGATCACTTGAGCGACGATGGTATGCCGCTTCTAACATTATAGAAGTCTATTCACTGCTAAGCGTACGCTAGCGACTTGCAGGGTAAGTGTCGATATGTGTCTATCAAACTGTGTAAATCTGGGGTCCGACTTTCCTCAGACAGGGACAGGGAGGGTCCAGGCGAGGCTGAACGGCACTGTGAGCATCCATCAGGCCAATTGTAGATCGAGGAGCAGCTCTACAGCGATGGAATCCGGGCCCGAATTTGGATTCTCCAGCTTCCGTGTTCCTGGTTCGACCGCTGCATCTTAAGGGCACCTATTCCGGAAGCAGCCAAAACGGCGTTCTGTACCTCTTAGGCATTTGCACATCTCAAGCCTCAAACACACAACGACAAGTCCATGCTCTCCAGCGAGCTCGAATTGGCCCCATCGCCTCTTCAGCTGCTCCAGGACGATGGAGCTCGTGTCATACGGTCTCGTGAAAAGCTGCCACTCGCAGTAAGGTTAGAGGAGCACGTGGCTGATTGAGGTGTTTCGTACAACCGCTGGGTTCGATCTCAGGATACATCTGTCCATATGTACCACATAACCTTCTGCAGTAGGCTGTTGTCGTCTGGCAAGGCGTATTGGAGGCCCGAAGCTACTGGGAGGCGCGTCGACGTGCGGATGAACGTTAGACGGACGCCGCGACGAATTGTCCAACGCTGCTGTCGTCACCTCATCGTTGTAAGGCAGGAGCAATTCGGCAGCGGACGTCTTGGATGTGAGACTGGCAGAACGCAGCTTCGAGAGGCCAGAAGCACTCCTTCAGCCGCACATTTCTATATGTCCATCACTTGCCTGCAAATAGATATATAGCAGAGGCGAAGCCGTATTCACATGTTCTAGGATAAACGCAAGCTATGAAATCTATCGATCGAACAACAGAACATCATTTTCCACCGTATCGCAATGCGGCCAAAGCCGCACACCAGCCACTAAACATACGCTAGCAAAGTATATACTCATATCAAAGGCCCAACAGAGCCTGGGCGCCCTGCTCGCTGCACACGTACACAACATCGTGGCTGTCAGTGAAGCCGTTGAAGCGAGTGGCAGAGCACTTGGTGTACGCGCCCATGTCCTCAAAGTAGAGCCAGTCACCAACATCGAGGAGCTCGGGGAAGGTGCTGGACGAGGAGATGATGTCGATGCCGTCGCAGGTGGGGCCCCAGATGGAGTACTCGATCTGCGAAGGGGTGTCGTATCCGGAGCGGCGAACATCGTACAGGACGTCGTTGCCGGACTTCAGCACCTTCGCAACCGGATGCTGGTGGTCGAAGATGATGCTGGAGAAGTTCCCGTACACTCCATCATTCAAGTACAACATGTAATTGGTCATGCCCAGCGTTGCATCGGTGACAGTGCGGCGAGCGATAACGTGGCACGCAATAGTGAACGCGGTGGAGACGTAATAGCGTCCAGGCTCGCCAATCACACGGATGTGAGGCGGGAAGTACTCATCCAAGGAAGCGGACAAGACTGCAGCCATGGGCTCAAAAGTAGCGTCGCCGGTGAAGCCACCACCCACATCCAAGGTGTGCATGTTAAAGCCCAGAGCAGCCGCCTGGTCGAAGACAAAGCGAGCGTCCTGCACAGCCTTGATGAACGCCTTGGGGTCAGACGCACCAGAGCCGACGTGAAAAGCCACGCCAACAACATTGAGCTCCAGCTTCTTTGCAAGCTCAAGCAGCTCGCCGGTCTGGTCCATTGCAGCACCAAACTTCTGGCTTAGACGGCACAAGCTGGCCGTGTCATCGGTGATAATACGGAGGTACAGCTCAGCGTCAGGAAAGAGCTGCTTGGTCTTGTAGAGCTCGTCGGCATTGTCGAAGGTCATCTGCTTCACGCCAGCATTGGCAGCGTAGCGGACGTACGACTTGGTCTTGCAGGGCTGCGCGTAGATGATGCGGGAGGGGTCGACGCCGATCTTTAGAACCGTCTCAATCTCGTTCTTGGAGGCGCAATCAAAGCCGAGGCCGAGCTCGGTCATGAGGCGCAGGACCTGCGGGTCCGGATTGCACTTGACCGCTGTGAACGTGTTAGCACGAGCATCGAGAGGACAGTCGAGGGCAGTGCTCACCATAGTGCGGCTTGACACGAGCCAGGTTCTTCTTCCAGCGCAGGTGCTGACGGTAGACCTCGCCCAGGTCAGCGACGAAGAAGGTGTCTTCGTCGCCGACGTCACAGATGTCGTGGTCGATAGCCTCGACACGGCTCTTCAAAGCTGCGCCAATGAGTTGCTTGGAGCTGCTCGCGCCATTGTTGCCGATGCTGCCGAGAGAACAGTCGCTGAGGTACTGTTTGTGATACAACGCAATGTTGTATTCCTCGGGAGGGGGCGTGAGAGCAGAAGGTGCCATTCCCTTGCTAGATGTGGTCGGGGAGTAATTGGCAGGGATTGGGAGTGTGTGCTGGATGGCGGAGGGGCGTTAAGGCGGCTTGAAGGGCGCGAAGCCGAGGCTTGGTGTTGGGCGAGGCCTCCTGTCAGACTGTTCCTCGACGGAACAGACCTTGAAGAGCGTGCTATGCGGCAGCTGAGATTCGGGTGGAATGGGGGTCTGGTTGTTGTACGAAAACAACACGCGCTGAAGCTCCTGCTTAGAAATCTGTGGCAGGCGGTGGGGGGATGTTGTTGAAGACGTGCGGCGCAGGTCGTGCAGATACAACTTGAAGATTGATCAGGAAGAGGCGGCCGCGAGCCGTCTTAAAGTAACGCCTTTGTTGCGACCAAAGGCTGTCGATGCGTTATTTAGGGATGCAGCGAAAGACAGTCGCGGAGGTTTCCAGCGGCTGGGGCTTTTGTGTGTGCAAAGGCGAGACGGTGAGGTGAAGTGAAAGGAGTTGAACGGTGGCTGCGCTGAAAATTGGACTCCCCGCTGCCAAGTGTGTTCACGCGTAGGTCGGTGCTGTGCCTGGGTTGCCGGCGCCAGCGTCACAGCCCATTGGCCTCCGCAAACGCCCCACAGTAGTCCAACAAACCACTCACGCCTGCGTCATTGACCTGTCGAGGATCCGACACACGCTGCGGCTCGCTCGCCTGGAGCAGGCAATGGGCGCTCCGGGAGCGCCTTAGGGGATTGGCCTTGCCAACATTCGCTGCTTCCGTGGAGGAAACCACGCACAGCCGGGAGACAGTCATCGACACGATTGCTGCGACAGCGCGTTTGCACCGATCGAAAAGTTGGGCAGCAGCCATCGACGATGCTGGTTCGCACGTGCGTGCGCGGTTCCTGGGTGAGGCATTTCTCGGTACAAACTCAGCACCGCCACTGCCCCAGGGGCCAGACAATTCAGTTCATCGATCAGGAAGGTCGTAAATATGTTCATTTCAGTGCTGCTTGTATGTGCGTGGGCGTGATCGTATGTGAGAACGCTAATTTAATGATCGCGTGTTTGAATCGAAGGTCATCAGTAGTGACGCATTACTAGTATGACAGCCCGACGCCGCCCAATGTATAAGTATGCAAAACAAGGCATTTACTGCCTCTGTACAAAAATAGGAACGTCAGACAGATCAACTCCGTAGCTCTGCTTGAAGTGCATGCTCTTTTGCATCGCGTAGCTGTGCAGTTGCCGGGTGCCGGCTGAGCCACCGATTTGTTCACGGCCCTCATGGTCGTATTCGAATCCACCACTGTAGCGACCGAAGGTAGTAAGTTCGTGGGGTGTGTAAGACATTGGACGAGCACGACTGGCAGGTGCGACATTTTCTTTGGCTTCGACTGTTGGTCGAGGTCGCAGGCTGTCGCCGAGAGACTGGCGGCACTGGCTCCACTGAAGGGCATGCTGCTCCCAGTCTACCTTCTGTTCCCAGTCGACGTTCTTGTGAGCCGACGGTGGTCGTGTATGGTTGGGTCTTAGCGGCGACTGGGGTGGCGAACTCGCGCGGACGCGAGACTGGTTTGCAGTAGGTGTTTCTACGTTCTCCAGCCGGGGTTTAGCGGAGAGAGGTGCTGCGTATTTTGCATGGTCAATGGCTGGCATCGGTGGAGCCTCGCCAAAGTAGAAGCTTTGCGGTCGTCGTTTCGGCTGCGTCGCCTCGCCGATCTCCATCTTTGGCTTCCGGCGTGGTTTACGCTGCTGAGGGATTTCTGGCATCTCTGGTTCCGGAAGAGCACGATCCTTACTTCGTATGCGTGCATATTCTGCGGCTGTGTCGGAGCTCATGCTTACTGCTGATCTTGACCGCGAATGTGATCGTGCTTGACCAAGCTGGTGAGGATGGGTTGGGTTCTCCACGACCTGTGTCTGTTGGAAGGAGCCGAACATGGAGGGATCGTATGGAGAAGCACCAAGGGAAACTGCGATTGTACCGAGGTCTAAGACCTTGGGTGAGGGCATTCCCTCCATATGGTCTTTGTTTTTCTTGCCTGATGTCGACTTCCTCCGGAAAAAAGACATACTCCGCCTTCGACCACGAGCTGGGGATGCGGGTGCCTCATCAGGTTCAAGTTGCATTGATGATGATAACGGATCAACGGAGATGAAGCTGGTGGTAGACTCGGCTGAAGTAACATGGTCTTTGGTTGGGTAGGTATGAGTCAAATACTCCATACCAGGAGTCGCTGAGAGACGTCGAGAAAATTTGACTTTGACATCGTCTGGAACCTCGGGAATGATCTCACGGCTCAGCAGAGCTGACTGGACCACTGGAAGTTGAGGCTGGGATGGTCGTCGTTTCTGTAGGCGCCGGATCTGCCTCGTTGACTGTTTCTCAGAGTGCTTGGAAGTAGCTGAATATGGCGTAGCAAACTCCGGCGTAGCAGGTGTAAGCACTGAATCCATCGATGGAAGCTCAGCAACTTCTCGAGGGATGTCCAGAGACAGAGTGCGCCCGTGTGCACGTCTCGGTACAGTAGCTAAGAGTGATTGTTCAAACGAAGCTGAGGGACCGCCTTGGGTGGGCAGCTCAAAACTCATAGTCTGTCTCCTACCAAAGCTGCATAGAGCATGCGCTGAATCAGACGGTGGGCTGGCCACTTGAAGCGCTTGATGATGCTGTTGCTGCTCGTCGTTGTTGGGCACTCTCATAATGCCATCAAATGAACCTATAGACGAGTAGCCAGAGTCCGAGCTCCTTGGTGATGGCCGAGGGGTCCGGTACTTGGGTGTCTCTAATGTGTTCGTGCTCGTGCTCGTGGCTGTGGATGGTGGCGAGAGTTCGGTCACGTCTGTTATGGTTGCTGACAGCTCTACGAGATTGTCTGGGCGCATTTGAGGTTGGAATCCCTCGAGGAAGAGCTCATCAGTCGTTGGTTCTTGTTCTTGCCAGATGTCGTGAATTACCATCTGGTTCTCGAAGGGACTGTACGGAATGTAAGCCTGATAATCTCGTGCAAGATTATCAGCGCTTTGCGATGACCGCCGTGTGATTACAGCAATGCTTTGCGGTCGCTTCTTCAGTTTAATCTCTGGCTTAACGTAGGTGATGGGTATTTTCTCTTCACCAGCCGCGTCCGGGTGAAATTTGGTGTTGCTGTCACGTAGACCAACAGCTGACATGCTCCTAGGCTTCGTGTGCTTTCTCTCGCTCTTCGTTGCCAAAGGACTAGGCGCAGGCTCAGTCGCGGAGAAGTAGTCGCTCTCTTCGTTCGCTCGCGCAATGCGTGCCAGATCGACCGTGCTAAGAGCTGGCGAAGCTTCGCCATTGACCACCATCAATGTTCCAGGCTTGTAGCCGAGCAAGTGTGAGTAATCCAGGTCTCCTGGACTTTGTGCTTGAGAGCTGTCTGCCGAGTCCAGAGCTCTAAGGCGATCCAGCGGAGATGGTCCCTGGCTCGGAGCTTGCCATTTGGCTTCGTCTTCAAGTCGCATTTGCGGTGCCTTCCACGAATTCCAGGTTCGACGCTGACCTTCTATGGGCGATATCCGAGTCGCGACACCCGGTGCCTGAACGAGTGACTTTCGCCGAGTAAGCACGCCACTAATCTCTGGACTAGATCTGTCATATTCTTTCTCTAACGTCGAGGCTGAAGGCTCTGTCGGGCGTTCCAAAGCTTCGCCTGTGAATGACGTATCAGCTGACAGGTGATTTTGGAATAGCTGCATGCAGACGACAACTTATGCTGAAGTGCAAACCGGTATCTAAGGGAATATGGGAATACTCACGCAACGCTGCCAAGTCCTCAGGCGAGGCGTTCTTCCTCACTTCCTGCAATAAGCGAACAGCCGCATCGATATCTGATTGTGTGTTCGATACCAGAGACACCTTTGACTCCGGTAGGTTCTTGAGGTTTGTGGTCGAGTTTCGTCTGCTTCGTACAAAAGACCGTAGTACAGAACCCGACCTCGAATGTGTGTGTGAGTTCGACCTTGAGACTACAGTCGAACGGCGTCCTCGACTCTCCACTGCTGGCTCGGTATCCAGTACATCTTGATCAGACCAGATTGCTGAGCCAGCCTCTTTGCTCAATGGCGACAGCATTGAGTTGCGATTCTCCTTTCGGCTACTCGCACGCAACGGCGAATCGGGAAAGGGGATATCATTATTGACGACAGGACTGTTCGGCTTCGAGTTCGTGTTCGTTCTCGGCTTCGACAAGCGATTGTGTCGGGTGGTGGAAGTGCCGCTGGCTTTATTGCGACGTGCGACGCGATCCTTGAATTGCGAAAACATATTTGAAAGAAAACTACAGAGAAAGAGACATTGAATGAACGGCTATACGAGAGGTGTTAGCTACAAAAACTGGTGCGGGGCCTGTCTTGAGAGATGTGCTTACCCTGTATCAGCCCTGAGGATGGCCGGGACACTTGCAGTGTGGGGGGCTGGGACAGTGTTCGGTCTTGAAGCTTAGTGTAACGCGGACAATTTGGACTCACGGCTTTTCTATATATGAAGACGTGCAGCTACCTTCAAAACAGGGCGCTTGGGTCAGTCAGGTCCCCGCCAGCCTCGCGTCTTGTCGAACGTACGATTACGAGTCTGTGCATGTCGCAAAGTGGAGAGGACAGCGACACAAACAACAAACTTGGAAGAGCTGTAGACTTGAAACTAGGCGCATCAGTATTACGCCTCAACTGCCAATCAAGATACAAGGAAGCTAGAGGCTGCGCAAAGTGCCAGCCAATGATCACAACTGAGTGCGTGGCTGAAAGCTTGATCCCAGGCAGTGATCTCGCCTAACGGCTCGTCATTCAGGTCCAGATCCTGGGTTTCGAGGCGTGAGGCTTGCAATTCAAGCCAGCAATTCCCTGGAAACTTGCAAATTTCGACGCTCGATGCTCCCAGAGTACCGATTGGCAGCGGGGATTGCAGAATCTTTGCAAGTTCTTTGTAAGGGCAGGCCGGCCTCCCATGCAGAAAGCGCTCGCATCGGCCCGCGTGGTCGCATGTAAACCAAAGTACGCTGCTACGGGTAAGTGAACAGGTTCGATGTAGTCGCTTTACAGTATATGAAATCAGACGCTCGAGTCCGTAGATCAACAGCCACTCGAACGCGCAAGACCCTGCTGCAGATGGCAATTTTGCTGTAGTTGTATCCTCATTTCAGGTGTCAGGACGTAAAACGCTATGCTCGTGTGTTACTCTTCCATCAGTCGTCACACACTTGCACGTGCTCTCTTGCCAAGCAATTCCGGTCTGTGAGATAGGTAAGCCGTCCTCTGATGCGCTGAGTGTGTTGCAATTCGTCCTGGAGATCTGAAAGCCAGACCAGGACGCGCACGCCGGGTCAGGGCAGTGCTGCGCAGACTGTAGACTTGTGACTTCCGATGACATAGTCATTAGGCTGTGCCTGGAAAAACCGGACAATAACCGCGATGCGGGCTTGATGCGGGTCGTTGGCTACGGGATCGTGAAGCGAACGTGCTTGTGGTGCTGCCGTTTAACCTGCCGTCTTTCCGACTCCAGAGATAAAGGCTTGGATCCCAACACCAGTTCGTGGTGATGTCGAATTCGCAGACCTCCAGCACACATCCCTGGAAGTCGCTCGTGCTGTGACATATGGGTGCGCTATTGATTTCGAGTTGAGACTGACCGTTTCACACCAAGCGAGATGCCCTGCTGCCGCAATCGATCGCCCCTGCCGCAATCGTGCGTTTAGTCAGCTCAGCTCCTTGCCGAACACCACTTCGACCACCTTTCGTCCTTCATCCGCCGCAGCTTTGCTGTGCCAACCGGAACAACGCAATTTTCGATGATGATGCCTCGACAAGCGCTCGAACTTAGCCCCGTATGACGTGGAGACGGCGCGAAGCCCTTCAGATGGCGGTAGATCGCGGGAGCCAGCGGATCTTATTGCGATGACGTCAAGCCTCGCCCGACGGTCATGTAGCGTGTATGGAATTTGATTTGCGCGCAAGACCGGCTTTTCATTGTTTCTGCGACAGCCCTTGATCTATATACAGTTGGTGATCTGCTCAGGGGCTGTTCCTAATGCCTAGTAGCCTTCCCGTCGTCCTCGACACGCAGCAAACACGCGACTTCCACCTCTACGCCTGGTGAGGCCTACGACAACCGACTCCTCTACGCCCCCGCACTACCGCGTTACAGCAACACCTGACGTGAGCCATCATGTTGGTGGCATCGTTTTGGGTTGTGCCCATCTTCAGTTCGATATGCTGGATGGCAATGCTGATCACTATGCTGGTGTATTGGAGCACAAAGGGGCACCCAATCTATCCCACAATGACTGATGGTACGTGAACCTGAGTGGCTTGCGATGCTCAACTGCTAAAAGTACCACAGGCCAGACAATAGCGTACATCTCTGATATCGGCGCCCAGAACCTCAAGCCCATGTTCATCGCCATGTCCGCCGTTACCGTCGTTACCTTCGATATGGCCTTCATCTTAGAGCGCTACCTCCGCCACGCGGGCAAGCTTGCACGGAACACATCGGCTTGGCAGAAGGTCTACTCTGGGCTGAGTACAATTGCTGCAATCGTCGGCGCGGTCGGCCTCATCCTACTCACCATCTACGACAACTACCACCATAACAGGATGCACAACATCTGTCTAGCAGTCTTTATTATTGGCTACATCGTCAGCGCCATCTTTATCTGCTGGGAGTATCAACGCCTGGGAATCCACTACCGCCAGCACTCGATCCTCCGCATCTCGTTCTGGATCAAGCTCGCCTTTATCATCGCCGAGATCTGCCTCTGTGTCGTGTTCGGTGTTACACAGTTGTACAACCACTGGAACGTCGCCGCTGTTTTCGAATGGATCATTGCGTTCGTCTACACCTGGTATGTACTCAGCTTCTTCATCGACTTCCTGCCTGCCGTACGCACCAAGCACCACCAGAGCCACGAAACGGAAATGCAGATGGCCGAGGAGGCTGGCCCCCGGCCAAGGACGATGGGCGATGGTGCCGCAGAGAGCCAGCAGTACTTTCGTGGGCAGTCGACCAACGCCGTTCCCCACGTGAACGGCAACCAAGGCCACACCAATGGTCATGCCGCTGGCGAGCCTGGCCAGAATTTTTACCCTAATGCCAACGGCTACAACAACCAGTATCCTAAGCCGGAGGCGCCTCTCCCCTCGCGGAACTTTTAGACACCTAATTCCCTATCATGTTTATAATGTCCGAACGCATTGTTAGACGCATGCCTGTTATGTTTTCTGCAGGTTGGAGTCTTGGTTCATGACTGCTATGATATACCACAGGACGATGGTCCTTTTGCGAGCATATGTAGTTGTACTCATGAGATTTGAGAGCAACACAGAGCGTTCTGCACCTCAAAATGAATAATATTTCAATCACACAGCGCCTTGTCTCGCGTGATGAGCGCCGTTCTCCTTAACGCCAAACGATGGAACGCTGTAAAGCTGTGTGTTGAAGCATTACTTGCTCCCTCATTACTAATGGCTTTGGACGACGTTCCCTGACTACTGGGAAAGACGAATGAGTTTGGTCCCCACACTGTATCTCACAGCGGAGTTGGAGTGGGGTTTGAGGTCACTTTGTTCCGGTGTACGCTCGGGGTGTTACCTTGAAACCTAAATAAGAGTCAATTTGATCTCATCTATCGATTACATTGAGCCCTCAGATCTTATTCCTGATGTTGGACTTGACAGATGTGATATTCGTGGTTGTTTAGTGCATCGGCTTTGGCCGCCCAGCGACGCCTCGGAGCTGACCGCAGTCAGGGTCCCCAACTCCACCATTTGCCATCCGCGGATGCCCCCACTCTAGCAACCATCCAGTGCATCCACCACGCATGCGACCAAATGGGGTTCTGCCGAGCACTGTTTCTTTTCTTCGCTGACTTTGACGATTACGGGTGAACACAGTAGCACGCGCTTCTTTTCAATACCATGGACGAAGCAGCTCACATCACCTACAATAAGGCGGTCGAGGAGTTGCGAGAACGGGAATACCCTATGCTTCAAGGTCAGTTTCTTGAGGTAAAGTAGCTGTATCTTGTTGACGGTGATAGGGACGACCTATCTCGACCATGCAGGAACGACACTCTATCCAAAGTCGTTGATCGAGCGATTCTCGGCTGACATGGTCTCGAATCTTTACGGCAATCCGCACTCCGCCTCCAACGCCTCCCAATTGACGACGCGCCGTATTGAAGATGTCCGACTCCAGTTACTGGAGCTGTTCAGCGCAGACCCAGAAGACTTCGAGGTGGTCTTTGTTGCGAACGCCACCACGGGCATCAAATTGGTCATGGACGCATTCAGGGACCAGGAGAATGGATTTTGGTATGGATACCATAGGGATGCGCATACGAGTCTGATAGGCGTGCGGGAAACAGCGACTGAACACCGCTGCTTCGCCACAGACGCAGAAGTTGTGGACTGGATCCGACAGCCAACACAGCAGGATGGGAGAGCACGCTTGTTCGCGTATCCTGCGCAATCGAACATGAATGGACGCCGGCTCCCACTGGACTGGACCCAACGTATCCGCGCCGCAAACGATAAAGGAGCGACCTACACGTTGCTGGACGCCGCAGCCTTAGTGTCAACTTCGCCTCTGGACCTCAGCAACGCCGACCATGCACCTGATTTCGTTGTGTTGAGCCTGTACAAGATGTTTGGATTTCCCGATCTGGGCGCTTTGATCGTCAGGCGATCGTCAGCACATGCATTCGACAAGCGCCGCTACTTTGGCGGCGGCACAGTCGAAATGGTGGTTTGCTTGAAAGAGCAATGGCATGCGAAGAAGGCGGACTCGCTTCATGAGCGTTTGGAGGACGGCACATTGCCCATACATAGCATCATGGCGCTTGACTCCGCGATCACTGTCCACAAAGAGCTGTACAGCTCGCTGGAACATGTTTCGCAACACACGAGCTTTCTGGCTGCGAAGCTGTACAAAGAGCTGGCATCCCTGCGACACGGCAACGGCCAGAAAGTCTGTCAAATATATGCAGATCTCGCGTCTTACTACGGTGATGCGGCCACGCAAGGGCCCATTGTTGCATTCAACCTGCATAATGATTCTGGCGGTTGGGTCAGCAACGCCGAGGTGGAGAAGTTGGCGGCAATCAAGGACTTCCATTTGCGTACAGGTGGACTATGCAACCCGGGCGGCATTGCTTCTTCGCTCGGACTGGCTCCATGGGAGATGCATGAGAACTTCTCAGCTGGCCAACGGTGTGGTAACGAGAACGATATCATGCGTGGGAAACCAACAGGCATGATACGTGTCAGTCTAGGAGCGATGAGTACACTGAAAGATGTGGACTCCTTCGTTGCCTTCTTGCGCGAGTTCTTCGTGCAAAGCAAGCCACTCAGCGCAATGGCGCCAGCCTTATGCGAAGAAGTGGAGTTATCATCGACAAGTCGTCTGCATGTCGAAAGTCTGTCGGTGTATCCTATCAAGAGCTGTGCTGGATTCAGCGTGCCGCCAGGGCAAGCCTGGGAGGTCTATCCGGAAGGGCTAGCTTGGGATCGCGAGTGGTGCCTCGTCCACCAAGGCACAGGCGCAGCATTGAGCCAGAAGCGTTATCCCAAAATGGCCCTCATTCGTCCCAGCATCGACCTTGCTAAAGGTGTGCTACGTGTCGGCCTCGCAGGCCTGTTGAAGGGTACGACTGCAGCTGATGAGATTACCGTTCCCCTCTCTGCAGACCCACGATTGTTCGCAGATAACGCGGTGTACCGGAATGCTAGCGCCAAAGTATGCGGGGATTTCGTCCAAGCCAAAACGTACAAGTCGAGCCAGATATCAGCTTTCTTTTCGCAAGCCCTCGGGGTGGCTTGCCATCTTGCCCGCTTCCCAGCCGCTGGCAGCGGGAGCGGCTTTTCGCCTAGACACTCCAAAGCGCATCTACAGAAGTACCAGAGAGCCCGTAGCCTGCGAATACCCGGCGCTTATCCAGATGCAGCTCCCGTTGTACCAGGCGTATGCGTTTCCAAGCCAATCTTGTTGTCGAATGAGAGTCCCATCTTGACGATCTCGCGATCAAGCCTCAACCGCTTGAATGAATTGATCAAAGCGGATGGCGGCAAGGCGGCGCAGGCAGAAGTCTTCCGAGCAAACATAGTGGTCGCGGAGAACCCTGACTGCCCGCCAGGACTTGAAGATCCATACGCGGAAGATGACTGGCGCTATCTCCGAATCGGTGAACAGTACTATGAGATGCTGGGTGCCTGCCGAAGATGTCAGATGGTGTGCATCGATCAGCAAAGCGCAGAGCGGGATGAAGAGCCATTCTCCACACTTGCGAAGACGCGGCGCTTCGATGGCCGTGTCTACTTCGGTGAACATACGTGCCATGTTCCTGTGGAAGACTCATCGATTTTCAAGCAGAACCCGTCCATCACGGTCGGCGACGCTGTACAGCCATATCGCGAAGACGAGATCAGTCAGGATAGCCGTCTATGGTCTCTCGTAGGCTGAGAACACTCCACCATCTTCTCGACGAGTGGTCGTATGGCAACTATACTTAGTTACACTACGTATATTGACAGACCTGTCATACTCTTCGAACGCTTCTATCATGCATCTTGAAGTCGTTACGCCTGGTTCAGGTCGCACGCCATAATTTGATATGATTGGTGGGCAGCGTTTGCAGCACCAGCAGTGCAACGAACCTGGAACGGCCACGATCTATCGCACATGGCAACGAGCAGCATGGCGCTTCAGAGAGTCTTTGCCAGCACGGCCTGTTTATTGACATAGGCGTGCCGCTGGCGTGGAGAGGCGTGCCACTGGCATGGAGAGGCGTGCCGCTGGCATGGAGAGGCGTGCCGCTGGTGTTGAGAGGTGTGCCGCTGGTGTTGAGAGGCGCGCGCTGAAGGACGAACCAGAGGCAGCCCTTACAGTGGTTCAACGGCTGGCATTGCACGGCAGCAAACGGAAGCGCGCGACAGGTCTATACAAGCATTCAGATTATACAGCGGCTGGGAGAGATACATAAAATGGTCTAACGGTCCCTTGAGATCAGCTGCACAGCTTGTCTGCATCAGCACCTCCGCCTCAATTCTATTCCCGGCAACCATCGCTCTAGTAGCGTCTCTCTTGCAATCACCTCGCCGTCAAACACCAACATCTCATACTCTTGTCTCAGGTTCACTCCGCCAGACTATTTCAATCTCGTCTGGCTGTGTTTGCAAGTGCAGTAGCCCGCACATCGACGCTTGCATCTCAATTCCACGAGCCACGCAGCGAATCACAGGCCCAAACGGCTGCTCTGCTTTCTACAGGCCTGCAGGCGCCGCAGACAGGTCACACGCTTTGGTTTCATTGCCCCTGGCCAATTGCATCTCTGAAGGGACGGAGTGTTCACCCGCGCACAGGCCAGCCCCGGCGCTTACAGCGAGGCCTGATTTGCAGCGCCGCAGGATATAGGCGGCTGTTTGGCAACCCCGAAAATACAGTTCCTCGTTAGGCCCCGCTCTGACACTGGCACTGGCATCTTGTTACGCGCCCGCCTATTCTTAGGTTAATCATACTGTACGGCCCATCCAGCGGCCACCAACACAGCGCACGCGTCAGGCTAGTCCACGCAATAAACATACCTCTGCCCAGCAACAAAAGTACCTGCCTTTCCGTTCTGCTCTCTTTCTTCACCTGTCCAGCGAAGTCGTGGAAGGCATAGCGCAGCCCACTCTCGCCCGCAGGCTTATCGACCAGAAGCCCCAGTCTTTCGTTCACGACACGGCAAGCCTCACCAACATGGCCACCACCACAGATGCGAAGCCGGCACCGGCATCTCTACCGTCAACCTTGAAGACACCCTTGTCTGCGACCTATCCGTCTGAACTCAAGTCACCCATGGTCATGTCGGCAACAACACCAACCTTCGCCTGGATCAAGCGGGAAGATAGCCTGAAGACTCCCATTACCCCGCCAGCAGCGTATCTGGATTTCCTGAAGACCTTGTCGCCTGCGTTCATGAGCCCTATGTCTACTGGCACCAGCACCAAGTTCGTCTTCGAAGGTCGTCCAACCTCAGTCACATCATCAGCTTCCAGTGGCTCCTTCACAGCAACATCTGGTGCATCCGAGAAAGCATCCCCTGCAACTTCAAGATCAAGCAGCTGCAGCCGATGCGACACAAAGGATGAGGTTTCCAAAGACGAGGTCCCGATGTCTGCCCCTCCTACCAAGATCAGGGCTCAGACCATCACCATTCCACCTCCCTCGCCTTTCACACGGCCACAGTCAGCGCGCACACCAAGACTCTACATTCCTCAGTCCCCATTCTCGCCGGCAGCAGTACGATCGCCAAACAGCTCGGATTCCGCCACCAACTCGGCTACTTTTCCCGCATCGCCGAAAGTCTGGGAAGCCGAGGCCAAGACCGGGCGATCAAGACGTGTCAGCGTGCGAGAAGTCGTCACCCGCACAGTGACATACAGCAGCACACCAGTCGACAAGAAAGCGCCCACCTTCCCCCAAATCGACCCCGCACCGCGCGGCAAGAGGAGAAAGATCGAATAGGCCATGTATGGTTACACGACATGCCCGTACCGCTGCCCAGCCTCGAGCATCAGCGGGTGTGCAACCACTAAGTACGACACCACGGCCGAGCTTCTTTTGGCGCCACCAGCCTCAGCGCCTAAATACATCACTGCTCTCCGCCATACATTTGCCAGCGCTCATGCTTCACGATCACATCTTACTTCTACGATGAATACCGGCCTACCCTAAACTAATACCCGGGTCCCGGCGACTCACCCGCACCACTCATTTCTTTCGACTACCCTTCGACGTTCGATTCTCGGAGCTGGTGCACCCGCTCTCTCTTTTCCTTTGTCTACCATTACCACGAGAGCAGCTAGTTCTCTCATGACCTGTACGGTTCGAAAGACCGAAACTTATGGCGCGGAAAATTCTGGTGTTGCAGGTGATATTTTATCGCGGATACCTCTTGGTGCACTGGCGCTAATCGGTGTGTTCTATGGCGTAACGCTGGGGTTTTGAATCCTTGTTCTGTTGATTACGAAGGCAGGCTCACCTACTGTGAGTCATCTGCGTATCTGAATGGTGGAACATGGCGAAGCTGGCGGCAAGGAAGCCACCAACACGGTGGGCTTTTCTCATCTCCTCGTCAGGAGGAACATCACTCAACATACCCATATCAAACGATGTAACATTCAACTATTTTCATCTGCTTGTGACTGCCTCCAGTGCCTCTTTGGCTCGAGTCGACACTCAACAGCGCCACGAACCCTTGTGACCTGCGCCAGCACACGCAGCTCCGCATCCTCACATGACCATCACTCAACTCCTCCGCTCTTCACGCTCCAACCACCGCCCCAAAGCCCATCTAACCTCTAGCTCTCCCGCATCCCGAAACCTTCCTTCCTCGACCATGACCGCCCTGACTCGCACCGCGAACCGCGAGTAAGTGGCTCCCAACACTCCTGGGGACCCACGCCGCACCAGGGCCGCTCGCGGTTCGCCTCCCCGTCCATATGGCAACGCGCCCATGCTTACCCCACCCTTTCAGTGCCCTGCATATGGGCTGTGATTGGCCGAGCGGGAGGTTGAGGACCTGTCATCCGCACTTGCTCACCGGTGCATTGGGCCAGGAGTGCGGGAGGCGACAACACGGCAGCTCACGAGCTAGGCTCAGAAGAGTGGTGCGTGCAGGATCGCAGAGCGCATTCTGGCGAATCACACGTTGACCGTGGCTCTTGGAGATCGGACGGGCTGCATGGAGGAAATCTGTGCGTAGAGTTTGCGAGGCGGTCAATATACGAGTGTGCTGGCAGATTGAAAAGAGAGAGGACGGTAGCGTAGGCGATGGGACGGCGAGAATGAAAGTTCAAAGCAGCTTGATGGCAGAGACGAGAGTGTAACACAAATAATAATAGCGTATATACAGGAAGATTCATTTAACCAATACTCCAGGCACACTTGCATTACACCATCTACCCCCTCAGCCACCACCTAGTACGGGATTCCGTTCGTGATCAATTGGAACCGATCATACGTGCCGGTACTATAACTACTCGCACTCTTGCTGATCAAACCACGCATATAATCAGCGGCCTCCCTCTCCGAGCGATCCAGCACAAATCGATCACGGAAATTCTTGATAGTCTCGGGCTTGAAGCATGGCAGCCCACTATCCAGCATCAACTCGACGATATGGCACAGATGATCGCAGTGCTGGCGCGCTGCAAGGAAAGCCTTGATCGTGAGCTCTTCGAACCAGCGGTACGGCTGTGACGTCGTGCTGCCGCCCATGACCGCGATCATCTCCGCGGTCAACTTGAAGGGCGCGCGCTCGAATTTGATCCCGCCAGGCGCAATGTCGAAGCAGAATCCGAAATCGATGTGGATGATATGTCCCGCGTCGTCGATCATAATGTTCCCGTTATGCCGGTCTTTGAACTGCAGGAGGAAACTGATGACACTGTACGCCGCCATTGATTTGACAAAGTTGCTCCGCGCGGTCTGGAAGCGGATGCTGTCTTCGTTGCCGTAGCGGCTGACGAAGTAATCATCGAGGCGGTTGACAGCCTCGCGGCCCAGCATGTCGCGCGAGATGGAGTTGGGGAGCACGTCGATGACGCCGCATCCGGGCGCTGTGGCGGTCACGCGGTACGGGAAGACCCAGACGTCGAGGCCAACGGTGTTAAAGATGCCGCGGAAGGCGGCGATCATTTGCAGTGCGAGGACATCCTGACGGCAGTCGTCGCCCACTTTGAAGATGGCGCTGAGCCAGGTTTCGTAGGTGTTGCTCTTTGCCGGGAGCCCGGAGCGTGGCTCGTCTTCAATGTCTTCGATGAGGCCGGTAGCCGGCTTGTTCTTGCGGATGCGGAAGGTGGCCATGAAGGGCGTTTTAGCGTGAGATTGCAGTGGTTTGCCGGAGTTGCGGTCGATGCCGATAACTTGACCATCGGGGTTACTGGGCAGGTATACACCAACCTCTACTTCGATCTTGCGCAGCTCCTCTGCAATCTTCTGCTTCTTGACCTCCTTCGGCTCGTGTAGGACGGAGCGCAGGGTGCCAGATATGCCAGTGACTTCATTGAAGAAGGCGAACTCGCGCTCGTAGAACTCGTGGTCTTCTTTCGAGAAGCTGGACTCGAGACTTGCCATTACCTTGTCGAGGGTAGGCTTGACAGGGTCGGGCTGGATGAAGTCAGTATACGTTCTAGTAATAGGAAACGCTATCACTTACCACCTCAGATGCTTCATCCTTGTAAGCATTCGCCTTAATGTTCCAGATGATCTGGTGGGCGAACAGCTGCGAAAATTTGGCCGTCTCAATTATATACCGCTCAACATAGCCGAGCACATCATATCGAAGCGTCTGCACGATCTGGTAGACGTAAAAGAACATGACATCCACGGAGTGGCTTTCGAGCGCTCGCATCGCGTATTGGATGATGAACGGGTGGTTACCGTAAGCTGGCATGAACAACGTCACAGCAGTAATGGGATTCAGTGGCGCCCAGTAGAGCAGATACTTGAGCTGGAAGGAGACGTCTCCAGGCAGCTGGTTGCCCAGCATAACTTCCAAGGCGTCCGGCTCGTCCAATACCCTATGAGGGAAGTTGAGCACCTGGAACCGAACTTCAGTCTGCAAGCGCGGCGACTGGAAGCGCTTGAGTAGCTGAATAGCGATTGCTGGGTTCTCCGCCCATGCAGTCTTGACGTGAGCTGAGATTGCAGCATCTGGCAGGCTGTTCCTGCCGCCGCCACCGAAGTGGTGCTTCTTTCCGTTGTCGAGAGGGAACAACCAGACGGTCAAGCGCGTCTGTTCATTGGAGAGAAGTACGGAGAGCAGATCCTGTTTAGCTTTGACTTGTCTCGAAGCTGAATCCGCAACAGTGGCCAGCTTTCCAAGCGCATCGAGGTGGACTTGGACATCTGACAGGACTTGAGTCTCCGCCTTGAGCTGTAGACGGTTGCCGCCGTAGGACCACTGAGGTGCGTGAGCGAACCATGCCAGGCCTGCGGTCAGCAAGCGATCCATAAGACGCCATTTAGCGGTCGAGGAGATGGTCGTGCTGTGGCGGACAATACGCAGCGCGAGCAGTATGACGTGGAAGTAAGCTTCCCTCGCCAAAGGCTGAGAACACCCCGCACTCATTGCATCGAGCGTGATATAGATCAAACGAACGTAGACACGCTCGAAGTCCGATTTACTGAGCCGAGAAGCGCTGAAGTGACTCGAGAGGAACTGCACGAGCCGGAAGTGCGGTGCGATGAGATTGTAGATGAGTTGCTGGTGTTTGGCCAGAGCTTCCTTGTCAGTAGCAGCAAATTCTTGCTTGCCATAGAATGGGTCAGGGTGCCTTGAGAAAGTCAGTGACAAGTTTTGCCGATTCAAGATGGATACATACCTGAGCGCAGGACTAAAGAGACCCCTCCGCTTGCGCACCGTGCCCTCAAAGTTTTCTGCTATTGCTACCAAGACACGAGACTCCATGCGAGGGTTCTCCTTAATGACGCTGGTCCACAATGATATGCCCAGCTTGATCGATTGCTTTGAAAATACTGCGAAGGGGATACCAACCAGATGGTGCACAATCGGTGACTGATCCCTCTTGACTCTGCAGAGCAGCGCAGCCGCCCGGCGAAGGATATCCCGGAGCTCAGCAATTGCGACATGCTTGTGGTGCAGTGTGCGCTGTTCGAGGTCAACAAGAAGCTTGGTAGCATCCTGAATACTGCGAGACATGTATGTTGGCACATAGCCGATGGGATTCCCTCCGTTAAGCCAATCTTCCTGCTGATCGTTGCCGCTCTCAAGGAACTTGTATTCTTGTCTCGTGGTGTACTGCGTGATGAAGTCGGAGGCGGTATTGATGTTGATGCCCTGACGCTCAATAGCACCTAGACGCTGATCGTTGACGGGGATTACTGACCCCATCTCCAGGGCAAACGATCGGCCAAGAGAGACGTGACCGTAGGATGTCTCGTCATCGTACTCGGACAAGTATGTCTGAAGGAGACCTTTGATGTCCAGCGGAGCTATCTCGATGACTCCCTTGACCCAGGAAGTTGCCCGCTTGTGCAACGTCTCCAGTGTTGCTCGGCGGAACACATAGTCATCTGACAACTCTACAGAGATATCCGACTTCTTCGAGGTAAAGGTTGACTTCCAGGTGTACTCATCGGTCTCGCCCTCAAGACAGCTGTACCACATGATCGAGAGCAGCTCGAGGAGCGCAAACAGAGCACTCTTCTGACAGAGCGTCGAAGGCACCTCACGAATGATAATATCAGCGCATGCGGCTGCAGCTTGCTGGACTCGAGCGATGCGGTGGCAGCAAGCCGCAAAGATTTGCGCAAGCTGTTGTGCAAGGTAGGGTGTAGAGAAGGTATGATGCTGGCCTGAGAGGGTCTTTGCCAAGTACGTCCTGACGGCGACAAGAGTAATGGCAGACATGCAGTTACCGACTGCTCCAGTTCGCAGCTTGGGATCCAGGAAGTAAACGAGCGCTTTGGTGCAGTCGCCCGTGCTGGCTCGCAACTCCTCGACCAGATAGGCTGTGTTCAAGAACACAGCCTCAGGATACGTGAGCGACTTGGTGTCGGCTTCACAAGATGGCAGAAGCTTGGCCAACCGTCGCTTTTGCTCGGCAGTGTGTTCAGCAGACTTGCCACGGCGAAGCACCGTGTTCAGTTCAATGTCACTTTCTGACAGCATTGGGCGCTCTTCGGCGATGAGAGGCTTGCTGAAGCGAGCAAGCGTACGGAGCTCTTCGATGTACTGCTTTCCAAGATCAGAGTTAGTGTCGAAGCCGTGAACGACAATGTTAAACCAAGCGTCTCGTTGCAGGTTGACAATGACATCGTCAAGCTCGATTGAGTCGGCTCGTTGAGCATTGCGGGCAAGAAGTGTAGCCAAGGGCTTCAACATCTGAGCGATCTCGTGCGAAGCCAACTCGGTGTCCCTCAGGTGCTTGTGGGATGTCTCTTGCGCATCGCCCTTGCTGACGATTGTATCGAGGAGGTGTGTTAGATACACCTCGAATGCCTCGTCCTCAGACACCTTCTTCGAGATGTTCAGGCGGGCGTTCATAACCTTGGCTGTCGTCAGTGATTATCGGTCACGCGTTTGCACCATACTTACAGCATCAAGAGTGGCAACGTCATCTTTGACAAGCGCATCATGGCACAAGGTCGCATAGAGCTTAAGTAAAGATCTGAACTCCGCTGGCGGCGTGTGGATACCGAGCAGTGCAGCGTCGGTAATGATCTTGACATCGACAACTTTGCTGGCCCTTCCGACTTTCTGGATAAGCATCGACATAGCCAGCGCTGTAATCTTCTCATCTTTGCACTTGCTCGCCACAGACACTACAGTGTCAACAATGGTGGTGTGCACATGATGCGGCTCCTCGACATCACTTGGGGTGAGTGATATGGCGCTGCCGTTTGATTGATGCGCGTAGATACCGGGAGCGCGCAGTGTATTTCCAGTACCATTGAGTGAGGGCGATGCAGAATTGGCGCCAGCAGTAGTAGGCCCTGCGCTGATAACATTACCAAGGCTGTACAAGGTTGTGATGATTGCGTCTTGGGGAAGCAAGCTCAGAACTGCTGCGAGAGAGTCTGCTGCAACGGACGATGTTCTATTATCGAAGTTGGCTTGAACGATCAGTCTTGGAAGTGAGCGGCCAAGATTCGATGCCGTAGATGGAGACACCTTGGCCAAGATAGCCATGGACTTCAGAGCTGTCGAGGCCAGGTCGTGATCAGCACTCTGTGAGGGATCGTTCAGCACAGCATCGAGCCAGCCGAGCAGAACGTCATCATCGGCAATGTCATCGTCGTACACAGCACAGCACAAGTACGTTGTGATGATCTTGGCTTTGACCGAAGACGCTTGTCGCTGCTGCCACGCAGAGCCGACTCTTTGCAGGTAGTCAACGTCATTCTCCAAGCCATGCATCTCATCGACAGCGATCCTAGTCAGCCCCTCGGCAAGTGCGTCCTCGGATGTATCTCCAGCGGCGCGGTTGTTGTTGTTGTACGATGCCTGCAGGTGATCGAGGATAGACTCGCGAGGGCGACGAGCCGGCGTTTCCACAAGCAATGATGCGGAAGTGACAACGACCTTCAGGAAGGAATCGTGCAGGATCATGGCACCCAGTGGACGCCCAATGGCTGCATAGTGCTTGGTGTAGCGCTTCCATTCTCTCAAGCCGTGCTGATGGGAGCGCGCGTTACGCGCAATTGACAAAGCAGTCTCGAAGGCAAGAAAGTATTGTTCCGAGATCGCTGCCTTGATGTCTTGAACGAATTGAAGCCGTTCGTAGGCGTTCCAGAATCTCGCATGCTCGGCGGCAGCATCCAGGAAGCCCAACAGCGACAGGCTGTGGGTGATGACCTGCGACAGCTCTCCGTCTGCGTCGAAATCAGATCTTTCGTCGCCGTCGTCTAGTTGTACCACCGATAGCTCCGCAGCCATGGCTGTCCACCCTTGTACATAGCTTGCGAGTGTGTTCGTGACCTTCGTTCGCAGCTGGTCATGGCGAACACCGAGTTGCAGGATCGCCGAGGTCAGGTTGTAGGAGAGAACTTCGTACGGAGAGGGCTGGATGCCTTGGAGGCTCGGCGACGGTAGCAGTACTTGTGTGTATATGCTTGGGAGATAGGCAGCCAGTCGGTCGAGGAGCGGTGCAGCGACCTCTATGGACTCGACATAGGGCGCGGCTTTGCAAAGAGCCAGAACGGCTTCCAGTTCCGTGACCTTGATACCGCTGGCATCGGCTGACGCTTTCAACGGGCTCGAGCACCGCCTGTACAGTCTTTCGAAGTCGTTATTCGGTGAAGTCGCGGACGACGATTGCGCGGAAAGGCGGGCAAGCTTCTCGAGCGCATTGCCTCGAATTGAGCGTCTGGAGTAGGCAATCAGTCGCAAAGCTCTCCTGTAGGCCCAGAAATACATACGCCATGTTGTCGACTTTCTCGACACGTTGCGCGTCACAATGCGCGTAGTAATAAGCAATGCGTGTTTCTCGACAGATGACGAAAGCGTGGTGAGCCTTCAGGGATCAGGGGTCCTGCAGCGGTGTGGCTCCCGCTGATATGGCGCAGACTGCTACACCTCTGTAACCTCGCACCTACTGTCTGCAGGTGCTACCCATACATTATGCAATTCACTTGGGTTCGAGCATGACGAAGACGTTAATTGGGAAGAAACATTGGCTTGTGCACATTGAAGCGCTCAGACTGACGCGGTCGACGGGAGCTTTAAAGAGGTTGAAGCACTCCAATCGTCAGAGAAGATCCTCAGAGAAGGACAACGCTGGTGGGCGCTGGCCAGTCTGCTGCAGTAAGAGTTGTGCTAAGCGCGACACCATCTCTCTGGCCGTCATCTCGATACGCCTCAACAATCCCAACTCTCTTATACGTGTGCGTCTTTCCTGCATCTGGGACAATAGCTAGACCGCTGCACGGTGTGACCATGAGGACATCACAAGCATCGTAATAGTCAAGATCGAAACGGACAGTAGCTCGCCGTGTGTCTCGGCCACGTCGCCAGATCTTGCATACTCTTCCGTTGATTCCTACGCTTTGTTCGACGTGCGTGATGCAGGTCAACGGGCCATTGACTCGCGCAAAAGCAGACGTCAGCTCTCCCAGGGTATTGTTACCTTTGGGCACTACAGTGCACTCCTCCAACGTGGCACAGGTAGACGCGTAGGCGTCGTAGATTGCGTATACAGCGACGCCTTCAAGTGCTGCGAAAGACCATGTCGGTGCTCTCCACTCAACGACCTTCTCGGTCTTCTTCGGCACTTGGATGTATGGGTCGATCGTCGAATCTTGAAAGCGCCACAGGAGTCCCTGGACAAACCAGCTATGCCAGAGGCCAGCATAGCAAACATCCCCAGTTACTCGCTGGAGAGCTGCGGCGATGCCAGAAAGAGCAGGAAGTTTGTCTGAGTGGTAAGTGATGTTACGTGATGTGTATTCTTGGACCACATTGAACCATGGCTTGCGATCGAACCAGGGCTGTTGAACGTCTGTGGCAGTGCGCGAGAGTGACTGGACTAGACCTTTGCCGATCGTTCTTATAGAGTACTCGTCATAGAGGTTGGTACTCTTCTCAGTGTCAAGACATTCCCAAAACAGGCCTTCTTCGCATTCCCAGTACATCTGGCGTTGTGTGAAGTGAATTGTACGACGTGCCAGAACTCGTTCTTGGAAGCACCAGCCACGACTCATCATGGGTTCGTCCTGAACACTGATTAGCTCTTCCCTTGGCCGTAGAAGTCTCGCACTTGCTCTTTCATATCTAAGGGGAAACCCATCGATTGTACTCGCAGGTGCGCCCGGGGACATTGTATCATCACTGTATTCGAAATACAACGTGAATGCGCCCTCATCGTCGTTGAACTTAATGAGAATATGGTTTGAGCCTGTTCGAGGTTGGAGAAACCCCTCGGTGCACTGGCTGGCACGCATTGCAGCAAGCGTCAGTGAGGCATTCGAGTACACCTCAGACATGCGACCAGCTTCATTTTGCCAATCTGTTTCGTCATCTTGCACAATACACAAGCAGTCGGCCCACATATATCGAAGGCCAAGGTATCGCACCAGGAAGGCTGCATCCTGTAACGTTCCTGGTAGATCGGCGAAGCTGAGGCCCTGCTCTTCCTTGTGCTTTTGTATATTGTCCTTTCTAGTCGTGCAGGGGACACTTTTGCCCCAACAGTAGCTGAGGGCCACATACTCACCTACACTCCCAGATGTAGTTTCGATTAGTCGACACGAGCGATCTTCGAACAGCTTCCGCCAGTCTGTGCCGTTTTCGATGATTTCCTGGCGCTCAGGTAGGCCACGTAGATCGAGAAGCCGAGTTGGCAGAGGCCTCGTGCACTCCAGGGGGCCAGAGCAGTCGGAGTGCTTACTTGCACACATTTGAATCCAACGATCTAGCTTCCCAAGGACAGCTGGATGAAGGGAGTCAGGTATCACTTCCAACACATCGAGATATTGTGCAACAGGGCTGTCTGAGAATGCCTGTTCAGTCACCAGCGTTTGCTTTGCCTGCTCATCATTGCGTACCTGGAGTCGTGGTGAACAGAATGCGACCACTGACCAATACAGCAGGTTGTTCGTCGCCCAGGAAGATGTGAAACTGGTTATTTCCACTCGTTGGAAAGCGTAACCAAACAGCCCTTCGATCATCGTATTGCTCATTGGCCCTCATGCGAAGGCTGGCCTGCAGACACTCGGAAGTAAAGTGACAGAACGGACATTCTTTGGCGTTGGCTCTCAGATGCTGAAGCGAGACGTGCCATCTGAAGAACGGCTCCTCGGTGCCACGCGATGCGGAAGGGTCCTTCCACCAAATCAAGTCTCTCAAGAGCGATCTGTCGCCGCCAAAGAAGCGCAAGAACTCTCGGATTGGAATCAACTGACACGCATCGCACAGAGCCATGTCTCGTCGATACTGGTGCTTCAAGGTGTTGTCGATGAACCGCACCCGAGTCAGAGATGGAGGCCAAAGACTCACCACCGTGTCAACACCAGAGATGGTGAGGTTTGGACATGTGAAGGCTGCGACCGAAGAGGAAGGTGCGAAGATCCGCGCCGCCCCCACGCCTTGTTCCAGGCCTTCCCCGCCCCCGGACTCCGACAACGCAATCAGGGTCCAATCCACTGAAATCGATTGATTGGTCTCCGCAACAGACCCATCACCTGTCCATCTCGCCTAAACCCATCTGAAGCGTGCCGCGACCTCGTAGTTCCGCGGCACCATGCTCGTCCCGAGCTCGGCGCAAGCTCCAGCGACCGTATCGATGGCGACGAGTGGCCGGAGTAAATGCCGGCGTCATGGGACGCGACGAGGCGCTGTACATATACCAACGGCAAGGCCGGGTGTCGTGCTTCACTGACTGCACTTTGTTTACTTACCGTCAACATCGATTGTCACTCCATCACATAGCCGTCCAGACGTCGAGTGGTGCGACAGCGACAACCCGTCCATCACAACACACGGATTTCCCCCAAACACGCAACCTGCCAAAGCAAACACCGTCGCTCCCGGAAGATTCAAGTCCCCAACGCAAAAGCTCCAAAGCTCCTACGCGACAATGCCAGCCCCCCTCCTCGCCCTTCCACGCGAACTCCGCGACCAAATCTACGCGCTCCTCTGGTCCAGCACGCCCACAATCACGCTACAAAACCACCCCTCCATGGGCCAGATACACGCCACCTACGCCTCACTCTCGGGGCTCGCAACGCACCTACCCCCCTGGCTGCTCACGAGCAAGCAAATCCTGCTTGAAGCCACAGACCAGATGATCCGCCACGGGACCTGGACGCTGCGGCTGCGCAGCGAGTGGGACACGGAGCACGCGGGTCGCGTCCTGAGCCCGCTGCTGGCGCGCCGCGTGACGATTGTGCTGACGCAGCCTCTCGAGGGCCCGCGGCCGCGGTGGCCGCATGTCGTGCGGGAGACAGTGCTGCGGCCGAGTCGGGAGAACGGGGCGTGTTTCGAGGGCGTTGTGGAGCAGCTGCGGACGGAGAGGGTGAGAGATGTGCGGATAGTGCTGGAGTTGGTTAGGGAGGAGGCGGGTGCGCGGCTCGACTTGTCGATGTTGGAGGCTGCGTGTGCCTTGAGGCCGGGGCTGGAGAGGTTGGAGGTTGTGGTTCTGAGGGAGCAGGTTTATCGCATGTACACTGAGGGATTTGTCGAGGCTATTGGTGCAGAAGTCAAGAGGGTCGGGAACAAGATCATGGGCAGTGATGAGGACCCTACCGTTAGCGGGATCTTCCAGGACAAAGGGTTTGTGTACACGTTCGACCAGGCTGGCGAGATGGGGCTGTGTCGGGTTGATTCTGCGGTCGGCGAAGCAGACCATTGAGCCAGTGTGCAACGTAATAGTAGTTGAAATGTCTCAAGTGGTAGATGCGGAGACCGGATTGTGAACATCGTAGAATGCGTTGTGTTGTTGCCGATATCATACACCCCACAAAGCCATGCTACATCCCTTCTCGCCCAGCCCACCAATCGTTCATACATAGCAAGAAATTGCGCCAGCAATGCTTATGATCGCCCAGACTTTCCAACCAACCCTGTGTGCGCCAAACCCGCCCTAGCCTATGTGGAGAATTTGAAAGTCGAAATTTGAACCTCCTGGAAACTCGTCGAACCTCGATCAAGAGAAGCTCGAGGGAGAGAAGAACAGTAAACAGGAAGGAAAAGGGTTGGCGGCCCTGCAAGAAAACTTCAAATTGCAGGGACATACCATAGATCAAGCGTCTTCGGGGAGGATACGCGCAAAGTGCTTCTCCCAGATCCAGCCAACCGTCTTTGTCGCGTCGTCTTGGTTGCGTGCCAGCCACAACTCGCCCTTCATGCCGATGACGTCAAAAATCTCGCCGGGAACGTAAACGAGGTAGGGAATGCCGCCTTCGCGGCGGTCGTGCGCAATGTTGAACTCGAAGAGACTTGCTGCCAGGAAAAGAACCTCTGGCTCGTCGGTGTCGCCAGGAGTGATGGGGAGGTCTTCAGCACTGCTGCGCATCGGTGTGTCAGACATCGGCAGGGCCGAGTTGAAGACACCGGACTGACGTGTCGAGCCTGGGAGTGAGGGTGGTTGTGAGCTAGGCGCAGACATGGTGAGCATGCTCGACTGAGTCGGCGAGAGGAAAGAAGCGCCTAGTTGGGGCGGGAAGTCGAAGATGCCCGCCCCAAACGACGAGCGATCATCAAAGTCAATAACGCCATCCATGCCCAGATAGTTGTGGTTCCTAGATCGCGCCGAGTTGCGTCGTTCTTGGTGGCGGACCATTGTTGTGTCGCTGTTGTCAGACACGGGACTGAGTGCTTTTGCTGCCTCGCGTGAGGAGACAGCCCCGAAGTTGTTGCGTGACGAGGCGCTTGTGTTCTGGTAGAGCGAGGTATACGCCGGGCCTGCGGGTAAGGAACGCGGAGGTCCATCCATGGAACGCATGTTCGACCGCGAGCTGTATCCGCCACTATGACGGTTACGCGGGTCGAAGCCAGAGGCCTCGCTGCTCATCGACTCTGTGCGGCGAGAATGAGAGTTGCGCGCTGAGCCAGCGCCATCAGACGGTATCGGAGAAGTCATGCTTGAAATCTCCTGCAACAAGCGTTGGCTGTTGGTGATCCCGAAGCTCCTCGCCCGCTGCTCTTGCACGTTGTAGTCGGACTTGAAGCGTTCCACGTACGCCTTCAGGTCGTAGTCTATAGACGTAGTATGCTGTGGCTCCGTTTCCAAGAGTGGAAGAATCTTCTTCGAACACGTCTTGTACCAATCTTTCTGCAGGGCCATGAAGAGCGTCATTACACTTCGCATGACGGCCTTTGTCTTGTCGTACAGCATCGGTAGCTCCAGCTTTAGGGTATCGTTGATGGTAGTGAATCGTTCTGCGTACGCCACGGTCTCAGGGTCAGGCTTCTCGCCACGTTCGACGGCCTGTTTGTGTTTGACGTAGTTAATCAGCAGCTTCTTGCGCTGTTCTATGGTCTTCTGATACGATACCCACATCTCCCACAGATCTGAGATTGGTTTGAGCACACGACTGCGAACAGCAGCTTTCTACGATGAGGTCAGTATGAGCCACGCGCGAAAGAGACCGAAAAACTCACGTGATCTTCCAGGGCTTTGTTCTGGAGCTCGAAATGAGCCATGGCCCATTTGCGCCATGTGCTTTCGATTTCAGGATTGACAGACGGAGCAACCTCGCATACGGTGATGAATCCCAGAAAGACGATGTTGAGTTGGAGGTAATGCTCGGTGATCGAGTCCAAGTAGTTTTCGAAATCGCGCATGACGATCTGAAGCTGGAAGAAGTGGCCACCGAACTTCTGTTCGCGAGACTTGTAGTCCATGTCCTTGAATGTCTTCTCGGCTTCGTCGTAGGTCTTTGTCTTGTCTGCCTTGGGAATGAAGGCCTTGACGAAAGCATTGCCAAGCCCCTTGCCTTTGCTCTTCTCTTTCTTGCCTTCCGAGGTCGCGGCACGGAAGGTGTCTGCGCGCTTCTTGGCATCGTTGATGCGTCCACTGATGGCGAGAAGCTCGAGTCGCGCTTTCGTGATGTTGACCAGATCTGGGTGGTCGGCATCGGTACATTGCTCAAGCGACTCGAGTAACAATGGATACTTTAGTAGACGTTGTGCCGGCTTGACGAGGAGAGAGTCCAGGTCCCAGGCTTGGGTCATGTTCTCGACTTGTTCGAAACACGCAACAACCCATCCAGTAAGTTCCGGGTTGCTCTGGTTCTTCTTAATGTACGCATGCTGGTTTTGCGAGTTGAGGTAGTAAGTCGTATACAGCCGCTCCATCTTTTCCAGGTTCTCGAGGAACACGTTGCCAATCGACGTTTGGTGATCATTCTCCAGAGTGCAGTTCTCAAACTGATTGAACTCGTCCGAGCGAAGGTTTGCAGGCAATTCTGCAGAGCCGAAAGACTTGGAGTCAGTTGAGTCGCGACTCCAAGGCCCTGTCGGAGGCGGCATATCGTGGTTGACGATAGGCTTCGCCGCCTTTTTAAAAGCTCTAAACAATGAGAGAGAGAACTTCTCAAGGTCTTTACAGTTGCTGAAGAGAGCTCGCTTTTCCTTCTCCGTCATGATGCTGCCAGCCGTTGCCTCGAAGATGTTATGAGCGATCATCATGTCGATGCAGAATTGATGCTCTGTTGTCAGCATCTCCTCGAGGATGCGGTAGCGCTTCGTCAAAGCCTGACGCGCGGGGTCTGGCGGCGTCTCTTCAGGTGCTGCTGGCGTTTCCTCTTCCGCCATGTCAATCTCCGGCAACGGCTTGTCGCTGATTTCCATGGACCTTGGTGTGCTGTGTATGTCGCTGTAGTTCCTGTCATGCATGTTGCCAACGGGCGTGAGCGCACGCGCGGGGTGCTGCTCAAAGCGCTCGTCCGTCTGCGACGCGGGGGATGGCTTCGCATGTCCGGAAAAGGAATACGATGCAATCGAGGGTGAGATTGGCGGCAGCTCGTCCAGGCTCTTTGCGGGAGGTGGAGGCGGCGGTGAGTACACGGGCCGCGGGGGTTCTTGTGCGGTGGGTGACGGGACCGTAGGTGAAGGAGGCATGTAGTTATTCATGGACAAGCCGAGACCGCTACTGGTCCAAGCAAGCTGCGGCAAGTCTAGACCGTTTGTCGAGGGAGCCGCGTCATCGTGCGCTACGTTTGACAGCAGTGCATCCTGGGACGGGTTGCCAAAGGAACTTCCTGGCGGCGATGCATCCTCCTGTATGAGTGTGGTTGCCGAGCCCTGCGAACCGCGCGAATAGCATTGTGATTCTTGCGGGAAAACAAAAGCCGGGATCCGGTTAGCACACTCTGGCGAGGGTTTCCGTGCTTGATACACGTTTGGTGTGAGGAGAGGTAGAGCTTCTCTCTCATGCGGGGGCTCTTGCGCACTGTCTCGCGGCATCCCGTTGGCATCGCTCAGTATCCGCGCCAAGTAGGTCTCTGTGGCCTCTTTTGACGCCCAGTCCTGATGCTGGGCTATGACGGGCGAGACCTGCTGGACTCTTTGCCTGGAAAGCAAGGCTAGCTCTGGTGAGATGACTGGCGACTGGTGGTACAGGTTCAGCACAGAGTTGATGACGCTGTACGTATCGCTCTTGGTGTGCATCGGCTTCTGAGACCGGTACGGCGCAACGCTGATAGAGTCGTCTGGATGTAGCGAGTCACGATCGTGGAAAGAATCCGTAGGCGAGTCCTCGCCCTTGAAGTGAAGGGCGGGCAGCAAGGTCTCGTGCCCATACACCTGTACCGATCGCCTAGGAGGCACAGCGCGCTGTGTTTCCTCCTGCTGGGACATAGGCAAACCATTGATATCTCCGGACAGGTGCTCATCGTTGAACATGATCGGTATCGACTCTCTCACGCCCAGTATGGATTCCTCGATGGGAGGCAATTCGGGAACCTGCTCGCTGCTCTGTGCGCGGAAAACGGCTGGCCTGAGAAGCTGTGGTTCAGGCTCCTGCTGAGGCTCCTGCTGAGGCTCTGGCGCGGCTTCCTGCAGTGTCTGGTGTGCTTCCGTGTCCTGAGGGCTGCGCTGAGCGACTGGTGGGGTCAGGACAAAGCTTCCGGGTAGGCCTAGAGTTGGAGACTCTTCAAAGTCGGTGACTGCAGACCACGGTTGCGTCGGTGGCGGTAGGCCCAAGCTGAATGTTTGCAAGCTGAGCGAATGTTGGCGCCGTGACGATGGACTTTGATTCTCTTCTAAAGACTGTTCTGCTGGAAGCGGTTGTATGTCTTGGGAGAAGTTGAGGACGCTGGGCGAGAAAGAGAAGTCCAGGGTCTGCGATTCACTTTCACCGTCAAACAGCCCTGGTTGGCTCGCCAAAGGGTCCGGTTTCGAGTGGAGCTGGTCGCCAAGTGAAAAGTACTCGTGCTCGCCATGCGAGTCGCCCGCTCTGGGGTGCGCATGGGGAGATTGCAGGGGCTGTCTTTCTCTTGAGTTACGCAATCGCGGGGAGGCTGGTGGAGGTGGGGCAGTCACGACTGCCGGTACGCTGGGACCGGTCCTTGCGGGCGATTTCCCTCGTTCTCGATATCCGCGGTAGGCTAACGCTGGTAGCGTTGCATGGTCGACACCATTGCTTTTCACGGGCGTGCTTCCTCCAACTGGTTTCCTGGTCATACCACGGTTGGGCGAAGAGCGGTTGCTGCGTGTGGGCGTGTACCTCACTGACCGGACTGAGGAACTGGCGTCTGATGCGTTGCTCGACCGCCGCGAGCGCTGCGACATGATGGGTATTCGAGAAGGTGGTGAGTGTCGTGGTGGAGAGTGCAGGGATCGTGAGGATGGTCGTGTCTGTCTGTGTCTGGTGGAGGTTGTCGTGGCATTGCTCTGTGAGCGCTGGTGTTGGGCTGGGATGAACGTGGTCGCAGGCAATTGCACGTCGTCTCCTGCCAGGTCTTGGGCATCGTTTATGGGCGGCAGAGGCACCTGGGCTGCCTGCAAAGCCTCCTCGCGTGCCGTGCTTGCGAATGTGGGTATCATGAATCCGGGAAGGGACGCATCCTGTCCACCGACAATCTCGCCGAAGAGCTGCCGCCCGCTCGAGGATGCTCGCTCGAGGCCAGGTCTTCGATTCGGGGACGTAATGGACTGTCGCGACGAGGACGTGACCGAGTGCCGTGACGGGGACGTGACTGCGTGTCGTGCAGGCGAGAGCGTGTGATCGATGCTGCTGCGGCTGACAAGGCTCGCGTTTGTGGCGCGGCGTGCGGTCCGTGGCGGCGATGTGGGCGCAGCCTGCGGCCGTTCGCGCGGCTTGAGGTTCTTGAACTGATACGAGCCGTACGCGGCTTCCTTGGGCGGTCGAGCAGCCAAGACAGGCGGGCATGCCGGGCCCGCCTGGCGTCGGACGGGGTCGTGGGCGCCAGCTCGTGTGGGCTCCCGTGAGCGCGAGCGGATGACAGAGGGGATCACATCGCTGCCCGGCGAGCGCTCGAAGCGCTCAGTCAGCGCCCTGACCTTGTTCGAGGTCTGCGGCGGCGAGCGCGACGAGGCCACCGACGATGCAGGGCCAGACACGGACCGGGGCCCGCCTCTCGCCGGCGAGCGGACGTTGCTCGAGCTCGCCGTGTGCTGTCGCGGGCGCGTGACGCTCATGTCGGACGGCGGGACGGCAGGCGGGGACTTTGCAGCGTCGTGCTCGGGTGCGGGCGGGCAGGCAGACTTGTAGTAGTCGTCCGGGGAGGGGCTGTCGGGGGCGTCGTCTGGGGCGTCGTCGGCGTGGTGGCCGTTGGCGTGGTGGCCGTGGGCAATGGGGCCCGGTGGCAGTTCCTGCTCGTCGATGCCGGCCAGCGACATGGACTGCACCCAGCTGGCCACGGCCGGGTTGTATGCGTAGTTGGGCTCGGCCATGTTGTCCCTCCTCTACCGTTCCATGCTCCTGTCGCTGCGGTTGCGAGAAGCGAGGGCGCGAATCGACGCAGCTCCAGCGCCGTTGTGGTCCAATCCAAGGGCGCCCGTCTCTTGGGACAGCCCTGCGTATGTTTCAGGCAGAGCAATGGGCGACAGCGCTGCACGGGGCCAGAGACTCCAGGTGCGCGACTCAGCACGCGTGGGAGACGTCTGGGAGAAGCACCCCAGCCCGCATCCACCGGCGCACTTCCGCGCCGTCTTCTACCATGTACCTAGGCCAGAATAGTCGCCCTGTGCGTTGCTCCCAACGTCAACCAGGAAACACGCGCAGCTCTACTGCTGGAACAACAGCTCGCTGTAATTCCGTGTTCTCAGGCTCGCAGGGCAACAACGGCTGGGGCAGGCCTCGTGCAGTCTCGTGAAGACTCGTGTAGACTTGTGTTGAGTCTCCCAAATTCACTGCGTTCCCAAACGGACACATCCAATATCTCGAGAGATCGGCTGTCACTAGGTACTGGCGTACCTTCTTCTTTCGGCCATCCAAACACAACAACGGCCCCAACCTGCACCATTCCCTGCCACCTCGCCAACGCGAACATGGCTCCAGCCTCTTGGGCAATCGCCGTCACATAAATCTTGCCAGGCCAGCAAGCAGTCGCTGTCACATGAATCTTGTCAGGCCAGCATGAAGCGAAAACGTACACCCCACGCGGGTGGCCCTCGGAAGAAGGCGCACCCTGTCGACCAATCTGCGAGTGCCACACCTGCAGCCATTGAGCAGCCTGTTTTGCAACGCTTCTATCCGCGACTGCTTACGCTGCGCCACTATCTCTTGTCAGTGCTCCCGAAATCGTCGAGGAACAGGCATCGAAGGCTTGCTCATTTGGGGCGGCCAATTGCATCCAACAGAGCAGCGTCAACAAGTGAGCCTGATGGTGAACTTGCGCAGCTGCTCGACTCGACGGTCATCGGTGAATGCAGGACAGCAAAGATCAATGACCAAGAACAACTCGTCAGGGACCGCATCAGGGATATCGAGACTTTCACTCAGCAACTGTCTCCTGCCGTTTCCGGAGGCACCTTTGAGCCTGGCTACTTCAAGCAAGCGGAGGTAGGTTTTCGCGCAACGACATGTCACGGACTTGGCAACATCCTCGTGCAGGTGCTAAGATGGACAGATTGTTGATTTTGTGATATGGCGCCTCTTCAAACGCTCCTCGTCCCATAAGCTTTCCCATTTGCTTTGCCACGGGTTTGAGCGATCTGCATCAACATATCGACGCAACGACGGTCATGGAGCTGACCCGTCCTCGATACCTGGCGTGGTTGCGCGTCGCCCGAACAGCCATGTGCTCGCACTGAAGGGGCCGTTGTGGTGTCGACTCCTTGCAGTGCTCGGCGAAGGAGGGGATCGATGGATGATGGATATGCTCACAGACTGTGCTATATTCTATCCTGTCGGTGGGAAGGCTAGCAACTACTACCAACTGAGCGGCCCTCCCATGTTCGACCTTGAGCCTATTCCAGCGTCAAAGACGACCGTTACGCAGGCACACCCACAGGGTGGACCTGCGAGCATGCTAGCTGAACCGCGAACACCGTGTGAGATAGCGTTTGTGCGCAGTCGAATGCTCTACGCCAAAGCAGCACTGAACGCTAAAGGAGGCATCAGATTTGGCATGCGTCATATCCGTCAGTGAAGACGTGCGTCTTCTTTCAAGAAATCGACTGAACCAAATTGCAGATGTATTGAATCGCTTCCCGAGCCGGGACGACAAGCGGCAAACCGTGCAGATTATGCGATACATGTTTCCACGCCAATATGGCTTGCACAACGTTTTTACTTGCAAAACTGACAAGCGCGAGACTGCCATGTCTTTCAAGGACTACACCCTGCGGGAGAAGGAGATCCACCAGAAGATGTGCAGGGACCTGGGCGACAAGGTCAGCGATGTCAATGAAGTGGCCAGGTGGAAGCAACGTGTGCCGAAAAGACTGCGAGGGGATCTAGTGGCTTTAATCAGCAAAATGAGGATACTCAACCAACGGTGCTCGTACGCGGAGCTGCTGCACCACTACTGTCCTGTCGAGGTGAGTGCTATGACCAGATCCCGTACCAAGCGCTGACAACGCAGAACACCCCTCTCTCGTCAAAGCCAGAACGGAAGAGACATCGTCTCAAGCCTGGAGCGACTCGCCAGGCAGCGTTTACAGCCCACAAGACGAATGCTGACCAGACAGCGGACGAAGCTTGCTTCACAGACATGGCTTGTCCGACCGCGCATGTCTCTGCTTTCTGCCGCGCTGTGATCGCCAAAGTTGTCCCCAGGCGATTCTGGGGCGACGATGGCAACAGACGCACAGTCATGCAGTGCATTGATCAATTCGTAGGCCTGCGGAAGTTTGAGACCTTGACGCTCCATGAGGTCACACAAAAGCTTCAGGTATGTACCACTCGGCTCTTGGCTCATTCCTTTACTGAGACACGGCAGGTTACTGCTATTCCCTGGCTCCAGCTACCTGGTCAGGAGGGTACCACCAAACTGGCGCGATCTGACTTTGAGAAACGCAAGGAGCTCTTCCAAGAGTTCGTCTACTGGGTCTTCGATTCGCTCCTGATACCACTGGTCAGGTCAAACTTCTATGTCACCGAGTCCAACGCGCACCGCAATCGACTATTCTACTTCCGGCATGACGTCTGGCGTATGCTTACAGAGCCGTTATTGTCGACTTTGAGATTGAACATGTTCGAAGACATGCCAACCGATCGCGTGAACCGGTTGCTAGCTGCCCGTCCGCTCGGCTTCAGCAAGATACGACTGCTTCCGAAAAAACAAGGCATCCGCGTCATCGTGAACCTGAAACGGAGACCGCAGCTGACACGCTATGGCGCTGTGACGCTTGGGAGAAGCATCAATTCAGTGATGACACCTGTATTCAATGCAATCAACTACGAGAAGGTGCGTAGTCGCCGTGCGACGTGCAGACCACGCTGATTGCAACAGACCATTCGGCCTGACAAACTCGGCTCGTCACTCTTCTCGGTCGGCGACATGTTTCCCAAGCTCGAGGCCTTCAAGGCCTCTTTGCGAGCACAGGGTCTGCAAGACAAGCAGCTTTACTTTGCAAAGGTTGACGTCGTGTCTTGCTTCGACACAATCCCCCAAAAACGATTGCTGAGTATGGTGGACAGCCTCATGTCAGCACAAGCCTATCAGACTGGCAAACACGTAGAGATCAGTGCACTGGGTGCCTTGCAACGTCTTCATGGTGAGCACGTGAATCCAGCACCGCGAAAGCGTTGGATCTCGCACACTGTAGCTGGCAAGGACGCAGCATCGTTCAGCCAGGTTGTACAAGACAAGCTGGTCGGGACGAAAAGCAATACAGTTTTTGTCAACACCCACCTGCAGCAGCAGGAAGCCAAGGCTGATCTGATGCATCTCCTACGCGAGCATGTGGAGCGCAACCTCGTCAAGATTGGCAAACGCTTCTTTCGCCAGAAGACGGGCATTCCGCAAGGCTCCATCTTGTCGAGTATCCTCTGCAACTACTTCTATGCTGAGCTCGAGCGCGATGTGCTGGGATTCGCTCTTGGTGGCGATTGCCTGCTTTTACGCCTGCTCGATGACTTTCTCCTAATAACAGTCGATCGTCAGCATGCAGAGCGCTTCGTACGCGTCATGCACCGCGGCCACGCAGACTATGGTGTCCAGATCAAATCCGCAAAGTCCATGACGAACTTCGACGTGGTCACTGATGACGGTGTCCGGGTCCCCAACTGTAGCCCGGGTACGCACTTTCTATACTGTGGTGTTTGTATTGACACGACGACGCTAGAAGTGAGGAAGAATACTGAGCGTTCCACAAGGGCCGGTGCGTGGACCAAGTGCCTTGAGGAGGCTGGACTGGGAAGCTGACGTGCAGCAGATGTCGAGAACTCACTGACCATAGAACTGTCGAAAGTCCCAGGACAGACACTCCATCGAAAAGCGCTCAAGTAAGTCTGACGATGATCCAATCTCCATCTTGGTTCTGCCATTCTGGTTTCAGTAAACTGCTGGTGATTGTGTGCTGACATGGCGCAGCGCATTCAAGATCCAGCTGAAAGCCATGTTCATCGACCCAGCCTTGAACAGCGTGTCGACAGTACTAACCAATTTGCACCAAAGCTTCCACGAAGCGGCGGTGAGGTGCCTCGAGTACGTGCGCATGCTGGCCAAGATGCGGACAACATGTTCAAGCTTGCTTATCAGTGCGTTCACCCCGAGCCCGATAATTCCCCAAAAGTAGCCGTGACCTGGTGACTTCCTGAAATGCTTGCTTTCCCAGCCTGCCAGCAGCAAACTGCAGGCGGACATGCGCAGATGAAGCCGGAACGCGAGTTCTCTGCAGTGCAGCGTCGATCGGCACGGCTGTCCCGACCGATCATGGTGGACTGACGAATTGCGTAGGGACAGTCGACAGCATTATCGCGCTGGCTTTCGTGATGGTGCAGCGACGTGCGCGTTCGCGCAGCGAGGCACGACTTGTGCATGCACAAAGCGTCATCTCCCGGCGGCAGCTCCAGTGGTAAGTGTGGCTGAAGCGAGTGTCTCACAGTGGAGGGGGGACGGGATTCGAGATGCCCTTTTCCCCAATGCGCGACATGGTCTGGCGTGAAGAGTGCTGGGGCTAATTTGAGCACAGGCTCGCTTGCAAAGCGTTCTACACGGTGTTTCAGCGCGCACAGACAAAGCATGGTGCTTTGCTGGCATGGCTACGAGGGTCGCTCAAGGCGGCGCGCGTGTCTGATGCAGCGGACAGAGAGTTGCTCGAGGCGGCTGCTAGTGCTTGGCAGCGCAGATAAGAGACGTTGATCGAGCTTCGCGGGGTGGTGCGGAGGTCGGCAAGCTGGCTGCGGTGTGACGGCCTTCAAACCAGCTGTACCGGGTTCAACAACGGGAATCAAGATCAGACCCGGCATGTGCTAGCGCGACGGCCTGTCTGCAAGCCAGGCTTGGCTGCATTGACGGCGCATGGCGCAAGCACCGGGCATTCGATAATCTCGACGTCCAAATCCTGTTTCCGTCGACGAAAGAAGAGCTTTGCTGCCTGGATTTGCGTGCTGGGGACGATCGGCTACCGGGCGGTGGTCCAGCATTTGATGGCTGCTCGATATGCCGCGAAAAGTGGTGCGGTGGGCGCAATTGGCGTGCAATTGGCGTGCAATTGGCGTGCAAATTGACGATTCTGATGTCAAGCGCACCGATGAATTGCAGGGGCCGGTACCAGCCACAACGAACCATGACGGGCTTCGATGGTTTCACCTGCTTGCGTCTTCCAGTCTCTACACGCGGACGGCCGCTGCAGACGCCATGGAAGATGCTCGTTTAGAGCGTGCAATTCATGGTTCAAAAGTCCGGCGTCCCTTGCACGCGCGCTCAGACTTCACAGTGCATCTGTCCACCACCGCCATGTTCAATCGATAGCCCTCTGCCCTCCCCACCCAAGTGCATACCGTGGCCCTCTTATCATCTTGATTGACGTGAAGCCGCCCGCAATTACAGGACGAGAGCAGCCGTCACCAGGCCTGGACCAACGGCCTCGAGCAGGGATCATCAGGGGCTTAGCGCGACGATGCCTTCCCGAAATTGCGTTGCCCAGCTGGAGCACCCACATCAAGATTGCAACGACGACAACACCAGCTCGGCGGCGGAGGAGAGCTATCTGTCCAAAGGCACCGCGCTGTATATTATTTCCGCGCATGACTATGGCCGCGAGAGCTCGCTGATTCCGCTCCCGGCCTCGCGCGACCCTGACGCGTGCAACCATCGAACAAAGTCGACCGCTTCCATTCTTCACCGCATTGGGGCCCCCGTGCGCTCGTTCCCCCAGCGCCAGCCGCGCTCTCTGATGGCCACCCTCAGCTACGCCCAGCAGCCGGCGCACCCGATGCACGCCATGGCGTCCTACGAGCTGGAGCCGCCGGACCTGACCAACTCGAAGTCGTCCAAGTCGTCGAGCTTCCACTCGGAGACGCTCTCCGACTACATGGGCCCGAGCGACCTCTCGCACTTTGAGGAGATCAACCTCGACGACGTCACCGGGGGGCCCGATGCCTTCCCCATGTCCGCGGGTCCCGGCCACCGCGTCGTCTACGAGGCCCGCAGCATCTCCTCGTCGTCGCTCTCGAGCATCCGCAGCACGCCGCACGCCCACCCCGCCCCGCATTCCTTCCGCGACCTGACCGGCAGGAAGCCGCAGCATCTTGGCCTGAAGGGCGCAGCCAACCATGCTGCGCGGCCGCACCCGCAGCAGCTGGCCCCGGGGAAGATGCGCCGGGGGTTCACGTCGCCGTCAGCACCATCGTTGCAGACCATGAACCTCGCAGCACCGCGGCGCTCGTCACGGTCGCCCTCGCCCTCGAGTACACACACCACAGCACCCCGCACGCTCTCACGGAAAAGCTCGCGGACACTGGATGTGCTCCCTTCGCCCTCGATCAACTCCTGGAGACAGTCCTGGCAGGATGCAAAGCGGAAGACAGTAAAGGAGAGGGAGGCAGAGTGCGACGACGAGGACGACGAGCTGCCGGAGGACGCTGTTATCTGGAACATACCCATCTCCCCACGACCTGCTCAGGAGCGGTCACCTGCGGCATCCACAGGCGGCAGCCCACCGCAGCCCTCACCAATTGGCAGCGCACTCAGTGCTGGTCCTTCGTCAATGACGACGTCCCCAGCACCCAGCTCACGCGTCCCGCAACCGCATTCACCGAATACCGCAGGCAGCACCGAATCACCGCCCACATTAGAAAGACAGCGGACGCACACATGGCAGGACACGTACGGCTCCCTCGACCCAGACGCGAAGAAGCTGACAGAGGCACTGGAAGAGTTCCAAGTGGAGTTTGAGCGGAAGCAGGAGATCAAGCGACAGCAGCCAGGCCTTGTACGATCCAACTCGTTGAGTGAGCCGGAGTCGAAGTCGAAGAAGCCCACATTACCACCCATCCGCAAGAGCGATCCCCTAATCGACCCGTTCCAGCCGTCCGCTGAGAAGCAGAAGTACCTTTCACGCACTCGTCCCTCGTGGTTACCGCCGAAGAACCCGAAGGAGGAGAAGAAGCACTTGAAAGAGTATCAGCGGATGCTGGCACGGATCGAAGAAGCTGGTAAGATGAATTGTACACCTCTGAGAGAGTATCTACTAACGGTTGTAGAACGCCTTGAAGCTCAGCGAACCCAAGACGAGGCCCTTGCCCGCGAGAAAGCCTCCCGCATAAAAGCAGACTACTGGTCGAATCTGTTGCTTCCCAACTGGGCCACTGAAATGACAAGTCCCGAACTTCGCGCATCGCACAGGAAAATGTGGTGGAACGGAATTCCTCCACGGTTGAGAGGGCAAGTCTGGTCAAAGGCAGTAGGGAACGACCTCGAGGTCACAGAGGGCACCTTCCAGATTGCGCTGGAAAAGGCACAGAAGGAGATTAAGCAATTCGACACTGAAGCACTGGATGGCCGCTACGCACAGATTCTCGAAAACACTCGTGCAGTCTTCCCCGAGCTAAAGATGTTCGCCGCACCCTCCACACCCACTGCAAACGACGAGCAACCGCTCCACCAAGACCTTGTAAACGTCTGCCTCGCATACGCAACCTACCGCCCCGACATCTCCCACAACGAAAACGGCATCCACCACATCGCCGCACTCCTCCTGCTCAACCTCCCCGCACCACAAACCTTCATCACCCTATCGAACCTCCTCAACCGCCCCCTCCCACTATCCTTCCTCGTCCACGACCCAAACGCCATCCACGCCGCATACTCGACCACGCTGCACGCCCTCGCGAAGAAATCCCCCAGCCTCGCGACGCGACTGGAAGGCCTCCGCGTCGAGCCGCGAGACTATCTGTACCACATGTTCAGCAGCCTGTTCTGCAGTCGTCTGGGCGTCGAGCATGCAACACGCGTCATGGACGTGTACGCCATCGAGAGCGACAAGATTCCGCCGCGTGTCGCGGTCGCCATCCTGCTCGTGCTCGAAGGCTGCTGCATGGAGGGCGAGCCGCGCGCCGTCGAGGCCGTGCTCGGCGCGAAGCCGATCGATCTCGACGTCGACGAGTTCATGGCGCGCGTGTACGAGGCGGGCAAGATGGGCGCTTGAAGGCACCTGCCCGCGCGACCTCGTCGTTGGAGACACTGGTCTTGTATAGAAGGATGAGAGACGACGTAACGCAGATTTGGCTTTCTTACCGCACGCGTGCGACCGCATTTGTTTTCGCATTTACACCCGGCGTCTTGTCTGTTTACTGTTATTACTATTACTATTACTAGCTGTACAGCCCGTCCCTTTGCCATCTACCATCTATCTACCATCTATCTACCTTCTACCATCTATCTACCTTCTACCATCTACCATCTACCATCTACCTATCCATCCATCTATCTACATCCATATACCGTAGTCCATGTACATACGTACCTATAGACCGAATCCACGCGCCCGCCCTGCGGCATATATCCACCCATCACCCGCCCACCTCCGAGATCAAACTCCTCTCTAGCATCGAATCTCGCACTGCGGCGTTCACTGCGAACCCTTCCCCGTACTGCCTGACAGATAAGCCTCACCAAGCCTCACACCCCCGTCAAGATCCCCATCAAGACCCCGTCAAGATCCCCATCAAGAGCCCGTCAGGTCTCACAGCCCTGTCAAGCGCATGGTCTTGCGAACACCCCCGACCCCAGATCAAACACCCTACATGCCACTTGTCACATGTCACATGCCAAGGTCGCCGCAGGGGGACCGCAGGCCGAAGCGAGGTCTTCCCTATGCGGATGCTTTGTGGCGCAGGCGCAGGACACGTCGCGGCATGTCGTGGGCGCATGTCGTGGGCGCGTGTCGTGGGCGCGGGCGCTAGGTTTCAGTGCTGTGGCAGGTTGGTAGCGCGGCTTGAGGAGGGGCGAGGGTGAGGGGCTTGTGGTCGGGTGGTTCCGAGGCGTGGGATGAGCGTGTTGTGGGGATGAGAGTGAGTGGAGGTTGGTGTTGGAGGGGTGTATTTGTTAAAGGGGAGGGTGGAGGTTTGTAAGGAAACACGATTTTTTGTATCGTCTACTTTGTATATAGTGACCAAAGGACTCTGTGGCTCCGTATTGAATATGAAATGGGTGGTGTCGATCTTGGGGCTTATGTGCATCGATGACCAGCGGATAGAGCTGGAGTGTGGTGAGTATCCTACTGTGGACAGCGCCTGACGTCCTCCCAAACGGGATTAGATGAAAAGTCGGGCAACAAGCTCAGTACAGTGCGACGGTGTTCACGAAGCTCATCGGTAGCATACATGCATTCGCTGAAGTGAAAATGTCGTCCAGCGCGCAATTGATCTCCAGTAGGTATGTCGGGACCCGGGCAGTGATTGACCACGAAGTGAATGTAAAAGTCCTCATGCATCTCGAAGGTGTTGAAGTTGGAGTAGATGAGACATAGTACGCTGGCAGATTCGTAATGATAACCCCTCTCCGCGAGAAGGGAGGGAACCCGCTTCCTGCCTTTTGCGTCGTGCCTCTCTAGTAGATGCTGTTGAAGAGCAACAAGCCCTACATCTGAACGATGAAAGGAGGCGTAGAGTAGTTGTTACAATCGACTGTCAAGCAGGATCCGCTATTGTGAGCGAGACACCGTTCCTCGGGGCGTCGAGACTTGTGCGGCTCCAAGGCTCGGCAGAGTGGGTCTAAGTACGCAACCCCAGACGTCGATGATGAATGCACAGCTCGTTAGCTCTCGATGCTTTGTAAAGACATCCGACGCTCGCGCACCATGATACTTCGCTGTCCATAGTTGCGCTGCAGCGCAGGACCTCCGCAAAAGACATGGCCAAAACCGCAGCGACCGCGACCGCAGCACCGGTACCGGTAGACCTCGAGATTGGAGGAAGCGGGAACCAGATCGCCGCCAGCGGATCGTCGTCATGCACCCCAGACGATACGCCCTCGAAAGCCGCCACACCGCGCAGAAGCCTTGACTTTGAGGAACACCAACCGACTCGATGTTCGTTTCTGACAAAGACACGTGTCAAGATAGAAGGAAGACTACCCGCGCCGGTCACGCGGTGGAGTCGCAAAGCAATCAGGTGGATCAAGGGTCCTGAACCACCTGTGTTGCACCGCATCAATCCGCTCCTTGAGCCGATACAAACATACCCTGCGCGCCTGGTTGCGCGCTTACCCAAGTTGGTGCGCTTCTGCCTTTTCGCCGCTGCGTTCGTACTTTGGGTGGTGCTCTTCGGCGTCATCATCAGCGACTTCAGCTTGCCTACGAATCTTGCTGGCTATGGTGCACCAGTACGACTGGGTTGTGCTGCGCAGTTGTGGTGTGTATACTAGTACTCTGCGGAACTTCTGCGGAACTGACTATTGCCAGGCCCAATGCGCAAAGCTGCGGCGTTGACGGACGAAATTGCCTTCCTTTCGATAACTCGGCCTTCGCGTTCAATTGCCCGGCAGACTGTGCCGTTACTCAAGTCTTGAATCCTCGAGCGATTGGCAATACTTCAATTGTGTACCGCTCGCTCGTTGTGGGAGGTACGTCGAATGCTACCGGTGATGCGCTTGTATACCGTGGCGACTCGTTCGTCTGCAGCGCAGCCATACATGCAGGCATCATCAAGAACGGCAGAGGTGGATGTGGAGTTGTTTCCTTGATAGGCGAGAGGAATAGCTACGGGTCCACAGACAGAAACGGCATCTCAAGCGTTGGCTTTGACTCGAACTTTCCGTTCTCTTTCGAGTTCAACCAGACGGAGCAAATCGTCAGTGCCTCGGGGAAGTGTCGAGACCCTCGATGGGATCTCCTCACACTGTCTACGATTTTCACCGCACTGTTTGGCCTTTTCACCTCAAGTCCCGCTACGTTCTTTACTCCTATCTTTGTCATCACCTTCTTTCAAATCGCGATGGCTTCAGATCCGCCATCGTACTCGAACTACCCTTCTCTGGCCTCGACAACACTCGGGCGTTTCCTTCCAGCAGCGTGTGTAGCCGCGCTGTTCTATCGGTTTAGCGTACGAAAGACTTTGCTCAATTGCAAAGCGCACATCGAGAAGACTGTCCTTTGGGTTGGCGGATGCTGGGTAGGAGCTCTGGGCAACTACACCTTTGAGCAGATACCCATCCAGCGGCTCACATCCCACGACATCAATCAGCAGCCTGGCGCTGTGACTGCACTAGTTATCATCATACTGGTCCTCTTCGCTGTCGTGCTGTACCAAGCCTGGTGCTTCCGGACCGAGGGACGACTATCGCGGATGCTAGGCTTGTACGCTATACTAGGTGTCGGCTTGCTCATCTGCTTGGGCATTCCGAACTTGAGTCTGAGGATCCACCACTACATCCTCGCCTTGCTTCTTCTTCCCGGCACGTCGATGCAGACGCGCGTCAGCCTTCTTTGCTCAGGGCTGCTTGTTGGCCTCTTCATCAACGGAATTGCGCGCTGGGGATTCGATCCCATTCTCCAGACCGCGGCAGCATTACAAGGCGATGCACAGCTCGGCTCTGGTATACCGTCAATCGCGGCGGCTGTCAGCGATAGTAACATCACATTTACATGGGACAGCATACTGCGCGGCTATGAGGGCGTCAGCGTGATTGTCAACGATGTTGAGAGATATAGAGGCGTGCATGCCGGCAGTGATGGGAACTTTACATGGACAAGACAAGCTCTGGCGGGTCCAGAGTACTTCCGCTTCGGCTTCATCAACTACCTGCCTTTTGGCAGTATCTCGTACAGCGACTTTACCAGAGCTGGAATCTGGTGGCTGAATGGGACGTGGAGTGATCCAGCGCCTGGGCGCACGTTGTACTGAGCTGCGAGTAGTGCGTGTCAGCTCATTGTCAGGTTTTTGGTTCAGTACCTTCGTTGCATATGTCTTAGAGCTTCTCGCTCACTGCACTTACCTTTAAACTTTGTCCTTCACGTATATCTCACACTATCATGCCTCCACACATGGCAGCATAAGGTTCACGTAAAAGACAAAGTAACAGTAGGTCCAGGGGGCTGAGAAGTCAAAACGTACGCAACGGAGGTCCTTTATCTCGAACATCAGCCATGAAGCTGGCGCACTTGCTTCTCATTGAAACGATATGAATGACACGATGCATTGTACCTGTTTCCCTATTGTCTCTTGCGCCTTACCGAGCCCTTGACTTCGTGACGCGACTTCAGGCCTTGATCTAGTGCATTGCACCACCTCCAATTTTCTTCACAGCATGAAAGCCTAAATGATGGCGTATTCTATCGCTATACTCGTAATGGACGTGGTCACATGCAGTCTCCAGTATGAATAGCGCATTTTGCCTTCTCTGGAATTTAAGTAAGTTTACATCGACCGATGAACACACACATCCGCATCAACACATCGACCCCGAAAAACGATCACATAGCGCGTACCCTACCTTCCACGTCAATAGTAGCAGCATTATCGATATCCAGCGCATCAAGGGGCCCAAAGCACCCAGGAAAGCACATGCAAGCACCCGCCGAACCACACCACCGGCACCCAATACCTTCGCGCCAGCAATCCAAGTCCAGACACCACCTCACCTACTGCCACGATCCACTGTCACTCCCCACCGGCGTCTGTTCAAATCGACTACCACTTTCAAGGCAGCAAGTCCGTGGATCCGGTGACCGTGGCGGTACTACGGACGGTGCATCACACCGTGAGTGACTGTTGAGCGGTGTGACGAAAGCCTCGCTCCGCAGATGCCACGCTCATCTTGTGACGAGTGTCACACGATTTCTGGGATTCGCGATGTGTTCAGAGACAGGGGCGGTTGATTCGTAAGACTTCGTTGATTCATGCATGCTACCTATCGCCCACTACTCCTCCAATCCTCCATCGTCTTCGACTTAATTCTGTACCGACGTAACGACGGCTTTTGTGTATTAACCTAATATGCTCGAGATGCCATTAACTGCAGACCTTGCGGTCTATTCACCGTGAAGTCTTTGCTATGCTATGCTATGCTAGTGAACGAAAGAGAGGAGAGGAAACGAAACGAGATACTCGAAAGGGTATAATAGCGGTCATGATCTGTCAAGAAAAGAAAATGCTGCAAACTGAACATCAAAACGAGAAAATGTGCGAACACATTGGGCTCACATGCCGGCGCCGTTGACGGTGACTTCATAGCCCTCGTTCCTCGCCTTGAGCGCTTTGGCTAGCATCAGCTCGCGCATCCAGTCGATGCGCTCGTCACGCCCCTTGGTAGCAAAGTGATGCACCTTACCGTGGGGCATGACCCTCTTGGCCTCGCCAACGGTGGGGACGAGCTGGAACTCGAACGCCGACGGGTTGGCGAGGATTTCCTCCTTCTTGCTGGACGACAGTCTGAGCGCGCGGAGCTTTGCAGAGAGCTTGTTTGATGCGAGCGACGAGCATGCGACAGCGTAGTCGTCGACGTCGATGGTCTGCAGCGCGGACGAAGAAGGCAGCTCGTTAGGATGCATGGCCAGCATTGTGCCATTGAGGCGGAAGTGGTGGTCTTGCCACTCGTGACGCAGCATCTTGGTCTTGCGCTTCTTCATCCAACCGTGGTGGTTGATGCCCTTGTACTCGAAGCCACCCTTGCTTGGGAGCGGTGCAAGTCTGTCGCCAGCCTCTTGTATGCTGGCGAGCTCAGTCTCCCTGCTCGGCGACGAAGCGGGGCTGTTGTCGAAGAACTGTGTGCCACGGTAGGTGTCGTCGTCTGAGTGGGCACCGGTGGGTGTGAACACATGGTTCTCATTGAGCGCTGGCATGTTCAGCGATGGGCGGCGTCGCTCGCTGCGCGATCCGGCCCTCTGGATTTGGATCTTGTACTGCATGTTGGGTGGCACGGACTGGCTCGCGTCACGGGCTACAGGCTCGACGTGGACGGCCGTTACGGGCACGTCCATCATGGAGGCTGGTGTACCGAATCGGTAGATGCCGCCTGGTGTAACGGCCGTTTCGCAAGCGGGCGAAAAAGCGGTGTCTGGTGCGACGTACGAGCTTTGTGGTACGGGATGGCGTGGGTTACCTTGTGGCTGGGCAGACATGGAACGTGGTATAGTGAGCTTCGGAAGACTCCTGAGATTTGAATGTGGGGCGGGTGTCGTGTCTGGAGAGTACAGGACGGGGGTTGGGAGGGTGGCAGGATCGAATCTCATCGTGTGAGCAGACGTGGATGCTGAAAAAGCCGAGATTTGTGGGTAGTGCTGAGTTTGCGGTATTACAAGCTGCGGGCGGGGAGGGAACATGTCCAGCGGCGGCGTTGGCGGGGCCTCAATCGGTGTGGCAGTCGCAAAGGGGTGATCCATACCCTGGAGTGATAGGAAGTGTCGCACATGGTCCTGGGGATCGCGCTGCTCCAGCTTCTGGAGGTCTTGCAAGCTGAACTCTGGCAGCTGACCGGGGCCAAGAATATCAGAGGATGCCACCACGGAAGGGACGATTACTGATGGTGCTGCGTCGGAGATTGGACGATGTACGTTCTCGACAGCGCGCTGTGCGGTGTGGGCATTGCCTGGATCTCCAGCGATGAATATCTTGCCACCCTTTTCCGGAGAGATGGGGAACCCGTGCTCTTCTTGAAGCCTGGCTAGCTGGCGTTGTTGCTTCTTCCACTTCGCGCATCGCTCTCCCTTCGCACACACGTGGGGCTTGGGTAGTAGTTGCTCAATGGCCACGATCGATACGGACTCGGCAGGTGTGATCAAGTCGTCTCCAAAATTGCGTCGGCGTCGTCCACCACGGCCCTTGCTCTTCGATCTCTCCCTCGCCTCGGTACACGGGCGCTCAATGTCCTCGAATGGGGTGGGGATGGGCGCAGGAGCAATGGGAGAAGCCAAGCCATCTGCTGTGCGCAGGGAGTCGATCTGGTGCCACAGCTGATGCCTCTTGCCGAACGACTGAATCTCCAGCTCTTTCAGATCGTCAAACTGCAAGTCCAACAACACTGCGCCAGTGATATCGTGAGTAACGAACTTGTCGATCACATCGTCCTCAAATCCATTCTGATACATCCATGTCGCAACATCGCGCGAGCTCCAGGCGCGCACCTCGGCGTTGTCCAGATGCGCGACCGCAGACGCAATGTTGTTGTACTCATGTTGCGGAACAATGGTAGCCGGTGTGGGTTCTCTGGTCGACGACAAGAAACGGGAGGGCATATCCTTAGGAAGGAGAGGCGACATCTGCAGAGCGTAGTCGAAGTCATTTGAGGATACCGAGGCGCGGAAGAGATGCGGGCCTCGAGGTCCTTCGACAGCCTTTGGTAAATACCACTGAGCATACTGCGGTCTAACATCGTCTGCTGGTGTTCGTACTTCTTCAAAGGTTGAGATGGTAGTTTGGCTGCGTCTGTTGTCGCTCTGCCGTATGTCAGTGAGGCCCAGTGAGTGCGCAGTCCAAATCGGCCTACCGATGAGCCACTGTATTCCTCGAAGTCGCTGGAATCATCCTCAATATCGGTATATGCGACGCTTATCCCTGAGACTGGTCGCTCGAGCGAGGACCGCACTGTAAGGTGTGAGGAGAAGAGTGAGTCTCTGCTCTTCCCTCTTAAAGCCCTCTCGAACATCTCTACGCCCGATTCTAACGGGGTAATGGGTGTCATGGCCTGCTGCGAAGTCGTTAGTATTTCCTAATCGAGTGACTGGATCCAGTGTTTCCTATTTACCATAATCACGGTTTGCGCACTCAAACAAACGGTTGTCTGGCAGTCTAGCAGTGTATCCGGGCGGATGTCTCAAGCATGGCACGCGCACGGTGTCAGAACAACGTTGGGAAATCGGAAAAAGACCTTTCGGGTGGAGGGCGCTTGCAGGTGTTCTTGTAGACAGTGGCAGAGCGACCGTTAGACTGTGGATGCTGGTGGCTCGAATCTGTCACAGTCCTACTGTGCGGAGAGAGCACATCTACCGGGTTGTATCCTCCAGTGAGAGTTCCCGAGTCTAAGATAGACACGAAGCCTCCGCCAATCCGCGAGCGGACCTTTCCCGCCCGCATAATGGTCGATGTGAGGCCGGCGCTTGTACGACAGCGTTGAGAGGGCACGACAGCAACGCTATTCGTCGCTCTGCAGATGAGAGATGGAACTAAATGCACCCGATTAGGCCACACAAATGCCATTAATAACCTTCACCGCAGGTCACGCTGCACTAGACCAGGATCGAAAGGCTCCGCAGTGCGCACTGGATCAGGCTCGCTTCGGGACGACGGCAATGGGCGCACCGTCAACGGGACGTGCGCAAAAAGATTCGGCCAGAAGCGCCAGAGGCGATCATCGCGGACGCCGCTGCAAACACCAGATGCACTGCAGATCTGAGTTGGCCATGCTGTGTACGTACTACGCGTGCACTGTACGGTGCCTGCTTCGACACGTCGCACAGCCTCACGATGGTACGTATCCAGATGTACCTCCGGTCCGGAGCTACGCATCCTGTTTTCCTGTCGCATGAACAGCAGTGTTTGCCTGTCCAACGGTCAACTGACTCTGGCTTGGGCGGCGATGGTAGAAGCCCCCTGTCGGTGATGGCTCGGGCAGCAGGCGTTGTGGCTAGCCAGTGAGGTTGGGGGGAACGGTTGAGATGAATTACAGATTGCGGGACCCGGACGGGCTTGTCCGACAGGGGCCGTGGCTTGCAAAAGTGTGAATCGACAGCCTCATCTCAGCCACCTGCAATACGCGTTATTGGCAACAGCTCGTCACAGAATGTGCCGGGCTCAGCACAGGGCGCACGGCTGCCGACAAGCCGCGTGCGTTCACGTGCTCGGACGCACAGCAATCTCGTTATACGTCATCGGTCTTTTACTCGGTCCTCAGTCTGCCTCTGCTCAAATCCATCAAGAAGCCTCTTCGGAACACTTTACCCGCTGTGTAACGCGACAACTACGAGCGATAGCGGACGAAAGCGTTGACTCACTGCGATGCCAGCACATGGGACATAATGACTCCACCGCATCAATTTGCGACACTGACCGCTGCTTCTCCGGCCATGGGAGCTTCACCACTCCAGGGAGCAGCTGGTGACAGGTCGCGATGGGACCAGCTTCATGCCTTCAGCTAACGAAAGCGCGAGAATCCACCGTTATCTGCTCCCGTGACCGAGCATTCATGCGGGCTAAGATGACTCTTCTGCTCTCTGGCCGTCCGCTACCGCGAAGAGCCAGTTGAAGCGTGATTGAGCAAGACGAATGAGCTTGTAGAAGTGCTCTCTGGAGTTCACACTACAACTCGCTAAGGAAACTTGCGAACAGGGATAAGCCTGAGCCCACTTCGACGCTCCGCCAAGAGGACTGGGAAGGCTACTTTGCGGCTTTGCGCACCTTTTCGCGAGCATGGCGCCGACACAACGGTCGTCGTACCGTGCTCAACATTCAGAACTCGTCCAGACCTGCATCGCGCTCCGAACAATTATGCCGATGGCTCGTGGCTTACGTTTAGCTCTTCTGACTCAAGTCGTTACCCTGGAAGGAACCACGAGCTCCAGGTACTTTGCCGAAGATACAACGAGCGATCTCATCCTCCATCCGACGAGGCCCACTGAGTCCACAACCAGGCAAGGAATGAACAGGGCTCCCGAAGACCGGGATGGCGACCACGGGTTGGTGTGGATATCAGCATAAAGTCCACGCTGTCAGGTGAGCAAGTCTCACGCGTGCTCGAAGCTCGAGGGGTACATGTGTACTGGAGAGCCATTCGTGGACTATCAAGTATTGACTGTCACGGTCGGTAACCAATGGCATGCTGCAGGAGGCGTGTGTCTACCAAAGTGGAAAGTTACTCCATGCTCGCTGAGGCCCGACCACCGCTGGCCTAATTAGCAGTCTTTCCTCGACCTAATTAGGGGACTAAACATAGCGCGAAGCAGCCCCTGTCATGTGGCGGGCCCCACTGTGGGAGCTAGGCATTTGCACATGCTCATTGGCCAGACTAGAGAAAGCTTGTGAAGCAAAATCCAACTCCCACGCATGCATCTGCACCACTCAGCGCTCACTCCCGCGGGGAGACAGCCATCACGCCTTCGCTCTGTCGCTTCTGCATGTTGCGCCCATGCCAGTGTGCCGCGTCACACGAGAAACTTACAATTCGCGTAGCTCGGAAATGCGCACCAACCGACCTGCCCCCTTGGGTAGACCATGCTCTCTGTCTTCTCGTCGGTCTAGCTGCTCGGTCATTGAGTCCCGCAGTGGAAATGATCACGACAATTGCAAGGTCGAATTAGGCCAGCTCCAGTCTGCATGACCCCTCTCTTCTGCCCCAGCGTTCTGGCCGCAGGTTGCACGAACGAATAGCTTCGAGAAACAGCCGCATATTGCGGTGCCACGAGTCACCAACCACTTGTCGGTCGACAGCCGAAGCAGGAACCAACCTCATGCTGTCACGCTCCACGACATTGAACACGTTCATTCAACGCTCCACATGCAGCTCACATCTAGAGATCTGCACACACGGATCAGGTCACTAGTAACGTTCGGGCCGGCCAGTTATCGCAGCCGCTGCAAGTGTTCACGGATGCATTTCTGCCTGCCCCGCAAGAGGCTGGGGAGTGAACAGCCAGTAGACACGGACCTTGACCAGCATCCACGAAGCGGACCAGAACAATCTGCCTCTAGCCCCGACGAGGTCGGTTAACGTGCTCGACAAGCTCGCGAAAGCTTCGAACCGATCAGGTAGCCGTCAAGATATGCACCCCTCCTAAGCCTATTGCTGCAGTTGGTGTTAGCCCGGCGGGTAAGTAAGCCCCAAAATAGGTGCAATCTCGAAAGGCCCCAAATTTCGATACCTGGCTGCAGCGTGCGACTAGTCTGGCCAATCACCACACCGTACGACGTGCATGCTGGCGTTGATACCGTCATGCTGTTGGGCGGATCCTGTTGACCACCTGGCCGATAGCATGGGGTCTAGAAATAGATCGAGCAGCATTTGCTCACATTTGTGCCGTTCATGGTCGTCTTATGGTACATATATGCCTGTCCCTTCCCTCCAAGGTAAATCAGACAGCAGCATAATTTGGTTCTCTTTCTTTTCACACTGAAGTCCGCTGGTCGAACTTCGCCTACCTATCTTTAATTACGAGCAGCCGGCCGAGCCCTGCCATCCTGTCCCTTGCAAATCATCCCGTCGCGCGTTAGTCGTTATTGCCGCACTGTTTACTAGCTTTCTGTACCATTGCCCGGGGCTTTAGTACATACATCGCCATGTCGCCCTCCTCAACCCTCACATCGTCCGTCAAGCAACCTTCAACCATGGTTGGAACCACAGCTGCTGCCAATGCAGCAAAGCAAGCCGCCGCAAAGATGCACCGTCGGTCACGAACAGGTAGGGCGACGCTTCCAACAACGCTGCAGGGATCCGTCCCGCTTGAACGCTTAACTAACCACAGTTCGCAGGGTGCTTTACATGCCGTCTGCGACGGAAGAAGTGCGACGAGGGTAAGAACTCGTGTCGTGCCTGCAAACACCTTGGTCTCAAGTGCGAATACAAGAGGCCAGTGTGGTGGAGCAACAGCGAGCAGAGGAAGAACCAGAAGGAGGTCATCAAGAACATCATCAAGCTCACAAAGTTGAACGAGAAGACAACGCAAGGAGTCGCAACGAGCACCCACACGCCACCAAGCCTCTGCCACTCCATGCAGACAGCGGACTACTCTGACGGCATTGCTTGCACTCGCGCGCAATCAGTCGACTCGCAGAACTCATTGGACTACAACTTCAACACGGTGACACCGCCTGACTACTACAACGCGGCGATGCCACCGCCAATTTTCGCCCCAGTCTACCAGCATCCTGGTCAGTTTGCGCCTTACGAGATTGACATCAAGACCGAGAGCCAGATGTTCATCAATGACATTCCCACTCGCCGGGATTCCACCTTCTCCACCTTCAGCCACTACCAGACCCCGCCAGCCGTCGGTCAAGGGTACCCCACGGACAGCTGGATCCAGCAGGACTACTTCGAGAGCCACCGCGAGGCCTTCACCGAGGAGCCTCTCGACTTCAACGCGTTCGACTTTCCCAGCCACGGTGCTTTCAGCCCTTCGCATCAGCCCATGGTTCAAGTGGACGAGTGCGACCAGCACCTTCTCGCTCACTTTGTCGACAACGTCATGCACATGGTCTACCCAGTGCTCGAGGCTAACCAGCCTGGATCCGCCCGCGACAAAGTCATCCTGCCAGCGCTCGAGTCTAACAAGGCCTACCTGCACGCCTGCCTGAGCGTCTCCGCGCTCCACATGAAGACCACACAGGGGCTTCAGGGAGAGCAGATCGACAACGACATCTACAGGAACCGGTTCGCCGCTGTTCAGCAGCTCACAGACTCTCTGATGAGCGACCGCGACCACGCCGAGACGCTGGAGGCTACCCTCGGAATGGTCTTCTTCCCTTGCTCAGTCGGTCGATTCGACGATGCACTGGTTGACATTCCCTGGCACCAGCACTTCCAGGCCGTGCAGAGCCTTGTCCACAAGCTTGAGCTGCCCAACCAGCTTGTCGCCATGAGCGGACAGCAGCAGGCACAGCCCCCCTTCAACATGACGCTCGCGTCCTGGATCGACATCCTCGGCGCCACCATGTTGGGCAGGACACCGTCCTTTGCCGACACGTACCGCGAGAAGCTCATCGCCGACGCGCCCTCGGGCCTCGCCGAGCTCATGGGCTGCGAGGACCGCATCATGTACCTGATCTCGGAGATTGCCTGCCTCGACGCCCTGAAGCAGGAGGGCATGGACGACGTTCAGCTCTGCCAGCACATCCAGCTTCTCGGCGAGCAGATCAGCCTCACCGAGCCACCGGTCGGCTCGAATAACAGCGCCCTCTCGTCCACGGGCGAGATTCTCCCCAAGCAGCTCCGCAGGAACATGACGGCCGTCTACCGGCTGGCCGCCCGCATCTACCTGTGCAGCCTGGTGCCGGACTTTGACCGCACGCAGCCCATCAACGCCAACCTCGTCAGCGCGCTCAGCAAGGCCATGGACTACATCCCCGCTGGCGCCGAGGGCTTCGACCGCTCCCTCGTGTGGCCGCTGCTCGTCGCCGGCACAGTCTCCCTCCCCAACTCGTCCTTCCGCAAGATGTTCTCCGAGCGCACGACGCGCCTCGGCGACGCGTCCAACGCGGGCTCCTTCGGCAGGATGAAGGCGCTCCTGAGCGAGGTGTGGGCAGTCAACGACTACAACCTCTCCAAGGGCGTCAAGCAGAGCGTCCACTGGCGGGACACGATGCAGCAGAAGGGCTGGGATTTCCTGCTCATCTAAGCCGCCGCGCATCACCTTCTCGTCTGCACGCTGTCTTTGCAAAAGCACTTGCTTCTTCTCTGCATATATTTTCCCTTCTGCTCTATACCCACTTTCTGTTCTGCATGTTTTTTACCCGGCGCAATCAGACTCTGACGATACGGCTGCATACTCTGGGCTGGCAAAGGGGCCATTGGGAAGCTAGTGCAGCTCCCACTTTCTGTACAGTACTTGATAGGGGCTCCGTGCAGCTCGCGAAGAATCAAAAGCCAGCACTGCTGGCGTATCGCTCGATGCTCCTAAACGCCCTCCTTGTGTTCGTGATGTGATTGGCCACCCTCGACAAGCGCCGGTACGTTACGGTAACAGGTCTGGCCCCCTCCGCAGCCGTTTCTGACAGACGGAGCTAAATATAACTAACCAGCTGAGCTTGGCAGGAGCACCGCAGATCCATCGAGTCGGCTTGCGTTCGCAGCATCGAGACTCGGTGTTCCGCGCCCACGCCGTCCTGTACACGGTGCTGTCCTGTACACGGTCCCGTCCCGCGCTCTCACAAGCGCCCGCACACGTCCATGGCATCCCCGGCCGCCCAGCGCTCTCCGCCAGCGGACACGGCGCACAGCGATGCGGTGCAGAGCCCGCGCATCTCGGCCGCCAACGCGCTGGCCCGCTACGAGTACGACCCGACCCCCGGCGGCACCAAGATGCTGATGGTGGAGTGGACGGACGACGACGCCACGCGTGGCGTGCGCGGCGAGTGGCGCGTGTCGTGGCCCGGCTGCGAGCGCGTGCTGCCGGCGGCCGACCAGCAGCACGACGTGCACCGCATGTACTTCCTGCTTGCGGCGGGCAGCGCGGTGCCGACGCGCGTCACGCTCACGCATCGGCCGCAGGACGGCGACAGGGCGCCGGTGGTGTGGCATACGAATCCGCTGCCGGCGCTGTTCCCGCCGGAGCTGGGCGCGTCGGCGGGCAAGAAGGGCGTGCTGCACACGCTCTGGGCGAAGAAGAGGCTGCAGGTGCTGCAGCGCGAGATCAGCGCCGAGTCGGCCGACAACGCCGAGGGCGTCGGGCTGCTCATGGCCGTGCAAGAGCGGGAGTGGATCGAGCAGACGTTCGGCGTCAGCATTGCGCCGGCACCGGCATCGGCACCGGCATCGGCAAACGGCCCCGCGAGTCCCAGGCATCCCGCCGGAAGAGGCCGTCTGCTCGACCGGCTCGCGGGCCTCAAGCTCAGCACCGCGACCGGGGCTACGACCAGCGCCGGCGACGGCGACGGACCCTCCACCAACCCCCTCTCGCCCGACGGCTCCGACATCGCCATATCATCCTTCTCCTCGTTCGCGCTGCTAAAAGGCGAGACCCCATCCTCTCTCGCCGCAAAGCCCCCTCAACTAGCACAACCACAACCACAAACAACACAAACAACACAAACAGCACAAACAGCACAAACAGCACAACCAGCACAAACAACACAAACAACACAACCAGCACAGCCAACACAACCAACACAACCACCAGGCAAAGCCGCAGTCCCCATCCCCCCACCCCCACACCTCGCGCGCACCTCAGCCACGACATCACTAGACGCTCGCCTCTGTGCGGTTGAATTCGAATTCGAAGCGCGCGGCCCGCCGCCCGCCGCTGTTGGAGAGGAAGAGGACCACGACGATGATGGACTGTTCGCGAGCCCGATTGATCCGCGGAGTCCGGAGATGGGGCGGAGTCCTTTTTCGTTCTAGGCGCATGTGCGTGTGCGTGTGCGTGTGTGCGTTGGTAGCTGGAAGGTAGAGTAGATGCCATGAATGAACGAGCGAATAGACGACACAACATCGAAATAGTCGTAGATGGTGCTATCGCTAGCTAGCTATCTACCGCCTCTCCCTCGTACGATCTTTGTCCCGTCTCCGTCGCTCGCTGTCGTCGTCGCCGTCGTGAGGTCTCTCTCTCTCTCTTTCTCCTTCCCTGTCTCTCCCGCGATCCCGATCTCGGTCTCGGTCTCGGTCTTTCCCGCGTCGCCGTCTCTCGCCGTCTCGACTCCGACTTCGACTCCGGTCCCGTCGACTGCGCCGGTCCTTTGCGTCTTGGCTGCGGTGGCGATGGCGGGGCGCGGGGGAGCGCGGGCTTCTGCTGCGGTCGCGGCGTTTCTCGCGCCGCCTGTCGCTGTCGTGGTCGCCTCGCCGCCTATCGCTGTCGTAGTCTCGGCGTGTGTCGCGCTCTCGGTCACCAGCCTCCCTTCTGCGACGCTTCCGATCAGGTTCGTCGCCGTCGTCGTGCCGGCGCGCCTCGTCCGGCACACTGTCCTGACTCTCCAGCTTGCGCTTCAACGCCTCCTCGGTGATGACCTCGCCCGTTTTCTTGTTGCGCAGCGTCACCGGGTGGTATCCCGCGGGTGCGTCCTTCTGGCCCTTCTTCGGTCGCGCCTTGCTGTTGAACTCGCCCAGCTCGACGTCCTTGGCTGCATCCTCTTTGGCGCCGATGCCCAGTAGCGCCGGGCGGCGCTTGACCTCCTTGGGTGCTTTGGCGGGCGTGCCGGTCCGCGAGTCGCCGTCGCTGTCTTTCCAGCCCATGCCGCGCAGCATGGCGAGGCCGAAGCCTTCGATCGGCGTCGCTTCGTAGGCGTCGAGGTCCGGCTCCGACGGCGCGTCTTGCAGGTCGTTTGCGAGCGCCTGCTCGTCGGTGATGGCAGGCACGACGCGCTGCGTGTCGGTGCTCTTGCCGTTGAGCAGGTGCTCGAGCGCGGCCTTCTCGAGGCGTTGCGCGTCCGTCAGCGCCTCTCCATCTTGCCCCCGGGCGTCGACGTCCATTGTCTCTGCCTCTGCGGCGCCGCTGTCTTGCGCTTCGGCTTTTGCAGGAACAGTCAGCCCAAACACAACTTCCTTCTCCGGCTCCTCCATGACCACGTCCTCGCCGCTCTGCTTCGTGTGCGGCGCTTTCTGCAGCTGCCGCTTTCGCGCCTCCTCGCGCCAGTTGCGGTTCGGCAGCGAGGGAATAACGAGCGGGCCGTTTTTCTCCGGGGGCCCGTTGACGTCGATTGCGCCGCCTTGTGCCGCATCGAAGGCGGCGATTTCCTGCACTTTGTTGGTGTCTTCTGGCTCGTCGTCGCCGAGGAGTGCTTTCTTGGGCTTCGCAGGGTCCTTCAGGCCGCCTTTCAGACCGGCACCCTTGAGGCCCGGCTTCGTCTTCAGGCCGCCCAGCGACATTTTGAAGCCGCCCGCGGCCATGGCGGAGGATATCGCTCGGCGATTTGGTGGATTTGAAGTGCCAGGATATATCGGTGGGAGGGCTGGCTTGCGCGGTGTGAGGAATCAGCGAACTGCGAGTTTTGGCGTTGTTTTGATAAAGAAAGTTCGTCGCAACATCTCAGGCCATGACATCGATGCTTGGCAGGGTCCAGGCAGGCTAGCCATCACGTGTGGGGCTATTCAATTGCGACGACGAGTTTTGGAATCTAGTCTTCAGGCATGACAATGTCGAGATATGGATAGACGTGCACTCTTATAACCCCCGCCATGCTGCCATGCCCACGTCCAAAGTATAGTACAGGTATTGCAGTCGCCAACACGCCCATCCTCCACGCGTGGACGCTCGTGCCTTAGTCAAACTCCAGCTCGGCCAACACCAAAACAGACATATTCGACTTACTGGTGTTCAGAACCGCTCTTCCCTCACACAGACGCGTGCTGCACCGGCATAGCCAACCTGACATCGAAGATCAATCCATACACCTGGCCAGAAACGTACGACGCCTGGACCGCCGACTCCCTGCAGCAGAAGTCGACATGAGCAGTCTGCGTACGCTTCAGCAGATGCCTATCCGGAAGGAAAGTGATATCGACACTTTGTAATTAGCAGTCTGATGATGAATGTGGAACGAGTCTGACTCACATGTCGTCGCGGTACGTCCAGAACAGACGTTCCATCTCGTCTACGTCTGCGCCGGCGGCCAGGTTGGAGACGACGAGGCGACGCTGCAGCTTCGTCGCTTCTGCCTTGCGACGGTTCTCGACTTCAACGTGCATGACGCTGGCGATAGTCTTTTGGAGTGCTTCTTCCGTGTGAGCCACGGCGACTTCCTTTTTTTCTCTCTGCGCCTCGTCATTGTCCAGCAGTGGCGGTGTTCCATTCCCATCGGACGACGACCGTAATTTCTCGAGCCTGGCTCGAAGTGCACTGATTTCATCGTCTTCATCGTCTTCAAAGTCATCGCTCGCAGGCGATCGAAGTTCTTGGGGATCTGGCGCCGACAAGGTAAGAAGATCTGGTGCCGACAAGGTAAGAAGATCTGGCGCCGACAAGGTAAGAAGCTCCGCAAGCATTTCTCGTGGATCGTCGTAAGCAGCTGCAGCTGTCTGCGTCGAGCGGAGCGAACTGTCAAGGTCTGCAAGCATCCGCCTGAGTTCGTCACGGCCGTGAGTCGTATCATTGTCCTCTGCTTCGATGTCTTCATGTGTCTCAGTTGTCTTGGCAGACGCTCGAGATCTCTTCAGATGTTCCTCGTCGCAGTGAAGTCTCTTTTCCGTCTCGATACTCCCCGCTCCACCGCGAAGATGCGCAGTCGGCGGCACTGAATACTCATCCTCCTGCTCATCCGAGGAGAGAGCCATGGCCGAGTCTCCAGGGGACACGCCCGACTTGAGCCTCTTGTTCGCCTCGTCTGCCTCTTCTGACAAGTGACGTTTGCGCTCCATCTCCAGGTCGCGGGCATCCTGCGCCTCCATCTCGGCGACCAGATGCTGGAACAACTCCTCTTCCAGCCGCAGCAGCTCCGCCTCTTCATCCTTGGGGTCCCTAAACTGCGCTTCGTAGTTGGTCGCGACTAGGAAGTCGTCGCGGGCTCTTCGAGCCCAGGCTTTTGCCCTCATGCGCAGAGGGACCCTCCTCCCCTCCTCCCAGCGCCGCAGTCTCTCCTCGTAGTCTTCCTGCTCCATGTCCTCCTCCTCCTTCAACAGCAGCTCTTCGAACTCATCGATTTCCCGCTCCCTGATGATCACCCGCTCGTCCTCGGGGACGGCCTCCTCCTCCGCTTCCAGGCGCTTGCGTAGCACCTCCTTCGCCTCGTTGAGCCGGGCGAGGTTGGTGCGAGCGAGGAGGAACCTGATCATCTCCTCCCGCGCTGGGTCCTCTGGGCCGCTGCTAACGACCGTCTGCTCGAAGCCCTTGCGCTCCTGGCGTATAGCGTCTGCCTTCTCCCACTGTTGCAGACGAGACGTGTGGTACGGGTCGGTATTCTCTGCATCGTCTCCACCGCCGCGTAGACACACGGCCACTGGCGTCAGCTGCCCCCGGCCCAGCTCAACTCGTCGCGCGGGCGCCGTGGGCTTCTTTGGAGGTCTCTTCACATGCTCATCGCGCACTCGGGAGGCTCTGGCGAGTGTGTCCGAGATGCTAGCAAGCTGTCTGTCCAACAGGCCTTTTGACGCGGCCTCGCTAGCGCCTCTCCTATGATCCATGGCGTGCTGGAGGAGGATGAAGCTGTCAGCAGCTGAGAGAAGTGAGGGAAGGCTGCGTGGGATGGTGTCGCGTGGGCTACTTTCTTAGCGATAGAGGTGGTGCACATACGGCGAGCTTGGGAGCAGAACGAGGCTGCGGAGGATGCTATCTGTTGTTGTTTGAGAGGGGAGGGTGCGAGACTGTTGGCAAACGGTGTCCTATTCTTGGGAGTGGTGCAAACGCAGCTTCCCTCCGCGACGAAGACGAAGACGAACCGAGTGGACTTGTGACGAATTGAAACACGAACTACCTCCCTACCGCGCCACCATGCACACACACAGCTGCACACGCGCTTGTTCCCCAACCCCGGCCTCAATTCTTCTTCTTGCCCGCAATCTTGCGCTCCTCTTCCTTGCGCTCAAACTCCTCAATCTCGTTCTCCTCAGCGCGCTTCGCATACCACTGCCCAGCCTGCAGAACCAGCACACCAACAAGGACAAGCGCGAGAATAGTATTACTCGCGGCAAAAACCCTCAGCGTATCCTCTCTAGAGATATAATCGCCCTCGCCCTGATCGAGCTTAGCCTGCTCCGGCGACACATTCCCATAGATCCCCGCGGTGACAACGCGAAACCCCTTTACGATATTCGTCAAATACACCGTGATGCCAGCCATGTACAGCACGAGGCTAGCGCCATCGAACAGCATATTACTCTCGCTGGCCTTGAACAGCTTGATCAGGAAGCCCAGGATGCCCGTGCCGATGACCATGTTGAGGATGCGGCTGATGATGGGCGGCGACGCGTACAGGAACTTGATGTGCTCCTCGAGGATGGAAAAGTACGCTTCGCGGTCGTCTGGCACCGCCCAGAGCGCGTTGTAGTCGTAGGGGAGTGAGGCGAAGAGGATGCCCAGGAAGAAACATGTCGCTGCCATTCTGTCAGTACCGTGTCTCTGCGAGTGTGCGCGGCGCATCGCGTGTGGGGTACACATACGTCCGATGACGAGGAACTGTGCGAAGGGGTTGCCGGCCATTGTAGCTATTGTTCAGCAGGAGAGCGTTGTCGCAGAGCAGTGCGCTCGTGAATAACCAGGTAGGTAAATAGAATTATCGAGCAATGGTGTTCTGGGAGAGGACGCGGGACACCCCGTGGCTTATCGTTTGCGGCTCCAAGACCGCAGACCAACTAAAAGCGGCTGGTAACGGGCCTATCTGCGAAATCGTCGCGGGACTCGATCTCACCTGGGTTGCGAACAGAGCACAGTGATTATGGTAATTGCAAGCAACGATGCTGCGCGGAAACCAAGCTGCGTCTATCCCGGCATGGCGGGACACCCTGTTTGGCGGCACGCTTTTCTTTCTGGACCTTTGGCTTTAAGCCCACGCAAGTGCACAAACTCAAGCTTAACAAAATTTGTTCTTAATATGCTGTTCTTTGAGTGTAACGTAGTTCACAAGCGAGCGGTCCAACCCAAGCGAGCGGTCCATCCCAACCATGATAGCCTAATAACTACTTTGCATTACAATGCCATCCCAACGCAACGTGCAATTAACCTATACTAAAGGGACCTTACAGCTTGCTATCTAAGCTACAATTAAAGATTGCGACGAGAGCGAAAGACGCGCTATTGCAGCCTTCAGCGTACCTCAAACTACTGTCCGCCAACAACGCCAAGGAGCCCTCTCTTAACGCGATCGCGACCCCAATTCAAAGAAGCTGAGCAAACTGGAGGAGGAGGCCCTTGTACAACGTATACTTGAGCTTGACACAAGAGGAATACCTGCTACAAAGGCTATGGTGCGAGATATGGCCAATGATCTGCTTGCTGAGCGCGGTGGAGAGCCTGTTGGCAAGCACTGGGTAGACAACTTCAAGACGCGTACGCCTGAGATCAAGCTTCGAAGGAGCCGTCCATATGATCGCCAGCGAGCCCTTAACGAAGATGCACGCGTTATAACACCCTGGTTTGAGCTAGTTGCCAACACAAAGGCCAAGTACGGCATCACAGACGAAGACATGTACAACTTTGACGAGACAGGCTTCATGATGGGGGTTATCTATAGCCAGATGGTCTTTACAGGCTCTGAGAAGCGTAGCACAAAGAGCCTGCAGCTAGGGAACTGTGGTTGGGTCACCAATATACAAGGAGTCAACGCTAAAGGATGGGCTATCCCACCCTTCCTTATCCTCCCTGGCAAGGTCCTTATTACCTCATGGTTTCACAATCTACCTCAGGATTAGGTAATTAAGGTTAGTCCTAATGGCTGGACGTTAAATGAGCTTGGTATTGCCTGGCTGAAGCACTTCAATACCCATACAAAAGACCGGAAGGTGGGTGCACACAGGCTGCTGATTGTGGACGGCCATAAGAGCCACAGCTCACATGAGTTCCACAAACACTGTGAGGAAGAGAAGATTATTATTCTCTGTATGCCTGCTCACTCGTCGCACCTGCTGCAGCCACTTGATGTGGGTTGCTTTTCGCCTTTGAAGCGGGCATATAGTGATGAGATCAGTGGCTTGGCACAGTACGGCTCTAAGCAGATTAAGAAGGAGGCTTTCCTACCAGCCTTCAAAGCAGCTTTTAAGAGGTTAATCACGAAGGAGAATATCTGTGCAGGCTTTAGGGGCGCTAGACTAGTTCCACACAACCCAGAGGTAGTAATATCAAAGCTTGATGTGGTCCTTCGTACGCTAACTCCACCAAAGCTAGAGGACACCCCATAGGAATCAAAAACTCTAAGCAACCTCCGTGAGATAGAGGCTCAGTCAACGCTGGTTTGTGAGCGTGTACGACTGCACAGAGATTCCCCAGTTTCTCCTCTGCTTAGAGCAGTTAAGCAGCTGAACAAGGGCATTGCACGGATAGGGCATGATAGCGTGTTAATGCAACAGGAAATAGCAGGGCTTCGCAAGGCAGTAGAGATAGCAACAGAGGTTAGAGGTCGAAAGAGGAAGTATATTCGGGCAGCAGAGAGTCTCACAGTAGGTGAGGTAGCTGATTTAATAGCTGAAAGGGAGGGTAGTGGGCAGCAGGGGGGCGGAGAGCCTGCAAAGAAGGTGCACACACAGAGGCGTTGCGGACGTTGTGGAGAGACTGGCCACAACGCTCGCACCTGTGCAGTTGAAATTGTAGATGCATCTGATAGCGACGAGTCTAAATAGTATCTCTATCACCTGCAAATTGCAGTAAGTGGTGGTGGTGTTGCAGCATATGCATTGCAATCATCTTAACTCTGTTAGGTGGACCACTCGCTTGGGTTGGACCGCTCGCTTGTGAACTACGTTATGTGTATTAGCCTCCGACCAAGGAGAGCGCGGTGTTGGACGTGCTGTCGACTGTTCTATTGTTGGTGCCTACCAACCCTTTGCTAGTAACCCCCCCCC